AGCCCGGCTGCCCGCCCCGCCCATGTGGGCATCTCCCCACAGTTGGGGCCCCCTGCCAACGGGCTGTGCTGAGCAGCCCCTCAGGAAGGCCGCGGTGCCCCCCCGCCCCCGCCCCGTGGAGCTGGCGTAGCGGTGCTTTCCTGTGTCTGATGGGACTGTGGGAAGGCAGAGACCCGTCTGCGTTTGGTGTCTGTACTGACTGCCGGCACCCGTGCAGTGGTCTTGTGGTGTTTTCCGCACAGGGAAGAGGGCACGATTGTCCTTGAACCTGCCGATACATTCGGTGTCCCAGCAAATCCAGGACGGGAGTGTTGGGGAAGAAACTGGACCGAAGCCCCAGGCAGAGGTCCCTCGGCCACTTCCCCTGCTGAGCAAGGAGCCTCGGGCGTCCCCTGCGCAGCCCAAGTTCACTGCTGTCTGTGGCTGGGAGGTTGGCTCTCCACTCCCACCAGCTCCAGCCACTGTGGGTCTGGGATGGGGTGGGCTGGCCTGGGCAGGACTGGAGGAGCCCTGCTGAGGTTGGCGTAGAGTGCAGCGCCGCACGGCCGGGACTGTCCCACCGGTCCTTCCCTCACCGCTCCCCTGGCTCCTTTGATATGAGCTGGATGTAGGCCTACAGGGCCTCCCCGGCCCCCTTCGCAGGGACTGGGTTCTGCAGGTGGGGGGCTCCATTGTCTCTCTGCTCCTGGTCTCCGAGGCATTTTCAACCGTTCACACACGTCCCCGATTCAGAAGGAGGTATGAGGTCTTCCAGGATGTCACGTTCCTTCCTGCCAACTCCCCGGCTCTTTGAGCCGCCAAGAATCTCCAGGCAGCCTGGGCTGCACCCCTCCCCACTCTGACCAATTACTTCATTTTACTTCAAATGGCCAATTGTGCAGAGGGACAAAGCCACCGCCACCCTTTCAGTGGTTACTGAGCTGTTTTTGGAAACTCACACCAAGGACCAGCTGTGACTGTCCCTTTGTGGGCAGCCGGCCCAGCACGGCCCGAGGGGCTGTGGAACGAGGCCCAGAGTTATTCAGACACGTTTTATTTCAGTGTTTTCTCTGTGGTTCAAATCAGGTGCCCAAATAAAGGCTCAGCACAGCTGCTTCCAAGTAGGCGCCTCACCACGTCAGGGCGAAAACCGAGTGAGAGGCAGAGATTTCCACCACCACACACAGCCCCCCCGCCCCGCCCCCGTGTCATTCTGATGAAAATGGGAGCGGGGTCCCCTGCCGTGGGAGTGCAGACGCGCGTGCCTGAGCCTGGTCAGGGACTGCCAAGGGCAGCAGCGACGGAACGAGGCCCCGGGTCTCCTGCCCCGATGAATTGTGAACGTGCCTCGGCGCCCGCGGCCCGTGGGACGCGTCTAAGTACAAGCAGGTGTTCCTGTTCTTGAGTCTTTGAACTGTTTTTGTGGGTTGTGCCTCTTGAGGTGTAGTTTTTAATGGGATAGAATCACTACCAAAAAAACAGTGGTCAGTTTTATGAAGACAGGAAAGATGTAAACCTATTTTTGTGACAAGACTGAGAGATCAAACACTGGAGGTTTTTTGTGTTGTTTTGTTTTTTTTTAAGAAAATGTATATTTATTAATGTTCAGAACACTGGAATGACATCACAAATGAGAAAATGTCTACAATAAATTAAGATTTTTGAATCTGTGCCTCTGCTGGGCTGGTCTCCCCACCCCTCCCTTCCCGGGGCCGCCGGGGACGGGCCGGGCGCTGTAGGCCGGCAGGACCTGGGCCGGAACTGTTTGTTCTGGGGGTTTCCCGGGAGCCTTGCGTTTACGTCCCTCGCCCAGCTGGGGAGATTCTGGGCCAGTGCTCTGCGTCTCGGTGTTCCCCTGCACCGCTCTCTCTCCTGTCCCCGAGACCAGTGACAGTTGTTACGCCTTTGATGTTGCCGTCCCTGACGCTCTTCTGTTTTTGTTTCTCAAGCTCTTTAAAAGAATTTTAAAATTTTCAGAGGGGAAGGGAAGGAGAGAGAGAGAGAGAGAGAGAGAGAGAAGGTTCAATGGTGGTGGCCTCTCCTACGGCTCCTACTGGGGACCTGGCCTGTAACCCAAGCACGTGCCCTGACCAGGAATTGAACTGGCGACCTTTCGGTTCACAGCCAACGCACAATCCACTGAGCCACCCCAGCCAGGGCTCTGTTTTTCAGATGTTCCCATTTCTGGTAACCAGTCTGCATGTTCGCTGACGCGCCCCTCTGCCCCCCACTCTGTTGAGCCCACACAAAATATCTGACTGCAGATACCCCCAGCGTGAGTCCCGAAACCTCCACCGGGCGCCTTTTATAATTGTCGAGGCCTCCGGTTCCCCGTGCGGTTCTACAGTGTTCACCTGCGTGGGCCCCGGCTCCGTAGCCGCTTTTAAGCCTGACCATCTGAACACCTGGGGCTTCCTGGGGCGGAAACCTGGCGTCATCTCGCTTGGCTTTTTCCTGGCTCCTCCTACGCCGCTCGACTCCGGAGCGAGCCCTCGGCCCCCATCCTGGACGCCGCGAGACTCAGTCCGGTCGGAACCCTCTGGCAGGTGCCGTCCCCGCTCCTTTCAGCAGCAAACCGCTGGTCGCATTCGGGCCTCGGGCTTGGCCTCGCCTTCCCTGAGCCTCGGGTTCGGTGTCGGCTCAGCGCCCAGGGCCCCAGCTGGGCTCCCGGGTGGAGTCCACCGGCAGGCCAGCCGCTCGCCGATTCTGGGGCAGGGTGGTGGTTTCAGGTCCTGGTTCTGTTGTTGAAGCCTCTGATAAGCTGCCCTGGGTCTGCTTCGTGGGCCCCAATTCGGGGGTAAGCCTGCACACACGGGAACAAGGGGGTCCACTCCTACAGCCGCTCCCCCAGGGACTTGCCTCGAGTGCACTCCGGGGGCCCCTGTTTTGGCCCCACGGTCCGGAGGTGGGGCTGCCCCAGAGTGCTAGCCACCTGCACCGTCACCCACTTCCAGCCAACTGGGGCCACACTCGGGGGAAATTAGAACAAAGAGGAAAAAACTGGGTCCCCTTTTCCCAGGCCTCTCTCGGAGGCCAGCCCGGATGCAGGCCCCACAGCCCAAGAATTTGGGAAGAAGGAAAAGGGAACCCCCACCCCACGACCTCCCCCCACAGGTCACTGAAGTTCTGCTGCTTCCTCACACACCCGCTGACGCTCACTGGCCAGAGGGCTTGCTCAGCAGTGCACGGGACGGGCTGGCGCTCAACCCTGAAGCCCTGCTCACTGGGAAGAGGTGGATGGACCTGAGGGGCCCCTGGCGGAGGGGGAGCAGCAGCTGGGCCCGGAGTCTGTGTGTGGACACAGCGCACCCCCCACCTCAGATTCGGTGCTGCAGGCCGAGACCAAACCAGCCCCAAGCGCGGCCCGCACACCAGCGCAATGCTGAGCACCAGCAACCACGGACACGGCCGGCTGCAGGGGAGCCTGCTGCCTCAGGGGTCACAGCTGAGAGGTCACTCCCCTCCCCGCAGGCCAGGAGCGCAGAGACACCTGGGCTCGCTTCCCGGGACACGGAGGCTGGTGGAAGAGAGGCCAGGGTTTGGCACTGGTGGGGGCCCAGGGAAGGGGCCTTCCAGGTGCAGTTCTGGGGTTCACCTCACTAGAAGATTCCGGAAATGGTGGTGGGGTGCGGGGTGTCCCTTTCTTTGCATCAGGCCTGAGCCGAGGGTGTGTCTCCTTTTTCTTCCCTGCTCACATCAGTAGATGCCAGGAAGTGGCCGCGTGGCAGCTGGGGTGCCCGCGTCGGAAAGAGGGCCAGGGAGCCCGTGCCCCACTTTCAGCCCCCAGCCCCTCCGGTCTGCCCAGGGTGCCCAGGGTGTGTCCTGCCAGCCGGCCTGGGAGTGTGCAGGCCCCAGCGATGCTCTTGGCCCGGTGGTGCCCCCTGGCGGACAACAGCTGCTATTGCTCTGAGCAGCGCCCGGCCAGCCGCCTGTGGGGCACAGTGAGGCCACGGTGCCCAGTGGAGAGCAGGAGGCATCACCAGCTGAGAGGACGCCCAGCATCAGCCACGGGGGAGGCCCGGGGGGCCTGGGGGCAGTGGCAGGCCTGTGCCCCACCTTCCGCCGTGCTTTACTGGCCGGCTGGGGGCAGAGCCCTCCGAGGCTGGAAGGGCGCCACCCCCACTCTCGGCAGCCCATGCCTGCCGCTCTGAAGGTCGGCCATGCGCAGAGCAGGGTGGGCACCCTAGCGGCTCCCGGACAGGGGCGGCCACGCAGACCTCCGTTCCCAGGGCAGTGAGTCCGGAAACCCAAGCCCAGGGCGGCTCCTGAGCCCTGAGCTGGTGGAACAAAGGTTCCAGTCCCGGCCTGCACTCTGGCGGACGGTCCCCAGACACCGGGGCCACTGCTGGCCGCCCAATCCCCACTGCCCAGCACACTGTGGAAGGCGGATGCCAAGCTGTGCCTGCCCCCCACCGGCACAGAGCAGGGCACCCCCAGCCCAGGAGTGACAACGGAGCAGCAGCTGTGGGGCCGCGGCAGCCTGAGCCCTGCCCTCTGCCACCTGTGGGCCACGTGGTGGCCCCGGCCCGTTCCCCATCCCCAGGAGACCCTGCTGGCTGAGGCCTTGAGTAGAAGGGGCTGGGGCACAGCAGGCCTGGGTGCCCTGGGGGAGGGGCTTCAGCTCTGCAGGTGGCACCGCACCCTCCAGTCCCAACTCGGGAGGGACAGGAGAGGGGCTCCTCTGTGGGCACTGTCCTGCCCGGGACGGCCGAGGCTTCCTGACTGCCCTGCCCTGTCAGGAGCCCGGCCCACGTGGGGCTCTGGGGGTTGGGACGGGATGGGGGCCCTTGGTCCCTACAGAGGCGAGTCCTCCTCCCCGCCCAGGTGAGGTGGCTTGGGCCCCAGAGTGGGGGTGGCGCCTGCTCTCAAAGCCCCCCCACACCATGGCCTGTCACCCCACACCGAGCCAGCTGTGGGGCCAGGCTTAAGGGTGGTCTTGCAGCCAACCGGAGACCTGTGGGGGGGATGTGGCCCTGGCCTCCCCACCCACCCGCCGGAAGAAGCTGCTGGCAGGTTCCACGTGCTGGACAGAAATTTTATTCAACGCTGTCCCTCCAGCCCTCCAGGTGCTCCGGGGTGGGAACCTTCCCTGGGGGAGGAAAGAGGAGCCCTGTGGACGGGGCACCTGGGACGGAATCCGCGGCAGCAAGTCCCGCTGGCCCTTCCCGGGGGGGGGGGCGGCAGACCCAGCCAGGCCCCCTGGTCGCCACAGGGCCGAGCCCCTAGCTGCCCGGCCCGGGTTCGGCTCCTCCACGTCCACTCTGGTGCTCAGGGCCGGAGCCCGGGCCATCGCCGGGGCCCTCGGCGGCCGCTCCAGGCCGGCTCCTGCCCCGCTGCAGGGTGTAGGCAGACGGCCCCAGGCGCAGGATCTTCCCGCTGCCCAGGCACTCGCCCCCGCTGTAGAACACGGCGAACTGCAAAGGAGAGGGACAGCGTCACCAGGGGCTCGGTGCCTGCAGAGCAGCCAGGGGAGGGAGGAGGGGACGCCGCCTCTCCCAGACCTGTCCCTGCTCCTGGGCGGGTGGGACCTGAGCACCCACACCCCCTCTGCCTCCGGCTGAGGACCACGTGCTCCGGGAAAGCCAGGTGTCGCTCTTCCTGCAGGAAGCCCGCTGGCCACCAGCCCCCTTGCTGGCCCAGGTGCCCCCCAGGCCGCAGAGCTCGGGCTAGACCCTGTCCCCACACAGGGCCAGGCTGGGTGTGGCCTTCCACTCAGGCTCCCCCCCACTCACCTGCCCCAGGGTGAGAGCTCGCACGGCCTTCACCGCCGTCACCCACACGGTGCCATCTTGATTGAGGGTCAGCACGCAGGGCACTGTGGGGGGAGAGGGGCCCTTGGAGGGAAGCTGGCCTGGCCTGTGTGCTCAGCCCCAGGTCACGGCCACAGGCCCACACAACCTGGACCCGCAACCCTACAACCACCTCCAGGATCCCTCCCACATCCCGGAAGAAGAAAGCTGAGCCAGGCCCGTAGGCCTCCAGGCCTGTCCACCACGTGGGCAGAGGGGAAGGGGGGGGGCATCACGTGACCCACACCGTGGGAGCCCCTTGCCCCAGGTCTCATGGCCCAAGCCAGCCTAAATCTGGCCTCCGGCGGCAGATCCCTCCCGCCCAGTCACCTAGCGCCATCTGGTGGCGGAAGCGGAAGTGGCACTCCATCATCTTGTCCCGGACCAGGGCTGCGGGTGGCTCTTCCGCGATCCAGTGCACACGGCCGGTCCGCAGCAGGTCCCTGTACAGGGCCGGGTGGTCCGTCCGGGGGGCCTGCAGAGCGGGGCGTGGAGGTGGTGACTCCCAGGAGCCCTGAGCAGGGCGGGCCCCCAGCGCCACCTCGCTGTCCCTCATTAAGGACAACCCCAACAGCAGACACGTGTTGACAGCTGGTGTGTCTGCCGTGGGCATCCACGGGGCCCTCAGGAGCCGTGACCCCGGTTTTGCAGAAGAGGAAACTGGGGCACAGGTCACAGTCACTTAGCAAGCTGTGGGCTCTGCCCCCATGACCTCACCACTCAGCACCCCGCCTCCCAGTCCCAGTCTCGCCCCACTCCCCACAGTCTGCCTGGGGCACAGGCCCTCTGGGGGAAGCCCACCCAGCCCAGCGGCTGGGGAGGTCAGGAGGACCGTGCTGGGTGCGGGCCAGCAGGGGTGGTCTGCTTCCAAGAGGCCGGCCCGACCCTCCAGCATGTCCCACCCCCTGGGACCCAGCGAGCCTCCCTTCAGGGCAGGACCAAAGGCTCTCAGCAGCAGCGGGCCTCGCATAGGGACAAGTGTCAGTCAGTGACCCCCGTGTTTTCACAAGGCAAAGGACCGCCCCGAAGGCCATGCTGACACCACTGTGACTCGTGCCTGTCGGGGCCGTGGCCGGGGTTCAGGCCCCCAGCTCCTCCCGGAGGAGGCGTGCGGAGCAGCCGGTGGGGGCTGCCATCTGCCTGCATCACAGAAGGTCCCCCAGGCTGTGACAGTGCGGGAGGTGACACCAGCTGCAGAGCCTGGGCGGGCGTCCAGGGTGCCCAAATCTTGATACCTCAGACACCTGGGGTTGCAGCCAGTCGGGTGGGAAGGGGCGGGGGCTCCCTGGCTCCACCCCCTGGACACCAGCAGTGCTCACCCCACCCTCCCACGTCCTAACGATGTCCCCAGCCCTGGCTGGTGGGGCTCAGTGCATTGAGCACCAGCCGGACTGTGAACCAAAGGGTCGTTGGTTCAATTCCCGGTCAGGGCACAGGCCCGGGTTGCGGGCCAGGTCCCCAGTAGGGGGCCCGTGAGACACCGCTGACAGATGTATCTCTTGTACACTGACGTTTCCCTCCCTTTCTCCCTCTCCCTGTGTCTACAAGTAAGTAAAATCTTCCAAATGTCCCCAAGCACTGCAAGTATCCTGGGGTTCGGCGTGTGAGGGGTCAAGCACCCCCTGTGGGATGTGCAGCTCCAGGGCTCGGAGGAGGAGTCCGGGCCGCAGGGGCTCCGGCGGGGCTGGCCGCCTGGCGCAGTCCCACTGTCCGCTGCCCTTGTTCTGCAGCAACAGCCAGGAGCCACGGGCGGCCCAGGCTGCGGCCACCCCCTCGCCATGGGGCCTGCGCACGCCAACTCTGCTCCAAGTCCCAGCCCCTTCTGTGAATGCAGAGGAACCCTGCCTGTTCCCAGGGGCTACGGGCAGTTAGCAGAGCCACCTGGGTGGGCGAGGCTGAGCGCACCCCACCCCCGGCCCCGCTTGTCTCACGCCCAGGCCCCGCTGCCCTCCCAGAAGGCCGCCCCACTCACCACGAACACGTCACCCTTGGTGCCGTCCTTCTCCACCACGTACCAGGGCTCGCGCAGGCCGCCTATGTTGGCTCTCTGGCCCAGAGTGAACAGGAACCAGCCTACGGAGACCGTCCTCAGTGAGGTGGGCTGAGACCCGTCTGCAACCCCGCACCCTGGGGAGGGGGCCTCTCTGGGCCCCTGCCTCAGCCCTAAGCCCGGGCTCGTCCCCCTCATCTGGGCCACGTACCGGGCACCCCGCCTTCGGAAGGCTGGCTGAGTGCCCCGTCCGAGGCCGAGAGAGCCTTCCCACTGAGCCCCGGGTGCGCTGTGAACCTCACAGGAGTGCCTCCGCCCGTGCACTGACCATGGCGGGGCCGGGACTGCCACTGTGCGCCACCATCGCAAGACCAGACAGTGAGGCCACCCACGTCATCCCCTCCCCGGGAGTGATCCGTGCAGGCACAGGCCACTGCAGGAATCACGGTGCCCCCTTCAGTGCACCCACAGTCCTGTCCCCAGTAAATCTAGGCCCCGCTCCCCGGGCGACACCGCCTGCCCGAACCCGGGTGGGGGTCTCAAGGCCGACTCGTCTGCAGGGCCACCCTCGTCCAAACAGCACACAGCCCTGGCCCTTCCCGCCGGCCAGGTGCTCCTTGGGTTGGGACTCATTTGCGCCTCAGGCCCCAGGGACACAGCCCAGCCTCTCAGCCACCGGAGCTGTCCTCCCGCCGGTCTGTGAGCCATGCGCCTGGCCAGACTCCATCCCGGCCTTCCTGCCACAGGCTCTCGGTGCCCCAGCCCCATCTGCCGAGGAGGGAGTGGCACCTGCCACAACGGGATACCCGACGCCACCGCTCGGCACTGTCCGCAGCCGGTGCTCCCTCTGCACGCGGTTCCAGCAACACAGACCTGACCCTTGGCCCAGCAAGTGGGGCCTTCCTGAGTCGGCAGCACCCTTTTCTACTGGCTGCAGGACTGGACAGGAGGCCGCCTCTCAAAACACACGCCCCCCGAAGGCTTCGACTGCACCCCACCGTCCACGTCCTGTCCTCATCTCGTCCGCTGCCCGCTCCGACTTCTGGGCGAACATGGACGAGGTGGCAGGACCCTGCCCCGCACTCCCCAGGCTGCTCGTGACCCAGGACTCGGAGTTCACGACGGGAGGCAGCGAGGCTGCGTCTCACCTTTGTGCGCTCCCAGCACTCTGCCGTCTTCTATGGAGACGAACCTTCCGGGCCGCGGCTGCAGGTACTGGAAGACGAGTGCTCGGTCACCCCGACCCAGCCTGGGGTGCAGCCCGGGCCCTGCCCCGCCTCACACCTCAGCACTCACCTGGAGAATGAAGTTTTCAAAGTTTCTCTTGCCAACAAAGCAGACGCCCATGCTCTGGAGAAAAGGGGGACACCCGTGAGCCAAGGAGGGGCCGGGGGCCGCCTCCGACGGCCTGCGCCCACTCCACTCGGGCCCCCGGGGCCCCGCCCACCCCGAGCCTCACCCGGGGCCCAGGGCTGGTGTGCCCTACAGCACCCAGACACGGTCACAGCCCCAGCCCAGACCGGGGGCTCCCGGGGTGCTGACATGTTTGTGGTCCCTAGTCCTGCACCCGGCCAGCTAAGCAGGCAGGCCACACCCATGCCCAGCAGGGCCGGCCCCTGTGTGGCAGGCAACAGGCCAGCTGCCCAGACACACAATGAAGTTGCTCGAGCCTTCGGGCCACTGCCCATGAGTCTCAGGGAACAGGGACCGGAGCAGCCACGGGAAGGGGCACAGCCAGGCCAGCCGCTGGAGCACCCGTGGGGGAGTCCGAGGAATGGGGACTGTCCCCGCGGTGACCCGTTCCAGTGGGGACAAGCTCTCCTCGGTGAGACCCCCTGCACAGGGCTTCCCTCAACCTTAGGTTGGTTATAACCAAGAACGAGGGTCCCAGGAGAGCAGACCCCTGGCTCCTACCCGTCACACTCAGAAACAGAGCCGGGGAGAGAGGGACAGAACGGATGGTGGGGTCGGGCGCAAAGAGCCAGGGTCGCTGACAAAGGCACAGCCAGTGCCTCCCCAGGAAAACGGGCAGAAGTGGACACTCTAATTAAAGGCACCTCAGAAACGGACGGAGCTGGCTGACCAGGCCGGGGGCGGCTGAGCTGGCCGGGGCCACCCCACCCTCCGGCACCAAGCCCCCACCACACCGGCTTCACCCTAATCCCACGGAGCACCGGGCTTCCTGGCCTCGGGCCCCTGCGCACGTTCTCTGCGTTCTCTGGACGGCGCCCGGCCGCCCACCAGACACCAAGGCCCACGCACCCTCGGCCAGGCCGCCCGGCATTCCAGCAGAGGCCCTTCCTGGCGTTTCCACCCCTCGATCTCCACCAGATCCCCCTGCCGTCTGCTCTCTCTGGCTCATAGGGTGTCTCCTGAACCACAAGCCCTCCCTGCCCCCTGGGGCCAGTGATGGAAACAGGGTCAAGAAGGCCCAACAGCTCTTCCCCGGGGTCTCAGGGCCCAGCAGGGCGGGAGGGAGCGGCCCAGCCAGGCTGCCGGCCGACTGCATGGGCCAGCTCCCCCGGGCCCTGGCGAGGCAGGCACGGCGCCCCCCTCCTACCTCCTTTTTCTGAAGCACGTGGCGAAGTCCATTCTCAGCAGCTATTTTCTTTACAAAATCTTTCGTTAGCCCCCCCAGAGGGAAGAGGGTTCTCCTCAGGGCCTCCTGGGAAACCTGGCTGAGAAAGAAGGTCTGGTCTTTAAGGTTGTCGGCTGCCTGGAGAAGCTGTACCGCTGCCAAGAGTGAAGAACAGAAGACGTTGTGGGCGTGGCAGGGCCTGCCTGGCTCCCGCACCCCCTCCCCGTCCTGCAGCCCGCCCCACGGCAGACAGAGCCCCCCAGCCCTGACGGCGGGCCTGAGAGGGGCCCCTGCTGCGGATGCAGGGGCAGGTCCCACGCCGGGTGCACCTGCTGGTACAGAACAAGACGGGGAGGGCTGGCGTTCACCGCGAGGGCATCTACTCCAGTTCACACGCTGGGTGCTGCTGTCCCCACAGACGGAGCGCCCCACTGACACCAGTCCGGGACGAACTGGGGCAGCTCACAGGCCCGGGCGGCCTGCAGCTCCCCGACAATCTCGGGGTGCGGAGCCCCACCGTGTGCAGGGGCGCACTTCCAGGTGTGGCTCTGGGAAAGGCTGCCCCTCGGGGGCCGTACGCCACCCGCCTTTTCTTCCCAGGTGAACACCTGTCGGATTCCTCCACGGTTTCGCTGCTGTTCTGGGTTCTTTGGAGCAGGGCTCAGAGAACGGGCCCCGCCCTGCTCTGGGCTGGGCCGCCTCCGCCCGGCACAGGACTGAACTCCCTGGCCGGCCACTGTCAGGCCTCCCGAGGGGCCCGAGGCCCATGCAAACCACCAGCACGGTCTCAGCATCACGTCTTGCTCCAGCACTTCTCGGACCTATGCCGTGTGTGACACGCTGCACCCAGAGCACGCCACACACATGTGCCACGCTCTCTGTGTGGCTCATGTCCCCGTCCCTGGCCCCACCGCTGATTCTCACTCGAGCTGTGTGGGTGGAATCACCTCCGGTTCACAGATGAGGAAACTGGGGCGGGCCCGACGGGGCAGGCAGAGTGGCTGGGCGGGAACTGGAGCCCGCCCCAGAACTTGCAGCCCACCGCTGGTGCAAACCACCGCGCCAGGCACAGGTGAGAGGCAGAGCCAGCGGCCAGCCCTCGGGCCACATGCCCGACGCCTCTGGTCCCAAGGCTGGGCCAACCCAGCCGAGTGTGTGAGGGCCTCAGGCACGGACAGCAACGTGCCTTTCCTCACAGCTCTGAATCGCTGTACAACAGGCTTGAAATCGGCTGCGTGGGGCCAAGCGCCAGCGGCCCCAACCCCCGGGAAGGAAGCAGCTCTCGGTGAGGCCGCTCGTGCCCGGGGCTCTGTTCCTGCACGTTCACTGCTGCGGCCCCGCGGCACCGCCACCACCTGCACAGGTGAGGTTCTGTTCCCACACGGCCAGGACCCCGGCACCCAGCCGTGGGCCGGCTGAGCGAGGGGCCAGGTGCTCTGCCACCCTGCACTCTCCGCACCTGCCACCGGCCCAGAGGCCTTCGTCAGGTCTCCAGGGCAACCGAGTCAGAGGGGAACGAAAGCTTCATCTCGCCTGGAAACAAAGACCGTGCGGCGTCACTACACCCAGCAGGCAAAACTCAGGCACACCTGTCATCCAGGCCCAGCAGCTCGGTGAGGCCAAGCACTTCCCAGGCAGCAGGGGGCGGGCACGTCTGCTCTGTGTGGAAATGCACCGTTGGCCCCTGAAACCCCCCGGGTTCCTGGGTGGGTGCTGCTCTGAGGGAGCTTCCGACTGGCAGGGCTCTGCTTCACAGCCGTGACTTCCTCAAGTGGAGGATCCCCCGGGTGGGTGATGCCAGGGCGGGACAGGCAGCGCCTGCAGGGCAGCTGGGGACCTGTCATCTCCCAGGCCAGCGCAGCAGCCAAAGGCCCTGGGCCCTGGGGAGCAGCACGCACCCTCTGCCACGGGAAGGGGGGTGGGCAACGGGAACAGGGAGCCCGGCGCTGCCACACTCAGGCCTCCTGTGACACGGTGCCTACCGCACAGTGGCCACGGCCAGCACACCCGCTGGGGACAGAAAGAACAGGACCCAGGGGCCCAGTCCGCAGAAGGAGCCCAGAAGGAGCCTTGCAGCACCGGGCTGGGAGCCAGGTCTGGCCTCAGGGGCACCGCACTGAGGGACGCCGTCCAGGCCGCCTCTTCCCACCTTCGAGGCAGGGTGGGGGTGCACCTCCCGACACTGCTGGGCGGGAGGAGGCAGTGCACCTGCGTGTGACGCCCGGGGCAGGCAGGGGGCGGCGAGGTGAGGCCAGACAACCACGTGGAGAAGTGCTGACCCTCCCCAGCCACATGGCCACGGAAATGCCTTGTATAGACACAGCTCCAAGCCCACCTGCCCTTCTCTTGACCCTGGTGTGACCTTGAACTCTTCTACACACAGACGAGTGTGAAGATGAACCAGCAGCCCCCCAGCAGCGATGAACTCGCTGCCTGGTGTGTGTGTCTCTCTAGGAAAGTGCAGCTCCGCCCCTTCCACATCAATGGACTAACTTACAAACATGGCTGCCGGCCTGGCCACCAGGCCAGCACTGTGACAGTCAGGCCACACTCAAGGACCCAGGGTCTCAAGCCCTGGACACCTTGCTAGGTCGTAGCAGGGCCCGTGGCACCCCAATTATGCTGTCAAATACCCCCTCGGGGGTTGGGGGGCCTGCAGATGGCCAACCCAGTGTCTGCAACGAGCCCTGAATTACAACTCGGGGTCCCCACGCCCTGGCCCGACTGCAGGCCCCTGAGGAGATGACCCTCCCAGCACCTAGGCTTTGTCCGACAGGGTCTCCTGGAGCCGCAGGGTCCGGCAGGCGTGCTCACGCCACGCCCCTCGAGCGCTCTGTGAGCTCGTGGACAGGGAGCTCCGACCCGGTGCTTCTGCTTACCATTTCTAACCTCGAATCGGTTTCTGAAAAGCCCTTCTGGCCTCTTGATGTGCTTCTGCTGAAAGACTTCTTCGTCTTCCAGGGAGGTCCTCGCGTAGTGGCCCGTGGCAACCGCGTCTGCTCCTGGGGGGTTGGAGACACAGGGTCAGGTTTCAGGCCTGTGTTCCCGGCCGGCTGTACCAGCCACAGGTGCTTTAGGAGGCCGAGGCCCCGCCCCAGGCCCCGCCCCAGGCCCCGGGGCACAGACGCCCTTCAACTCCTCACTAGAGTGACACAGCCCTGCTCCACAGTCTTATCGCATCTTCAAGGCCTTCCAAAAGTTACTGTGTTTTTGTTCGCTCATTTTAGTTTAAGGAAATAGAATCACACACACAGATTTAAGAGTATGAGGTTCATTCCAGCGTTTCTCACGTTACCAAGGAAAAGCCGTGAACAGCCACACTGTTTAACACCAGGACCGCGTGGGGGCCGCAGTGTCGGTGCTCAGCTGTGACGCAAACAAGCACTGCCATGACTAACGAGTGCCTACACGAGGAGGAGCTCGGTCTCGCGTGCCCACGACTGCACGCCTGCCGCCGCCAGCCCCGCAGGAACTCAACTGCGGCGCCGCTCACGCAGGCCTGACCGGGACAGGGAAGGCGCGCGCAGCTTCGGGGAGAGCACACACAGCACTGGGACCCCTTTTTAGACGCGCAGAAAGAGACGGAGAAACGTCGTCCCGCAGCCCGGTCCTTCACCCAGGGCCCTCCTTCTGCGGTGCTGTGGCTCCAAACCCTCTTTACGAAGGTGGGCGGGGCGGGCAAAGGCAGGTGAGCGACACTGAGCAGCACGCGCTCAGACCATCCGCACTCTCGCGGTACCTGCCACCTCTACCACAGTGAAGGGCCACCCGGGCGCCCACACGCCCCTCACCGTGGGGGAGTGCCAGCTGCCTGGCGCTCGCCAAACCAGCCCGGAGCAAGACAGACCCAGAAGGGTGACCCACAGGCAGAGGAGCTGCCCTAACGGGGACGTTCGGGAGCACATGTCCCATCCTGGTGACCCTCCAACGGGGCACAGAGGCGGGGCCCTCTGCACGCAGCCCAGGATCCCGAGCGTGCGGCGTTCGTGTTCAGTGTACGCCATGCCGCTCCCGCAGGAAGTGCAGACAGACGGCCCCTGGAGCTCTCTGCCAAGGCAACAAAGGCAAGCACCCCCCTGCGCCCCACCCAGCTGTCTGTGCCTCCTGGGTGCAACACCCCCCACCCCAGGGCAGGTCACACACCAGAGCGGAGCCCTGCGCCACACACTCGCGCTTTGCTGTGACGATCCCAGCGGCCCCACTGCTCTCCGGACGGTGCGGGTGCGGACACGCTCGAGTCAAACTCGATTTCCCCACCCGGAGCCGGGCCCTCCTGCAGGACCGTCGGAACTGACGGAGCCCGGCAGACCACAGCGGGGCAAGTCAGGCCGCAGGGGCTGGGATGACTGGCACAGACTGGGCCCACGGCCGGCTCCCAACTCATGGCCCCCGATCCCGGCCCCATCTTGGACTAGGGAATAGTGCTGAACCAAGGTCACGCTTACCTCTGCTCAGTTTCGTGTTTCTGATGTTATTCCAACACCTGGATTTGTTAGGACTTTTTATTCTTTCTTTTTGTGGCCCTGTTTTCACTCCCCAACTCCACGAACCAACCTTTTATCATCACCTGCTCGGCCACAGGTCGTCTGTACATACGATCTGCAAGCCTTCTCTGTCCCCACCTCGGCCACAAAGGCGCTAACCCCACGGAGGTGCTAGCAGTCCTTGGACACCACTGAGTCCCTGGCACGTGGCCAGGCACGGCAGGGTGGCTGCGGTGGGACAGAGCAGACTGAGAGGCCAGCGCTGTGGCCCTAACGGCAACCCCGACGGCAGGAGACGGGACAAAGAGCCGGGAGTGCACAGCAGTGCAGCGACCGCACCAGAGGGCGGTCTGAGCAGGCAAGTCAGCCCCCAACAGGAGGATGGAGGTGAGAACGCAGAGACGCAGGGACAAACCCCTGGCGCCGAGCTGTCCCAGGCAGCAGGGCCCGGCCCCACGGCTGGCTTTCAGAGCACAGCACCCGCTCGGACACCCGGGGTCAGAGTCCGGTGCGGACTCAGGCCAGGTCGGAGAAAAGGCGGACCCTCTCTTGGAAGTGAGGAAAGGTCTCGGCAGGACCTGCAGAAAGGAGGCGGCCCGGGAACTGCACGCCGCGCTTCTCGCGGGCCCTGCGTCAGGGCCCCCGTGGCTTCCGCAGACTGCGGCCACCCCTGCGACCTAGCACGCCTTCCTGGGGACTCCGCGAGGCGGGCTCTCCCGCTCGCTGTGCCTGTCCCCTTCCAGCTGGGTGGCCCATGGGGGCGGGTCCCCTCCTCCCAGCAACCCTGCTATTCACACATCACCGGGGAGTTTTCTTAGGGAAATAGAGAATGTTACTGTTTTCCCTGCTTCTTTCCCTTCTGAAAGATGAAACTGTTTACAAGGTTTGGATTCTGTGTCTGCAAATCTCATGCCTTCTTTAAAGAACGGAAAAATCCGAATGACTTACCCAGATTACCCAGAGCATAATCGAAGAAGCACCTGAACTTGATGTGCTTGTTGCAGACGATGTCCGGGTTGGGCGTCCTCCCTTTCTCGTACTCACTCAGGAAATCGCTGCGAGAGGAGAGACACCGTTCACGTCCAAGTGCAGAAGTGCCCTCCAACACCGCCACACGGGGTAAGCCGCCAGCTGCCGGGTGCTTCCCCTCGCCTCCCCAAAGCCACGCTTCTCCTCCACCCAACGCGTGCTTACAGCCCTGCTCCTGTGACCAGCAACACGCCTGGATAAAGGAAGGCGTTCCAGCCCGTTGCCGTGACGCAGCAGGCTCACGGGAGCGTGGGGTGTGATGCCCACCCACCTGCTTCCTGACGCCTCCCCCACAGGGGGTGGCAAGTCAGCCAGCCAATCCCCAATCTAGGTGTGGGAACCCAGGTCACCTCCCTGATGTGACCCCCTCAGGCTTCTGAGGACCAGCATCTGTCTGATGCTTCCAATGGGTAAGTGACCCTGACCGGGCAGGTCTCTACCCGCCGGGAACAGCCGGACGTGGGAGAAGGCGGGCTGACAAGGCGTTCCCGGACGTGGGGTGCACCTTCAGGAGGCTCTGGTGCTGCCCCCGGAGTCAGAGGCTGCGTGGGCTTCTAACACCGGCGGCCATACTGCTCACGGAAACTAAAGGTCTCCACTGATCAACGAGGAAGAAAGACCAACCGGACAGCCAGCCAGACAGTGCTGACCCGGAGGGCGGCCGCAGCAGGAGGACAGGTGCAGGCCAACAGGGTCCCAGGGCACGTGGTTGTGGCTCTAGCTGGCCACACCCAGCACCTCCCACTGACCCCAGCCCCGGCCCAGGAGTGCACACGACTGGTGTTGCTTCCTGTGTCCACCGCCTCGGGGTGTTCCCTCGTTCTGATTGTTGGACAGCCGGCCGGCATCACTGCAAGCCCCTGGAGGGAGTCCCTGTCTGGCGCTCTCTGAATGCCCACATGCCCACACTGTCTACAAGACAAGCACCGGACGGGTGATGAAGAGGTTGAATGTTTGCACTGTTCGTGGAAAACACGCCCTGGAACCCATTTCCACAACCGCACAGGGCAGATGTGTCGGCCAGCAGCTCAGTGCAGGAGAGGAGTCTTGCCGGCATGTGTGCAGGTGGCGGCAGCCGGGAAGGACATTTGGCCACTGACTGGTGGAGGCCAGGGGTCCCCAAGGACAGGAGTCAGAGGGGTCCATGCCACAGAGCGCCATCAGAGCAGTGCGTGTTCCGAGCACGGTTACAACCACGCACACGGGCGGCGGGACAGAGGACAGAGGGCAGCCGTCCACGCCCGAGAGCCCCGAGGCAGCGCACAGGGAGGGGCCCGACGGTCTCCCCAGCTCTCCCCCTCCTTCCCGAGGCCCAGTGCAGGGACAGCAGCAACTATGGGCCCAGGACACTGGTGTGACCCGGGCTCCAGGCCCAAGCCTGCTCCTGACCTGCGCAGGACCTGTCATTAGACCTGCCCCGCCTTCGTCAGAGGGGAGTCGGCCTCCAAAATGCAATGGAAGGCGACGTTTAAACCTGCCTGATTGCCTGCTGTCACCCCAAACCGGGCCGCACTCCGGGGACCTCCCGCCCGCTGCCCCTACCCGCCCAGACTCGGTCTTGACGTGATCACCAGCTCCTCCGCTCTCCTCCACTCTGGGGTGAGCCGCCCCGCCCCACCCCGCCTCCCAGTCCTGCCACCGCGGACTGGCCTGCAAGGCTGTGAAAGGGCAGGCCGTGTCTGGGTGTGACAGCCCCCGCTGACCCTCCAGACGGACGTGTACTGCCCGGCACGTCTGTCCTCTGGGACCTGCCCCGTCAATGTGCACCTCGGCTCCCACCCACACCCCGACGTCACCCCACAGCCCCGCAGTGGAGTGTCCTCAGCTTCTCTGCTGGCTTCTCCTTAACCTGACACCCGGCTGCCAGGTCCATCTTTTCAATAATGAAAATAACAAAAGCTACATGTGTCACTTAGCAACGTACCAGACACTGTGCTCATAATCTCATTCAAGTCTTGTAATAACCGCACTGTCACTGCACTGCCGCCCTCGGCCCACTTGCTCTGCCGTGACAAGGACCGGCCCGGTTTTCTAAGATCCCCGGAATAAAGAGCAGGCACTTCTCTCCACCGCTGCTCATGCCGCCCATTTCCAACATCTCCTCTGCCCCCCAGCTATTCCAAGGGCAGGGCCAGCTCCCCCCCTTTCCTGAAGCCCGCCCCCCCCCCCAGAACCTGCGGCTTTGTGTCGGACTCTCTGGCCCTCCCACATGCCACTCCCCACTTCCTCGAGTGAAGGCAGCCTCCTCCTCCTCCTCCTCCTCCTCGCACTGGACCAGAAGTCCCTCAGAGACAAGGGCTCACACACCTCCGCGTGCCCAGTGCAGCGCCGGGCAGGGGCAGAGCCAGTGCTGAGCACTGTCGGGACTGCACTCGGTTTCCAGTGCGTGCACACGTGCAAGGGCGTGTTCTCTCGTCTTCGGAGCGCACGGGGCAGTGGGTCGCTAACTCTTATGCTCGGAACCCCTCATCACCGACCTGCAGGGGCACGGAGACGCTCCTGGTGGCACCTTCCGGGGAGACTCAGACTCCGCCCCCCGTTCTGACCCAGCGGCAGACTCGTCTCACGGTGCAGGAGGAATCCGAGGTGCTGGCAGGTGGCAATAACAGGACTCGGAGCCGGGGCGCCGTGGACCCAGACCCGGCCTCCCACGCGGTGGCTGAGGCCCCCGGCATGGTCTGTGGCACTGCTGCCCAAGAACACCGCGAGGACCATCACCCCTGCACCCTCGTGCACCTGAACACTTCGTTCCAGTACTCCTTCACGTAGGACACCTGGTGGAAGGGGATGTCCAGGACCTGGCAGACCCGGTAGGCGTCCTCGCAGTCTCTGTCAGCTGTGCAAACGCCCTGCTCCTCCAACGCGTCCCAGTTCTTCATGAACACCCCCGTCACCTGGTAACCTGGGGGACGGAGGGAGGACAACTGAGTGAACATGTGAAATGAGTCCCAGGGGCACGGGCAGCGGTTTCTGAGCCGTGTCCACGCGCTGCTGTGCCTGGCAGTCCCTGCTTTTCTCTTCAGAGCAGATTCACTCCCCAGTACAAGCCCCCTGGCCGCTTCCTGCAGGGATAGACGCCCCCTGCCACCACCGCTTGGAGCACTTTGTATGTCCCCATTCTCAAAGCCACTGTTGCACTGAAAGTGTTTGCCCGTGTCTCCAAGACATGAGCAAGATGAACCGTGTCATCTCCATGCCCCGCCCTGCGTCGGCGCACTGCCTGGCATGTGGGGGAGCAGATATATGTTAAATGAGAGCAAAAATTCAACAATTTTTCAAAGCAAATGAAATCCACCTCTCAGTTTTCAGAAGAGTTAACTCGTTTAAAAAGTTATTTCCAACTACCACTTAAGACTTAAGAGGCCAAGTCCTCAGACATCAGGCAAACTTTTGGCCGTTTCATTACAAGGGCTGTCCTACCTGTACATAGTTTATCACCTACTTCTCCCTTTTTCATTGTGACAAACCACCCAACCAGACACTGGCAAGACCCCCTTTAGCCTTGCACCGCCCTCCTGAGCCCCACCTGCATGAGCAGCCTCTCTTCCCGGTGGGCTCAGTGTAACCCACGAGGCTCTAAAAGGTCGGCACAGAACTCCAGGGAACACGGGCTCCACCACAAAGCTCTGCCAAACTAAAGCCCCATCTGCAAGAGGACCCCATCCCCGCTGGTCATTGGGGCCTCCCTCTACCTCCTGAGCACCTGACCGGTCCTCACATGACCCTGTGTCCCCAGCGCCTTGCAGTGTCCAGCTAGAGTGCTTGAAGAGTGAATAACTCCACACCAAGCTTTCAAATCCACTCTTCGCCCGGTGGGTGTGGCTCAGTTGGTTGGAGCATCAGCCCATAACCAGAGGTGTCCGGTTCAAACCTCTACTCCCTTCTGAGTCCAGGCGCTAGGACCCCAGGTCAGAATGCATATGGGAGGCAACCAATTGATGCTTCTCTCGCTGAAAGCCATACAACATATGCAACATCCTCCATAATCAGGGCTCAGTGTGCTCCTCCACCGGCCTGGGGCCCGGCCCACTAACGCCCTCCTGCCTGCGCGTCAGCCTTGGCCCAGGAAACGCTTTGCTCTGCGAACCCTACTCCTTTCCAGTCTCAGCTCAAACACAACCACCTCTGTGATGCCGTCATCCCCCCTTCTTGCAATTATAAACGCTGTTTGCCTATACTTCTATTTAGCATTAAATCATTACATCTCGCATAAAAGCTACAGTTGTTAGTCACCTGTACTACCAGCCACTCATGTTCTCCGAGTGCTTAATCCGTGTTGGACACTGCGGACACACTTTGTAAGTACATGGTCACTTCCCCCCTTGTTTCCGGTGACCATATGCAGCAAGTGTCGTCGGTATCTCACAGAGAACCGGCCCCTCGTCAGGAACCCTGCTTCACTCTGCATTCCGAGAGCCCAGTGACCAAGGAGGCTCGAGGGAGAAGATGCGCCACTGTCACCCAGAGGGCGCCACCCCCTGGGGAAATGGCCCCGCGGACAGAGCACTTAGATGGAAGGGACCTCTGCTCCTGACCCTGGCCGCCTGTAGGTGTCTGCACGAAACGCTAGTGCTTTCCAGGAAAAGTCTGCCAGCCACTGAACGGCGAAGGCAAACGACACTTGGTGAGCTGGCAGCCCATCGGGATGTCACCGCACACAGTGGGCAGAACAAGGACTTCTAGGCGGCGACTGTGCGCAGCCTCCCGAGTCACGTGCTACGTCGCCGCCGCGCCTGGGGTCCAGCAGTCACGCGCCGGCCCGGCTGGAAGGTCGGTGCTTCACCGCCTACTGCGTCGGCGGCCGGGGTGGCTGTCTCACTGCTCCAGGGCAGCAGGGGCCGGGCCGCGCATCCCGACAGCCAAGCGGAGAGTGAGGGGCGCGGGGCTCTCGAGACGGCGCCGCCTCACCTCTCCGCCTCAGCAACAGCGCGGCCACGGCGCTGTCCACGCCGCCGGAGAGGGCGCACACGACGTGCCGCGCCGCCAGCATCCGCGCGCCGCCAACTTCAACCCCAATCGCTACTGCTTCCGCGCCGCGCCGGAAGTCCCGCCTCCCGTCGCAGCGTTCTGCTGACGGGGCCCGGCCGGAAACCTGTGATCTCAGGGTCGCGTTCCGCCGGACTGCCATTTCTGGTCTTCCATTCCAGAGTCCTTTCCTCCGCCCACGCTTATGTCCACTCCCGGGCACGCACCCCTCCTTAACCCTGTGCACTGGCTTGGGGAGGGGTGTCCTTTTAGGAGGGAAAGGAAAACAGGCGGGGGCTTACCTTGAGCAAAGGGCCTGGATCTCTGGGGCGGGTGAGGCTTCAAGCACAGGAGCGAAATGACCATATTTAAATGTTAGGAAGGGTTTTGTGGCTGCCCTGTGGACAGGAGGCCATGATAGCCAGTCCTCTGGCAAGGTCCAGGGGCAACGCAAGGATTTGGAGGTGAACTTTAGAACCCTCGCTGTTGGAAGGGTGCACGTAGCGGTGAGAAAAAGGGTGGGGGGCTGCCATTTCTGTCTGGGGGACAGTCGACCAGGAGGAAGTGCCTGCCAACTCAGCTCCAGTAACCGAAGTGATTTGGGACTATCTGCTGGAGATGTGGCTGTCCCTCAGTGAAAGGAGGTGACTCGTGAATGCGAAGGGGACCTGGCAGGTGCCAGCTGGTAGAGTTTGGGCAATGGAAACAGCAGAACCTGGAAACACTTGCTGGGCTGCTCAAGAGTGTGGAGGGTGGCATACAAAAGCAAAGGGGGCGAGCGGCCTGGTAGGAGACCCGGACAGAGCAGAGCAGGCGCAGGTCCAGCGACGGACCAGCGAGAGGTGGCTGTCAGTGTGGCGTGTCAGGTGGGATGGGGGCGGTGACAAGCTCAGATGGTGAGTGCCGCGGGCCCCAGGGGCTGTGTGATTTGGTTGGGTGCTAGAGGCACTAGCCTGCGTGTGCAAAATACAAGCATGATTTACTTCACCTTTCTTGACTTTGACACACGTGGACCAGTTGACAGAATGCACCTCACACCAGTTCTCACCGTGCAATCTTGTTTGTTCACTTCATCCTCTTTTAAACCTGCTGGTGCAGCCCTCGGCCTGGTTTCAGGTTTCAGGTAGGATTTGAATTGTGGTTTGGAAAATGCAGCGAGGAAGTGGCAGAATAGGCGGGCACGGAGATAGTCTGGGAGGTCCCCGGTGGACGTGAGTGTTTGCACGTGGACAGCTACCAAGGCCGCTTCCTCGAGAACAGGCATAGTTTTAAGGGTCTGGGGTGAAGTGAGCCAGGCCCCAGGGCCCCATTTCTAAGAAATGACAACTGGACAGCGTGGCCACTGGTGCCGAGGGCAGGCGTCGGTGAGCTCCAGGGGAGAAGCGAGGGTGGCCAGGCCCCGTGGGGAACAGATAAGTGACTTTTCCAGAAGAATAAAGGAGGTATCAGGACAGTGTCCAGCAGGGGAGGCAATTTTACGTTGGGTTTCCCCAGAGTAACGAGTAAACCCACAACTAGACGTGGCCTCCAGCAGAAGTGGAGGTGAACATTTAGGTGAGTCTGTGGCCGAGGTCATGCTGCTGTCACTGGGTTTTCTGACCCAGCCTGGAGGACCAGGTTCTTCCTGGAGTGGCAGTTTGGACAAGATTAGGGCACATCCAGTTTCTGCCCACGCACGGGGGCTGGGTTCAGGTGGGCAGCGAGCGCCCCGGGGAGGAAACACTGCATTGGCAACAGCTTTTCCGCTGCTTCTCCGTTAAGTGATATTTTAGCTCCTTGGTAGTAGCACCGAGTCTTTAACCAGGTCCGTGGATGGACCGGTGTCGGCAAGGACAATGCCGCCCCAGTGCCCCCTGCCCACACCAGTGTAAGATGTGTGGAGTTTGGAGACGTAAACCTGAAGATGTTTGTGCCAGGAAATGTGTGAAATGTAAACGTCAGGTGAAGTTGGACCTCTGAACCCCAGGGGGCGGCCCTCCAGTGGCAGCCAAAAGTGCTCACGCTGCCCCTCAGAGCTGGTGTGGTTCCTCCCTGGGGGGGGGGGGGGGCGCATAGGGACCAGGAGAGGAGCTTGGGGGACAAGCAGCCTCAGCAGGGCGGAGACAGAGCCCAGGCCGGAAGGAGCAGGGACACCTCCCTCTGGGTGGGAGCTGCCATTTTACCCACCTGTGCTCTTGGGGGGCCTTCTCCCACCTGTTTGAAAAGAACTGAATGTGATTCTGTCCTGCCTGGGGAGACTTGCAGGTCAGACAGAGGGAGCACCTGGGCCCCCGGGGAGCTCGGCAGCCTGGAGGGGGAGAGGCAGCAGCCCGGCCAGCCCCACTCCGTGTAGACAGCACCCTGGATGGCCAGAGCCCCACTGGGTCCCTCTCTCCCACCAAATGATAATCCCCCAGAAGGCGGGTGCATGAGCTCTGCGCCCCCCGCGTCCCCAGCAGAAATGCAGCCTGCCAACCACAGGGTGTTCATAAATATTGAGTGACTTCGTTCCAAAGTTTTCTCCTATGAAGTGAGTAGGACCAGGCATTGTAGGACCCCCGTGGCATGAGTACTGAGTTCTAGAACCCCTGCTGCCCACCAGCACAGAGGTGCAAGGGGGGCTGGTGTGGTGCCCACAGGCTCCGCTGCAGCGGCTGCCAGGGCGGACTTCCCCAGCACAGGGGTTCCGTCGTGAGCCCAGCTGCCAGTTTACGGGCGGCTGCAGGTGAGGACACAAACCCCTGGTCTCCGAGGTAAGGCTGTGTCTCCAAGCGCAGCAAGGCCACCCACAAAGTTCGGGTCACTCTCCTGCTCTTGGGACCACGGAGCCACCCTCCCCTCAGCCTTTGGGGACCCAGGTCCTGGGTGTCCTGCGGGGAGCACCAGGTGGGAGCCCAGGACGGATCCAGTTAGCAGCTCTTCTGCCTGCGCAAGTGCCTCACAGAACAGGGAGGCTTGTGTACAGATTCCCTCCCAGGCCGGCGAGTGTGAACCAACACCTGTTGGAACCGCCTCGGGCAGGGAACACGCCCAGCCGGCGCCCTGGGCTCTGCTGCAGGAGCTCCTGCTGGGACTGCAGCCCCCTCCCAGTCCAGCACCCCCTCCTCACCCTGCCCCGGCCCCAGGAGCCTCTCTGCAGGCCCGTGGCCATCACCACCGAGTCACCTGGACACCCAGTGACAGTGCCCATCACCTGGCCCACCCCGGACCTGGGGCTACACATACGGCCACTTTCACTCCCACTACTTTTTAATTAGGTGTTCATGACTGTCTCTTAACTAACTGAGGTTTGTGCTTTGGTGCCTTCACCGGTTCCCACCCCTGCCGCCTGCCTCAGGCAGCCCGTTCTCTGTAGGTTCCTTCAAGACCGCGATTCCCTCACACACGCGTGAGGCCGCACCGTGTCTCTCTCACCCGGCATCCTGTCCTCAAGGTCGCCACCGGCAGCCACCGGAGTCTGAAGTTCGGTCATATAAACCTTGCACGCCGACCAGAGCAATCAAAATAGCTATGTATACGTGAAAACCAAGATACACTTTATTCATTTATTTTTTAGGTATTTCTTTTGAAGATTTCTATTTATTTACCTTTAGAGGGAAAGGGAAGGAGAGAGGGAGAGAAATGTCAATGTAGGGTTGCTTCTCGTGCGCCCCCTGCTGGGAACTGGCCTGCAACCCAGGCATGTGCCCTGACGGGGAATCAAACCGCAACCCTTTGGTTTGCAGGCTCGAGCTCAATTCACTGAGCTACACCAGCCAGGGTTCAAGATACACTTTAATATATTTTCATTTACTTTACAACTTAACTTAAATCTAGAATGTTTATCTTTTCATATAAACCTGGTTTTTAAAATGGTGACTTGCTATTTTACATAAAAACACATTCAAAACCACTCCATTTGGGGGGCTTCTGATTCCCGTCCGGCGCAGGGAGGGGCAGTGAGGACCGCAGCTGCCGGACGGCACCAACTCGCCGCACTCCCGCACCCTCCCCACCAAGCACAGCAGTTCCACTTGGGTGTTTCCAACACAGTCCCTCCTAAAATTCATCTCTAAGGGCCGAAGACCAACTGAGGACGGACTGTCCTTGTGACAGAGTGTGGCAGGCCAGGCTCTCGCCGCACTCAGAACTTGAGAAGTGGGGAGTCCACGTTTTCCTTGTTGGCCTCGGGGCTCAGCTGGATCAGGGGGGCGCACAGGTCTGCCAGCTACAGGAGAGAAGCGGTGGGGGTGAGCAGCGCGCCCCGTCCCGCTGGCCCCCCTCCCCTTCCCACCAGGGGATACCGCACCGGGCCGCAGGGAGCTGTCCCCACCGTGGCTCGGGCACACTGACATCTCGAGGGCCCCTAAGAAGTCGGGAGAGAATGCCACCCACCAAAGCGCGCTGGGTCCCTCACACAGCTACGCTCTCCCATCACACAGGAGGCACCCGGGACCCAGGACCCCCTGGACCACGCCCTGGGTCCCTGGAAGTCCTCAGTGGGGCTGGAACTTGGAGCTCTCGCCACCAAAGGTGAGCTGTGCCTGGAGACCCATGGCCCTTAGGGGCCTAAAGGCCACTCTCCAGGGTCACCGTGAGGCCTGGGAATCCGGGGAGAAACCTGGAACGGAGACCACCCAAGGCCGGAGCCCCACGGCCCTCCGTGGTGCCTCACCTGTCCCATGTTGGGGAGCAGCTTGGCCACGGCGCTCCTCTCTGCATCCGGAGTGTTGACCAGGAGGTCGATCAGAGGCCCGCAGGCCCCTGGCGGGCTGCAGAAGTCGATGAGAGCGACGTCGGCAGGCGGGGAGCTCCGCGCGGCCGGGGCGATGCGGAGCTGCTCCAGCGGGATGTCCACCAGCAGAACCTAGACAGGGACCTGAGGGTGAGGGGCCATGTCCCTCATTTCTGTCTGGCGTCTCAGGAAACACAGGCCTTGCTACGTCCCAGGCATCAACACTTTGGAAAACGAAGGAAGGACGGGCCCCTGCTGGGGACAGCGGCCACCCCACCCGTGCACCTGCCTGCTGACCCCCACGCCCCTGCTTCCCTGTCAGTCCTTGGGGCCCGGCCCTCTTGGGTCACAGGGCAGAGGCGTGGCTTTTTTTTTACTGCAGGGGCGACTCTGCCAGCGGAAGCCTGGGTTACCACTCGGACTCCCGGCAGGTTCCACTGATCCGAGACACAGGAGAGTCCTTTGTTTCTGGTACCTCGGCCGGCGCCGTCTCCACAGGGGGCTGTGCCTCTCCTGCCGCGTGTGCTGTGGTGAGGCTGGCAGGGGCGGGGGAGTTGCTCTTTTCTGGAGAGAAGTGGAGAGCCTGCGGCACAGCCACCAGAGGAGAAGAGCTCCCGTCGGAGGACTCGTCTGAACACCCACTCCCCGGCGCAGGCCTGTGGGGGGAGGGGCTCATGAGGGAATTCCGGGGGGCCGCTGTGCGGGCCGAGAGCCAGTCTTGGAGGAGGGACCACCGTGGACAGCACCATGGCCCCAGTTCCGGCTCCACCAGGGGGACTGGTGGAGGTCCCCCGGACCAGCTCCGAAACTCTGCCTGCCTGCTCTCACCGTGCGCCCACCTCAGCCCCTTTCGCTCGAGTTATCACACAGGAGGCAAGGAGCAGCTCGTCCTGGGGAGTGGGCTCCACCCCCGGCCCTGTCGGGCGGCCCTGCCGCTCCCCGTCTGTCTGTCCCTAGATGGGCCCGCTCTCCAGTCCACCTGCTGCAGCCTCAGGGGCGTGACTGGCGCCTGGGCAGGGGTGGGCTCCCTGGCCCCACGACACCCCCTCCCAGGCAGACCGTCCTTCGGTGCCCGCTTCCCACTAGACACCGCAGCATGCCCCGCCCGCCACCCGCCTCCTGCGGGTCTCCAGGCCCAGGACACAGGCTGCGCCCGGCGGGCCCTCACACCCCCGCCACCTGGACACCGAATCACACGACAAAGCCAAAGAGACCAGCTGTTTCCGTAATTAACACACGGTATTTCCTTTCCAATATTGCAAAGGCTTTGTTACAACTCAAAGAGTTTTTGCTCTATTTACAAGTAAAAACCATCACCGTAACTGGTCTCATACCAGGTCTCCCTGGTGTGAGTGCGGCCCCATCCGCCTTCCTGTCTGCCACCTCCCCCCGGCCCCGCCACGTCCCCCGGACACCCCCCTTCTCACGGAACCACGCAGACACACGCGTGCAGACCAACATACATGGGGCACGGCACACCCACTGCACGGGCCGTGTGCCTCTTCACCGGTTTTCTCAGCCACTGTCTGTCTTAGGGAGATGGGACCTCACTCCGCATCCTGACCCCCAAGGGTTCCCATTGAAACGCCCCGAGTGAGCAGGAGCAGTGCCAAAGCGGCCCTTCCTGGAGGCCTGAGGGTGGGCGCCTTCCGGTCCCCGCCCCAGAGCCTCCTGCAGCACCTGAGTCTGGACTACATCTGGCACCCGGGGGGCGGGATCCCTGGGAACAGGCACGTGGGGCTGGGGTTTGAAGGTCGTTGATAGAGGGCGCTCCCCCAGCAGGGCCCCAGAACACCTCACTGCACTCTGGGTCGGCAGGGGCACTGAGGGCGAGAAGAGCTGTCTCCCGGTCTCTGCAGCGAGCACTCCCCAGAGGGCGTGACCCTGGCTCCTGCCGGGCAGCTGTGCGCAGACGAGGCAGCCTTGCCCGCACGGCGGCTGCTGGAGGCCTCGCAGATCTGAGACAGACCTCCGGCAGCCTCTCTGTCACCTCACCTCACCGCAGGTCTTTGCCGGGGCTCAGAAGATAGTCGGCGAGCAGCCCCTCGCTGGGGAGAAGCCAGAGTCCTGGGCTGGGTTCTTGGGGTCAGCACGGGAAGGCCTGAGAGCCGGCGGCCCGCAGGTGTGAGCAGGGTGGGCACGTGCCGCGTACTCACCGGGGTCCGGGAGACCGGCCCCGAGGCACGCCGCGCCGGAGTGCCGAGGACAGCCCTGGAAAGACAACGTTGGGGTCTTGTGCACAGGTGACCTCAGACGCGTCCAGTCGTTCAGCCAATGGGCCCGTGCAGCGGGGGGCTCAGTTCCCACAGAAGAGGTCGCACCAGGCAGGGGCCGAGCGGGCTGCCCCCGGCCCCGGCATGCGCCTCCAGTCCCTCCTCGCCCCGGCCCCACCTGTCCTCACAGGTTCCCCTTGCCTGGCCGTCCTTGCAGGCGCTGCCAGGATAACACACCTCACAGGAGGTTCGGGAGAGACCTAAGTCACAGGCCTTCCCACAAACACAGGCCAGCAACGCGAACGTCCCCACAACGGCACAGGTCAAGGTCAGTTGCTATGCCCTTCAGAGTCTAAAGCAGATCTGAGTGAGGACAGACACAGAGGACGATTCCAGGAAGGGGCTGGAAAGTGAGGCTGCACTGCCTGCCAGATCCGCACACTGCCCTGTGCCCCCAATCACTGCACATGGGCGGCTCCCCGCCCCCCTCCTCAGGGAGACCCAGGAGGTCAGACGACCCTCGCCATCCGGCCACAGAGGACGTGGGTCTGGCTCACCCCCGTGCTGGGAGGGGAAGCCTCTGGTCCAACCCCCTCCAGTGCTTCCAAGCTCAGAGACCAGTAAGTGCGAGCCCAGGGCTGTGGAAAGGCTCGCCGACGGCCCAGGCTGGCCGGGGGCAGAGCCAGGCTCCGTCCAGGCTTGCCCGCCGTGCCCTGCAAGGTCCAAAGCAGTGCACCCGCTCTGGCCACACATGGGCGCCAGGCTCCGCCTACAGTGGACGGGCTCAGGGCTGAGCAGCAGAGATGGTGCTTGTCCCTCCCCTGTGCTGAGCCCTCAGCGAGCCGGGCCGGGTCATCAGAAAGGGCCAGAGGTGGCCAGAGCAGCCCCGATCACGGCAAGCAGGGCCAGGGCGGGAGGACGGTGAAGGGGAGGGGCCGCCGAACGACCCCTGTGCCGGCCCAGGCCTCCTGGGGTGGGCGCGTGATTTCCCCTGTGGGGTCTGCCGTGCTGAGCTGGAGCCGCTCGGCCGGGAGGGTGAGAGCTCAGGGTCAGCCACACTGGACAACTCAGACCAGCTCTAATCAGGACGTGGAGAAGCCGGGACTCACACTGAGTCTGAGTGACCTCACCGACCCGTGGTCTCCATCGGTGGCGTGAACTAGAGTCACCCCTGGGGGTCCTCAGATGCTGGGTGGCACCCAGTGCAGCCAGTCAGCCTCTCAGGCTGGACAGGCACGAACACCACTCTGAAGGCAGCTCCGCTGGGCGCCTGACTGACAGCCGCCCCAGGCCAGGGCTGGGGGCCAGCCCTCACACCGCAGGGGCAGGTCTGTGGCTGCATGAGCTGCGGTGGCTGTAAAAGTGGCCCCAAGAGATGGGGGTGAGGGCCAGACACGTGGGGCCGGGCCATGGGGACCCCACGGGAAGCTAGCAGAGGCGTTTGTTTGTCTCCAGGGTCACGCAGCTCATTACCTCCCCGATGATGTGCAGGACTGCGGCCTCGGTGCCCGGGACAGCCGGGGTGTCGGGCAGTCTGGGGGTCCACCTGAGACGAGAGAGGAAGCAAGCGGTCAGTCCACAGGGACCAGGCGGTCTGTCCCTCGCCAGGGCGCCTCGCCGTCTCCACTGACCCCTGGGCGTAGCGAACGGGCATGGAAACGAGGGGTGCTCAGACAAGCCCACGGGGGACCCACTGGGCAGGGCCCTAAGGTGCCCCTGCTGGATGGGAGGGAGGAGCCCAGGCCCCAGCCCGGCCACTGTCCTTGGCAGGCAGAGAGCAGGACTTGAAGAGTGACGAGGACATCCCTGCTGCTCAGGGGGCCCCTGACCCGCCGGACGCCTGCCCATGGTGGCACCAAGGCCCTCCCTTCCCCAAACCAGGGCTTCCCCGTAGTCATCAAAAGACATCCCATTGCTGTCACTGTGTTGCCACAGGCCTTGTGGTTGATGACTGTCTCCCTGCAGAGGGTCTCCAGGCCCCAGGACGGTGACAAGGGGGAGAAGGGCTGAGCAGCACCCCAGGCTGCAGGCCCACGAGTCAGCCCAGAGCGGTGCCAGCTCCCCCGAAACCGGTTTGCAAACTCGCCTCGGGGCCCCCAGGCCGCACCTGGCCACCTCCCGGGAGCCAGGGGTGAGGACACTGTCCCCAGAGCCCCCTGTGCTACAGGTGCCCCCCCGCCCTGAACAAACGTGCCCTGCCCCCATGCCCCTCCCACCCCACCCCACCCTTCCGCACCTTCTCAAAGCAGACTCGTCCCCACGGAGCTGCCCAGAGCCGCTCCCCACTTCCCACCTTCCCTTCTGCTCAGAGCTCGGCCTCCAAAGTGGCTCCCCAGACGGAACCGCGGTCCCCGCCGCGCCCACCCACCTCCAACACCTCTGCCCCATTTCGCCTTCTTCCCGTCTCTCCACCGCCCGCAGCGCCACCTCCTCACCCTCCAAACGCCCGGGAGTTGCCGTGCGAACCGGCTCCCCACAGCCCAGCGCTGGTCCCAGAGCCCGTCCAGCACTCGTCCCTCCACGCAGGACACATGGGCTGCCTCCTCACGGTGCGGAGCTCTGCTCAGTGTCACCTGCCGTGAGGAGCCTCTGTGGACAATCTAAGGGAAGGACCCGAGGTCCACCTCCTTCCCCGACACATATCAGGCACCGTGACATCACCTTTCCACACCCACGACCAGAAAGCACGCCTGTTTCCTGTCTCCTACTATGGAAACGCAGGTTCTGTGAGGCCGGGTCTGTCTTGTCCTCACATCCCTCACACCTCACAGAGGGCCCAGCACTGGAGACACTCGGTGGAAGAGCACGTCCTTACATGGCAGTCAAGGCACCGGACTCGCCGGCAACGCCGATAACTCAAAACGGCCTGGGGGCCTGGGCAGCGTCCAGAAGAGGCAGAGCTCCCCCCACAACGGCCTGGGCGGCGCCTGTCATGCCCACTCGCCTGGGTCAGGCTGCCACCCAGAGTGCCGGCACACTCAGGCTAAGACGAGGGGTACGTGAGGTCAGCCGCAGCTCACGCTGGGACACACTCACACCCTCTCGGCCGATGGGAGACCTCGGGGACACACGGCGCATTCAGCAGAGACCTGGAAAGGCCACCGGTCAGCACAGGGCTGAACTGTCCCAGGAGTAACAGCGATGTGGGACTCACGCATCGAAGCCTGAAAAGCAGCCTCACAAGGATCGAGGAGACTTGAAATTTAACTGCCTGCCGAGGCAAAACTCAATTAATTCTATAAAGACAGCAAAATCCACACACTCAAACAATGTAAAATCACAATGTCCAGCAGACAACAAAAACTCACTACACATGTGGAAAAGCAGGAAAACATGACCCTGCCCAGGAACAGGAAGCACCGGATCGTGGGGCCACTGCAGGGCGGGGGAAATCGGCTCTCAGGCCAACAGCGGGCCCAGACACCCTGCCAGGGAGCAGACCCGTGGCCCAGGGGACAGGTGGCGGCGCTGGCACCAGAAGCTGCAGGGGACAGAGCTGAGCCTCGGTGGCCCACGCCGAGGAGCCTGCAGCGCGTGTGCTGAGAGTCGCAGGAAATGCAGGGACGCCAGAAAAATACTTGAAGAAATAATGGCCACGTTTGGCCAGATTTGACTAAAAATATCAGCCCACAGATTAAAGAAGCTCGAGAACCCTCTAGCATAAGGACACCAGGAAAGCCACACCAAACTCCGGCATCCCCAAAACGCCGAACAAGAGCAGGGGTGGGAGCGGTAGGGCCCTAGTGTTACGTGGAAGGGCACGTGCGATAAGGAGCCCCTGGCCCCGCCCCTGCCCCGCCCCCTGCTTCTCCTCCAGAGGCGGGGCTAAAGCGCTCCAGGAAGGGGGCGCCACGAAGCCGTCTGGACTTTACATAGAACTCGTTCACCATTCCCGAAACCCATCCCGATGGCCTTGACTCACCGGCAGGAAACTTAGGGACTTTAAACGGACTCGCAGGCACGACCTTTGTCCCGGAGTGCAGCAAGGACTCCCGCCTGGCGCCCCGGACCGCACTCCGCTGACCAGAGCAGGGCAGACGGGGCTGAGAGCTCAGCCTCGCACCTCTGGGCTCTGGCGTCCAGGGCTGGGGCAGAGCCGACGTGGTGGGTGCAGCAGGACGCTTAGGGGTCACCTCAGCCCGCCCGGGGCACCGGCTCTGCCCACACACGGCCACAGGGCGTGCCTGGGCCTCGGCAGCTCCTGCTGGGCCTGGCTGGCCGGGGTCCGAGGGAGGCCGGGAACCTTCTGTAGAAACCCTCGGACGTTCACCTGATTTACCTGGAAGAGGAGCCACACGAAACCGGGTTACCGCTCAGGCTCGCATGACTTCCAACGTGTGATGTGAAGTTACACGCACGTGAGTAGCCCACATGCGAAGTGCTCTCTTCAGCACATATGTCCGCTTGGCACTGTTCGCCAGTGGGGCACACTATTACCATCCACGTGACGGTTTCCAACTAAGCGGAACACGTGACACCAGGGACAACGTTCTGTGTGTCCTTCAGGCAGTGTCTTCCATTGCAGGACAAGCCAGGCCGCTGTGGCTGGTCCGAGCGGGCTCCACAGGCCACTGTGGATGGTCACCGAGAGGCAGGTGAGGGTGCCCAGCCTGGCGCGCTGTCCTCTGGTCCAGTCGACCACAGGCGCCTACGCTGCTGCTGCACAGCGACAGGCAGCGAGTACCACGCCGTCGAGGACAGGCGGCTGCATGGAGCTGCCACCCAGCGTTTCACAGCTGACAAGCTGCTCACTGGGAGCCCAGATTCTTAGGTGAGGACCCCGGGCTAAAGGTCTGCACCCCACATTCCCGCTCTGCTTCCCTCGGGGCACCTGCAAAAATCGCCACTTGGCCCTGAGCCTGCGAAAGCCCAGTGAGCTCTGCCCGAACGTCAGCCAAGTGCCGGGGGCACCCCTCCCGCCCGCTCTTGGTTTCTCGCCCCTGGGTGCCTGGGGGTGGAGGCTGCCTCTCCGAGGGCTCCCTGCCTGCCCCGCATTTCTGGGACCTGTAAGCAGCAAATCTAGGGACTTGACTTGCTCTGTGGGAGTGTTTTGAAACTGCACCTTCGATCTCACCGGCCCGAGTCTTTTCACCCGGGGACGTCGGGGCCCAGCTGCTGAGGGAACTCCGCCGGCCCGTATGGGTGGCCCGTGCCCCCTCGTTCAGTAGGCCATCCCCTGCATACCCTCAGCCTCAGACTCCAGCAGCCACCCTCCCTACCCCATGCAGTCAGGGAGGCGGCGAGGGGCCGGAAGAGGAGCTGTGATCATGACAACCACTGCGGTCCTTCCCTGTAAACCACAGGAGGCTGGGGCCTATCGGTCAAGGGTGCAGTTTCCGACAGAAGAGCAGACAGACTCGGGTGGCAGTCCTCGGCTGCCAACGTGACCCCAAGTCAGTCAGTGTGGGGGAGGAGCCCTCTTCACTGGCCGTGACCGACGGACGGAGGCTCGGAAGGGCCCACAAGGTGCCGTGCTAAGGGCGATCGGCCGGGTGTGGGTGCTCTGGGTGCCTCCCCGGCCTTGTCCCTCCGAGGCCTCTGACGCTCCCCACTTTTCCATGAAGGCAACTGGGGGTGCGGGAGGTGGGAGCCTCGGGGTGCCTTCTGGTGGTTTATAAAGAACGTTTTCTCGCCCTTGCCAGACAGCTCAGGTGGTTGGGGCACCATCCTGACAGGCAGGGTTGTGGGTTTGATTCCCAGGCAGGGCCCACACGGGAATCAGCCCGGGATGCGTGCATGGGCGGAACAAACTGGTATGTCTTTCTTCTTCTCTCTCTAAAAACCAGTCAATCGATAATTTTTTTTAAGGAACACGTCCCTTAGATTTCTGAGGTCCCCATTTGCTCCTCTCACTCGGCAGGCCAGCCTCTGCTCAAGTGGCCCTGGCGTCAGCCCGAGAGGTCATCGAGCCCCCACCCTGTCGTCCAGGGTGACACCATCAGCAGTGTCACTGGCCTGTGTGGACCTGGGAGGTGACCCTGGCTCGTCCTTGGGAGGGGGACGGATCTGCTCTGACCAGTGTTGGGTCCACAGTCTCGGTTCGGTGTGCAGCCAGGACCATGCTCACGTCTCCCCAGGAGTCACCCCACCCCCAAGCGGTCCCACTGCCTCGGACATTTCGTCCCAAGGTGCCCGTTTTGGCAGGGAACAGCACCTGTTCCACACCGGCAGGAGCCCCGCCCACCGCCCAGGTTCCGCCCCCCCGCCAGTGGTTCAGAGCGACCCTCTCCAGAAAGTGGCCACATCCGGTTTGATGCAGCCCGGGCTGGTAAGGCTCCCCTGTGCCGGCTGGACCCCCGAGCATGACCTCTTGGGGAGATTTCTGCCACCTCTCCCTAACACTCAGGGTGAATGAGAGGGGCTCCGGGCCCACCTCCACCCCCACAGTGTCCCCTGAGGGTCTGGCCACCTTACCTGTGCTCGCCACAGGGGGCGCACGTGCTCTGGAGCTGCGGCCCGAAAAGCCCCCGGGGGCACTGGGCCTTCCCGCCAGACTAGCCACACCACCAGGGGGCTTCGGCGCGGTTCTCTTCAGGACCGTCTGGAAGGAAATGTCAACTGTCATCGAAGACTCCATCATCAATTCAATACTCATTTCCGCAAGAGTACGGTTTTGTAACACTTTTCAATAATGCCATGACCATCATCTTGAATCAGAGAAGAAGGTCAAGCGGTTTTCCTCCAGGTCCCACAAGAGCAGCCCCTGGGGAGCTCACTGAGCCATGGGTGCCAGCCGGCGTCTGGCAGCTTGGCCGCCAACTCGCAGAAGCGGATGGCAGAAAGGTGGACGCTGGTCCCCATGCCCAGGAGGAGCTGAGGTCACGGCCCTGCCGCAGGGAGGACCCCTGCGTCACAGACGCACTGCCATGCTGGCAGGTCAGACACCCCACCCACGTGACCCCCGGGCGGCAGAGGCAAGCCCCCCCCTTCTTGCTTCTCCAAGCTGCCTCCCAGGGTCACACCGTCAGCCCGCCTGACCCCGACTGCAGTTCAAGGTCACGGCCCCCGTCTGCAGGGCTGCCAGCCTGCCCCCGCTTCGCTCACGAGCCACAGCCAAGCGGCAGCCGAGCTGACCCACCTTGCTGGGCACGGGGAACAGTCGTTTGCCTGGGCCCAGGTGGCCTCCGTGGGCTGGCACGCTGGTGACATCCTGGGCAGCGCTGGGCGAGTCAGGGGGCCTGTCCCTCTGCGGCTCCTTCTCGGCCAGGGCTTCCGCCCCAGAAGGACTTGCTGGTGTCTCCTTCGTGGAATGAAAATGTTAAATCGGGGTGTGACAGCCGTCTGGTCTGGACCACGTACAGACACACAAAGGCTCCCGCTTAGAGCAGCTGCCCACACCAACCAGCTCCCCAGTGCCACATGGGCCCCTTCATCTGCCACCGAGTTTGAGGTACGCAGCGGGTCACTTCCTCCACCAAATCACCACGAACTAGAGCGACAAGCAACTCACTACGCAGCTTCCCTAAAAACCAGTGCCGTCCTTGCAGGACAGACTGGCCCTGCGCTGCAGACGGACCCGCTAGGGCGAGCACCCCTCCTTCACGACCACTGTTCTCGGTGGAGCCCCACCGAGTCCTCAGGCTGTGCAGAGGGGTCGCTCACGACCCGGTCGTCCCCTCTATCAGCAGAGCCACTCGGCGGCGGCAGCAAATCCCTCCCCCGACCTCTGCTGGCACCAAGAGCCGTTTTCCTTTCGCCAGCAGAGCCAAACAAGTCACAAATCCCCAGCCCCCTGGTGACCAGGGCACACTCCGGGCTGAGCCAGCTCACAAACAACCCAGCTGCCAGAGCTGTGAGAAGCTCACAGTGCCACAGGGATGAGGCTGCACCTCCGTCCTTCACGTCACCTTAAACATCGAGACACCCCAACCCCACAGAGGTCACCGTCTCGTGGCGCGGGACAGCCACCGCAGTCTAATCGTAGGGCACATCTGTGGCCCTGAAACACGCACACTGCCGGGGCAGTCACGCCCCAGCCAAGGCCCCTCATCGGCTCCCTAATTTGCCCATTGCGGTCACCTCACGTAAAAGGGGTCACGCGGTTGGGGACCCTTGTGACTGGCTCTTCCCCTGAGCCACACTGCCCAGGCCTCCTGCCTCAGCCCGTGTCAGCACTGTCCACACAACGCGCCCCCCGGCAAGGACAGGCCTTGTGCCATGGGTCTGCCCGCCAGCTGCCGTGGACCCGGCACACGGGCTCTCGTGGGGACAGAGGCCCCAGTTCTCTGGGACACACCCCACATTTCTGAATAGTCCGCCCGAGTGGTCAGGCATTTCTGGAGGCCATGCTCAGAGGAGGGGTGCCAGTGAGTCACCGGGGAAAGGACGGCGTGTCCCAGAAACATGTGTGGGTGGGTGCCCAAGTGAGCGCCGCCTGCGGCTCAGCTGCAGCAGCAACACCTCACGGGTCGGAACCCCCGCTCTCTGGCACCAGGTCGCTCCCGGGAGGGGACAGAGGCCCCAGAAGAGCCCACATTCTAAGGCAATCTCTCTGCCCTGAGTCAACTCTTTACACAAGACACTTGTCAACCTTATTCCAGAAACATCAGCTTAGCGATGCGCATGCAAACACTCTCCATTCGATGAAAGGCTGCCCCTGGCCTGCCTCCCGGTCCACACTGGGTCCCCGCTCTGCGGGTCCTGCCGGGGGGCGCCTTCGGCGGCTCAGCTCCGGGGCCTGATCATGGGGCATGTGGTTCAGGACTTTTTGTGGAGGGGAAAAAGGGCCGTCCAGGCCCTGGCCAGATGTCTGCATTGACCTAAACTGCCAACAGCCCCACCAAGTGTCACCGTGGTGACTGAGGGGACAGGCGCAGAGTGGGGCAGTGCGGGGAAAGGCCCCGGGCAGGCTGCAGCCAGCTCCTCCCGAGTACGAGCTCCCTCCCTCCCTCGCTCCCGGCCTGCCCTGGGCGCACAGCCAGGCTAAACCTGGGAGCAGCCTTCACCTGACCCCCAACCCCTGCTACCCTGTGCCCTCCCCTCCAGCCACCAGGACCCCCGCTTCCCGGAGCTGGCTGACAGTGCCCCAAAGGGACACCTGCCCACTACCACTTCCCGGGACAGCTCCTTGCCTGCCACCCACTGGGAAAGCAGCTCAACTCAGTCACCGTTTAGGAGGATGACGAGCAGCTGTTCCAGGAGGGGCAATTTTTGGAAGCTGGTTGGTAATGCAAATGCAACCCCCACTGGACGAAATATCCAGTCTTGTGACAGAGTGAAAGAAACCATTTCAACCAGAACTTAGGAGGCGTTGCCCACATCTGCCCCAAACCCAGCCCCCATCGCCACGAGCCCTTGTGGCAGCCACGCCTCCACGTTCCTCCCCAGGAAGGTCCACGCTAACCTACGAAGGCCCACAAGCCAGGGACCACCTCTCGTTCCCAGACCAACAGCTGCCGCGTGGCTGTGGCTACCTTCTCCACGGCCAAGTGCACACTTTTTCCTCTGACAGACGCTCGGGGCGGTGGCAGTTTGCTGACAACCTTTTTCTGAGTCACTGCCTGGTTCGGAGGGCCGACGGGACTGGATTCCAGGGGCAGAGAGGGACGGGAAGGGAGCGGGGGCCCCCACGTCCGGGTGAGGTGGGCCTGGGCCGTGATATTCTGGGGAGCCACACCTGAGTCGGGCTGGACGCCCGACAGCTGCAGCCAGCTCAAGGGGCTGTCCGACAGGCAGTATGTCTCCCTTTTAAGTGAGTTGGGGCTTTTCTTGCTTTTATTTTCTTTCTCGAACAGGCTCATTTTGAGCTTTGAGTCCTGTATGAACCTCTCCCCTCCCTGGCATTCCGAGTCTCCAGGCCCGGCCGCCTGGTCCCTGCTGCTGCTTGCTATCTGGAAGGCCAGGAGGTGCGCTTCCTTGTAAACCTCCACGAACTTCTCCCCGGTGAGGGGGCTCCAGTGGACGTGACTGGCTTCGGGACTTGGATCGGCTCGTTCCAACCTGGCAGCGACACACCTCTCTCGGTGCCCGACAGGTCCGAAGAAGACCTCGTCATCCTCGTCGTCATTTGCACTGTTTTAGAAGAAAATGGTTACTGGCATTTAAGTGGGAGGTCTCACCGAATGTGGTTATGCCCACGGCGAGGGAAGAAACGCCTTTGTTTACCTTAGAGAAGACAGTGAAAGATCGAAGTCGAATTTTTCATCAGCCAAAAGAACAGCATCTGGGGGAGAAGGTCTGTCGTCATTTGGGGGTCACAGCCGACACACCGAAGCTCGTCACCTGTCCCCACCCAGACTGCTGAGAAAGCTCACTCCCCAGAGGGTGACTTCCGGTCACTTAGCAGCCCCATTTTCACAGGCGGCTCCAGATGGTCTGACTTTTTCCATTTTCTTTTTAAAACAGCACCAGCCGTCCCAGGTTTGCTAAGCCCGTCTGAACACCTAACTGCTGCTTTTACAGACGGGATCCGAAAAGCGTTCGCCCCGCCACCTGAGCAGCCACCCGGGCAGCTGAGTCGTTTTCGGGTGTGGACATTCTCCGAGGACCGCCTGCCTCAGCTCCCCTGGAGGCAGGTCCCCTGCTTACAAACCACAGAATATCTATCCCCCTTTCAAAAACAAATTCAATATTTGACACTTTTTTTTTAAAAAAGAAACCCTAGCCCAGCTGGTGAGGCTCAGTGGATTGAGCACTGACCTGCGAACCAAAGGGTTGCTGGTTCGATTCCCAGTCAGGGCACATGCCTGGGTTGCGGCCCAGGTCCCCAGTACAGGGTGTGCGAGAGGCAACCGCACACTGATGCTTCTCTCCCTCCCCATGTCTCTAAAAATAAATAAATAAAATCTTTAAAAATAAAGTAAAATTAAAATTTTAAAGAAACCCTGAAAGAACAATAAACCATGGGGAAACTATCTCATAACAGGGAGTGTGAAGGTGCAGGACACCGACCAGAAGCCATAAAAGGAAAGGCTGATGGTCCAATACATAAAACTGTTTCAGATCTGCCTGGCAAAAGTGACCCTGAGCAAAGTTAAAAGACACAATGAACAGAGTAAAGCACACCTGTAGCTCGCCCCGCGCAGGGCTAATTCACAAATAGTGCCTACAAAGCGCTAAGGAAACATTTAACCACGCAACGGGAGGATGGACAGAGAACACGGAGGGATGAAGTTCATGGAAAAAAGAAATGGAGCGTTCTCGAATCTACGTCCAGAAGCTCAGCCTCACTCAGAAATAGGAGTGACGAAAAACCAACAGCGCGAGACTCCACTTTTCCCCCCTCGGACTGTTAAAAGTCAGACAAAGCGTGGGCAAGGCTGCGGGGAAGGAGAGGGTGCCCATCAGCACGGGCGCCCAGGGCAAGCGGGCGGCGGCGCCTCCCAAAACCCATACCGCGCCCCCGGCCCAGAGAGCTGGCACTCACAATGTCCTCAGTAGCAGCAGCATTTGTCACAGCTGGGCACGGGACACAGAATAAATGCCCACCCACGCAGAGGAGACAAATCACGGTACCGCCCCACAACAGGGCACACTTAGGCACCTAAAGGAAGAGTAACACTTCATGTGTGGCTATACGAGATGGACAGGATAAACGTGGCCCAGACAGTCGGAGACGCAGGGCTGGGCTGCACATGCCTTGAGGCAGGCTCTCTCAGAAGCAGGGAATGGACTGGCCTGGGACACACACACACACACACACACACACACACACACACTCTGGTTTGCACTTGCACAGACTAGACCTGGAAGAAGGCCCAGGCACCGATGGCATCGACGGACTTTGGAGGGGCACCTGGGCGGCCGAGGGACAAAAACGAGAGACAGACAGGCGCTTCACTTTTTACACGCCTGAACCGAGGAAGTCACATGCATAGGTCACTGCTGGCGACCTCCAAGCATCTGGTATGGAAAAAGGGGCCCCAGACCAGGGGTCGGGGAAAAGCCCCCACCTCCATGGGCTCCGCCACCGGCTCGCAGCCAATGTGTGCCTCCCTCTGCTGCAGGTGCACCCCCACCCTGCAGACAGGGAACGTGGTGCTGTCCGCAGGAGCACGCTGATGGGGGAGCCCTAGTGAGGGGACTGACTGGTCAGGGGCCGAAGCAGCTGCAGGAGGTGGACACACAGGGCGGCCAGATCCCGAGGGTTTGCAGGGAGCTGCTCTTCTATCCACCCGGAAGCTACTGAAGGGTTTGAAGCAGACACGCGGTCTGACCTGGCTCATGTTTTTAGAAGGTCACCCGGCTGCTGCACGGAGCGAATCAGAAAGGAAGCTGACAGGATCTATGAAAATGAGAGATGCACACGCTGGCCAAACGCAAAATATACAAGAAGGCAGAGGTGAGCTGATGTGGCTGAGACCAATGTGGTGACATCTGTGTGGAGCCGAAAAGGGGTCAACGGATCCAAAACACATTCTGATGGTTGAAGCAACAGGAACTGAGGGCTGAAGGAGTGTGGCAGCTTCTCGACGAGCTGGGTGACTGGAGGGGATACTTACTCACATGAGAAAGACAAAGAACAGGCCAGACCAGGTGGGAGCAGGGACACGCTGAGACCAAGGTGCCAAACAGGCAGGCGTGCACACCAGACCAGAGCTCAGTGGAGAGGCTGTGTGAGCTCAAGGCCGAATGTGGCCGCCACTGGAGAGGGACGTGGTTAACGCCCTGGGAGCGTCAGAGAGCCCCTGTGGAAGCCCAGAGACACGGGGTCTGGTCCTGGGGAAGATCATCTTCGGGAGATGGCAGAGGAAGAGGCCTCTGGAGAGAGATGGAGGGACACCAGACATGGAAGCAGGAGCAAAACCAAGATGCCCTGGAAGCCAACAAAGATGCAGCCAGTTACCTAGGAATGCAGCTGGAGTGAGGGGTGAGGGCAGGAGGAGCTGGTTGGGTTTGAGGCACTAGCAGAGCAGGCAGAGAAAGCCCTGGAGTCTGGCTCCGAAGGAGGCGCGCTCTGCAATGCAGAGGACGAGGTACAAGCGAGATAACAGGGAAGGTCAAGGAAGAGTGTGGGATTGTGGACAGGCAAAAGCAAGGATGCCAAGGGAGGGTGACGGAGGGCTGAAGTCCTCAAGAGAAGCAGTGGGGATTCAGCCAACACATTGAAGGGACTGGCGTTTGGAAAGAATACACCAGGAAGGAGAGGGGTGTGCAACTGCAAATACCTTCCTGTGCACAACGAAGAACGGGTGATTTCTGCAAAATGGAGGTGTTAAGGATGCTTGGTTCCCAGTCTACCCACCTCACACGGATGTTGAGGAACAAACGGTGAAAGGATGTCAAAATGCTTTACCAGAAAGAGGGTACCACCCCTAATTCTTCCTGTGAGGCTGTACTCGAAACCGGCACTCACACCTGACGGGCTGAACAAGACAGCCAAGTGACAGCCAGAGTCCCTCACTAAGGCGGTCCTGAAGATCTTAAACCAGCGCTGGTAAACGGAAACCAGCCACAAACGGGAGGAAAACACCAGGTTCCATCCCACAGATGATCTGAGTGAGGTGCCAGGTGGAGGTCTGGGCCCAGGGGGTTAGGGCAGCAAATAAAAGCGGAGAGAATCCCTTTTAGGACGTGAAACTGGGCGTCCAGGAGGTGGAGAAAAGCTAACAACAAAGAAGGCAGACTCAGGCAAACTCCTTACAGACAGACGCATGCAAACCATGAGTTCCATGGGTACGGAGCACAGGATGACGCGGAATAAATAGGTAAGTGCTCACGGAAGGATGAAATGGACCGACATCTTCACTGGGCTCCCTGAACAACAGCGCTGCAGAGATGGGCACATACCATCCTTCCTGGGACCCTCCACCTCCGCTTCGCCCGCCCGGCGGGCTGGAAGCACGTCGCTGCTGTCTCCAACTTCCATGCCCAGCGCTGTCAGGGAGTCCCTGCGGGAATGAGGGACCAGTGGTCAGCTGGGGTCAGAGGCCAGGTCCTCCGGTTCCCTCGCCCCGGGGACGCCCAGCAGCGTGAGCACCACGGACAGAGACGCGACGCAGCCCCCGGGGCCACGCGCCTCCAGACCTCGAGATCGGGGGCGGCGCCGGTCCGAGCCGGGGCGAATGCCCCAGACGGCGACAACGGAATTCACAGCTCTCGGCCGGGCTGCTGTGGGATCGGAACACGCGAGGGGACCCCGCTGCTCCCGGACCCAAGCCCACCGGAAGCCCCTGCTCCGTACCCGCTGCTGCGCCTGGCCGACACGCCTCCGCCCTAGATTTAAACTCGGAGCGACGAGCGCGGAGCGGGCTGCTATTGGCCGGTTTGAAAAGGTCTCTTCACTGTCGCCTTTCCCGGTGCACCCTGGGGGCTGTAGTCCGAGCGGCTCGGAGGAGCATGCGCGCGTGAGCGCTGCCTGCGCGCGCTGGGGATTGCGCATGCCCGAGTTCCGTCCACCCTGGGGGCGGAGGTTACTTACAGCTACCTTGTGTGTATCTGCAGGTGTAGCCTCACGACGGCTACGTGTGGCCAACGACACTGTTCTGATCTCCGTTCTTCATCCGTGAATGGAGAAAATTAAATTCCAATCATAGAGTGTTGTTGTGAAGACCAGATGAAACAGGCGCATCTGCCTGCTTTTCAAAGCAGTAGGTGACAGGTCCTAATATGTCAATTAAGAAGCGGGGTCCCTGCCCGGAGGAACGCACGGAGGCACCGTAAACCAGACGACGCCGGGTTTTGCCCCTGGACCAGGAGAAGCCGCCCGGCCGTTGTGAGGGCCTCAGCACAGCCACAGGGTGTGGCGGGAACCCACTCCTGGCTTTAGAGTCCTGGGGAGCTGGATCCTTTTGGGGTGCTGGGGGTGTGGATTGCAGGGGTGCGTCTCAAGACAGCGTCCGGTGGCCAGGTTGGAGCAAACAGGAGACCCGTGGTCTGAGAGGTGGGAGGATGATTGGTGGCCAGGCCAATCAGGTAGAACCAATTGGAGCCTCGGACTGTACGCCAGATATTAGTAATGCCCACCTGATGGGCTCCAGGGTGGAATGAGGGGCTCCACCCAGGGCACCGTGTCATGAAGCTGTTGCTGCACTTGATAGGGACTTGAAAGGGTCAGGCCAGTTTCCAACCCGTGGGACTGCCCATGACTCAGCTGTCCCCACTCGCCTGATAGCCTGTGGCATAATCGAAACTCTCCCATCTTGCACAACAGACATCTGGTGCCAGCTACAAGGGCCTGTGGTCAGCCTGACCCTCCTGTCCCTGGGAGCAGTCCGCCCTTTTCCTGACCCATTGTCCTGGCTCACATCCTGGAACCCTGAAGCACCTGTCTGGAAGAACAAGAGACTCACCCCACCCCTATCCTCTCACAAACCCCGTGCTTCTACTTTTCAAAAAACCCATTCCTGCCTCCCCCAGGGACTGCCGTCGATCCGACTCAGCCGCCCTGTAACGGCAGCATCAAATAAAGGCTGTTGGATCAGATCGTCCGCTTCCTCCTGCCTGTTGCTCCGCATTTCCAACAGGACCGAAAGAAGGGGAGGGCAGCAGGGAGCAGCCCGGGGCCTCCTGCGGGGTCTGCTGCAGAAAGATGGATTCTGGAGGGAGAGCACCACGACCAGGGTCGATGTGGGGCCATCTACTTGGGCAGTTTGGGTGGAGACCTATGGGGGGGGGCATTCGTCCTGTGTCCAGGACCTCCACCAAGAAGCCTTCCAGGATGGCCCGGCCACCTCCGGCCTGCCCTGTCCCTGGTGTCACACCAACCACACCCATCACTCCTTGTTGCTCTGGTCCTGTGTCACTTCTGACTCCACGTCTGGCTCCTCAACAGACTCTGAGCTCCCACGGGGCAGGGTGGGTCCCAGTCAGCGCTGTCCTCCAGCCTCACCAGCCCAGGGCAGGGCACCAGGCAGGAGCTCTGTGAGGACTGGGCAAGATGGCCCCGGGGCGGTGGGGAGCAGCTGGGAAGGAGTCCGCCTGCACTCTGCATTCCCTTCAACTTGTCCTGGCAACCCCCTGCCACCTCCTACCTGGGGGCTCCCTCTTCAGCCTCCCTCTCCACCCCCACTGTGTTCCCACGTGCTGGGCCCCGGACCCCGGGATTCCCACCTGAGCCTCTGATCACAGGCTCCTTTCTGCGTCCCTTCATCTTTGGCACAAGATCCTGCTTCACTGGAGAGAGATGGTGCCAGACAGACCCAGGTGCAAACCCCGGCTGCGAGTCCTGGCCAACAGCCTCTGGGTGCCAGAACCAGAAAACCAGCTTCCTGCAGGCTTTAGAAAGAGGAGAATCCATTGGCTCAGGAAACAGGGAAGCCCGGGAGTGGCCCTGCTCCAGGCCTGGATAGAGAGAGGGGCTCAGAGGAGGGTGCAGGTGGGTCATCTCCCAGCCCCCGCTCTGGGGTCCTGCCGCTTTGTCGGGCCCGGCAGCCCAGGAGCCCCAGGCTTCCCTCCACCCGCTGGAGGCAGCAGCTGGCTTGGTGCTGCTGGGTCTCACCTATGGTCCCAAGGCCAGCCTTGCCTGACTCGTGACCACGGGGCAGCTGTGTGTGGCAGCAGGATAGAGGGTCTTCAACTTGGGGGGGGTGTTGGCTCAGGTGTCAGATCCCCACTTCGCTGCTGGGGGTAAGGGGCCCCAACACCCATTCCCGATGCCCCTCTTCCTGCAGCCAGTCAGCACCTAGTAGGTGCTCAGTGAACAGCACCAGTGCTTAAGGACTTGTTGCTGCAAACTCTAAACTCTTATCTTCCCTCCATCTGCCTCTTAAGCCTTTTCTTCTCTTTTGTGATTGGCCTCTCACTGTAGATTCTTTTTTTCCTGCCCCCGGTAGGGTTCTGCTTCATTCCCTTATGCATTCAACAACGAGTTCAATCAACAGGCCACACGTTGGGTGACACTGGTCTCGACCCAAGGAGGTGACAGCAGGGGAGGAAGGTGCGGTAGCCAGCGCAGGTGCCCAGGGCTGCAGAGGCGCCCTCTGCAGCCTGCAGTGGGGGGTGGAGGGCTGTCCAGAGGACGGACCAGGGTCCCTGCCCCACCCCGGCCGAGTTGTGTGTTGCCTGGAGCCAGGAGAGGGGAGGGCAGACGGGGTGTGGGCAGGCTGTCCAGGGAAGCGGCGGGGGGACAGCACAGGACGGAGGACAGGCTCCCCCCTAAGGATGAGCCCCTCATTCCTGGGCAGAGACTGCACATTCCTCTCTCGAAATCCTAATGGGATTACCCATTTTCTTGACTCCACACCCCAATCCACCACACCCCAAGTTCAAGGAGAAGCCTGTCTCTCCAGGACCCAGCCCAGGGCTGGCCCCTGGGAGATGCTCAAAGGGGCCTGCCCAGAAATAGCTAGTCAAATAAACCAATTAACAATTTTATTTGTTACTGATTCGAGAGAAAGAGAAACATTGATTTGTTGTTCCACCTATTCACTGGTTGATTCATGCAGGTGTCCTGACCAGGGATCGAACCTGTAACCTTGGCGTATCAGGACAACACTCTAACCAACTGAGCTACCTAGCCAGGGAGCTAAATGAGTTTAATCCTACACAGCCTGAGAGCCCGCCCTGGGCTGGGGTTTCAGCTTCAGGAGGCACACCGAGTTGGCTCATTAAATGGAAACCTGCGGCTCGCTCCAGAGGGACCTGGGGCCAGGTTCGGGGTGCAGCGGGGGCCGAGAGAGCGCTTACAGAACTGGCTCCGGCCTTGCCGAAGCCACGTGTCACGGCGCTTTGGTTTCGGGTGCGCCACAGCAGGGCAGCCGGCGCTCAGCCCTCACACCCTGGGAAGCATGTCCACTCAGGGCCCTGGTCCAAGCGACTGAAGTCACAGTTGGCAAAGGAAACCAAGCACCGAGGCCCGTTCCTGATGTGCAGTTTAGAATGAAGATAAGACGAGCCCCACTTGCTGTCACCGAAGGCGGCTGGGAGCCGGCAGACTGTGCTCTCCAGAGGCAGCAGAAGGGCGCCCACAGACCTGTGCTTCTGTGAGGGGTACACGGGTGCAGCCGCTCGCTGAGGCCACAGGCTGAGACAAGGTCCCCCTCCCACGGAGGACGGGGGCCTGCAGTGAGTCTCAGCAGTGACCTGGGCAAGGCCCTCGCCCCCACAAGTTCCCTCCCCCACAAATGGGCAACAGAAGCCAGGACATGAAGCGGGTTTTCCCCAAAGGCAGCCTGGAGTGGGGGCTGCCCCTCGGGCCATGAAGACCCTTCCCAAGTTGAGCTGCCCCGCCCCACCCTTGCTTCTAACACCTGAACAGGAGGTGCGAGGGTCCCCGGGGAAAACACAGTGAGCAGGGCCGGCGGGGAGAGCAGCACCCGCATCGGGTTGTCAGCAAGAGTTAGAGGAAGATTCTGAATCACGTGTACATAGATTCGCACCCCTTTCCTGGACCATTTAAGGCTGCGGGTCACCCTTAGCAGGCCTGTCTCCTGAGCCTCGGGAGCCAGTGGGGCAGCGGACGGGCCGGCGGGCAGCAGGCCCCGCTCACTGCAGGAGGTGGACAGAGGCCGCCTTGCGGATGAGCCGCGCGGTCAGGGGCGAGTTGGGCCTCAGCGCATCCCGCTCCATCAGCAGGCTCCTGTGGAGACAGAGAGGGGGGCGGGGCTGAACCTCCTGGAAGGGTGTGGAGCCCGGGGTTCCCTCAGCCCTGAGGCAGGGCACAGCAGAGAGGGCCTGGGCTGAGGTGGTCAGCAAGTGAGAAGCTCCCTTTCCCAGGTGGCTGGAAAGGGGACGGCCTCACGGCAGAGGGGACAGGCCAGGCAGAGGCCAGAAGCAGGAGGCCTTGCCTCTGGAGGATCCGGAGAAAAAGGGGGCAGGTGTGAGGATGAGAGCCCGGCGTTCTCACACTGGTGCTGGGTTCAGGCCTCGCTCAGCTGTCCCATCCCGGGCCACCCTTCCTCCCTGACACCCACCAGCTCAGCGCCCCCGTGGTGGCAGTCAGGTGAAAGGGCCAGCGGGGAGCAGGTAGCCCAGGCAGAGGGCTCCGCATGTGCAAAGGCCCGGGGGCCTGGACAAGCAGGCTGTGTGTGGGTCCCTGAAGCTCAGCACAGGCAGAATGGGGAGTGAGCCTGGGGTGGCTCGGCCCCTCCGTCAGGTGACCAGGGTGAGGAGCGGGACCCAGCAACCCTGCAGCCGGTATCTCCATAACTTCAGACCCAGCGAGGTGGGGACCGCTCACCGCCCACAAGAAGGCCCCGAGCGAGACAGGCAGCTCTGACTGGAAACCTCCCCAGAGGCATGGCACGGGCGTGGACTCACCGGGCCACGTTCCTGTGGGTGCCAGCGCGGCACTTCAAGGCCGCGTGGATCAGCAGCTGGTTGAAGACATCTCTCTGGAGAGCATCCGGCAGGTCAGGCTCCCATAACGTGGGACGAGGGACCGACCGCCCCCCACCAATGCCCCACTGCCGGTGCCTACTGTTCTCGGGGACAGAGTGGCTGGGGGTATGAGGACAAGGACACCGCACCCTGTGGGCACAGCGCCTCAGGGAGACGGGGCCCTGGTGCCCCAGCAGCCGGCGCGACTCGAGGCAGGCGGCTCACCTGGGCGTTGCTGCCTCCGATCTGGACGATGCGGTAGCGGATGGGCAGGAGAAGCTCCACCACGCGGTCGGGGTTCCCATTCTCGGCCTCCACCAGGGCCTGGCACAGGGGCAGCCCCACGTCGCGAGCCAGGAGGTGCTGACAGTTCTCCCCGGGGGACCTGCCAGCCCGAGAAAGTGCCTCAGTGGCTGGCGCCACCGAAGCACGCCCGCCTCTGTCTGCTCGGCTGGGGTCCCTGGCACTGTGCACGACACACAGTAGGGGCTTTGATGGGGTGAGCTGACAGAGGAGAAGTGACCCGGAGGGAGAGAACAGGGCTCTGAACTCAGTTCTGCAGGGCCGAGCCCCAGCGTACTGGTGGCCTGGCTTCCGGCCTCGGTTTGCCCATCTGTAAAGTGGCAGGAACATGCCGAGCCCGCGGATGTCAGAGGGCTGCAGGCAGGGTCGGCAAAGGCCAGGCACCCACACCGGGCGTGTCTCCCATGGGCCCGTGCATATCCTCTGCCATGGGTCATGGCACTGGGGGGCCTGCTCCGAGCCCCTCTTACAAGTAAGAATCAAACCCTCAGTGAATCTTGGACCCCTTGGGATCTTCCCTGGGGTGAACTCATAGCTCCCCAGCACCAGACAGCTGGCCGGGAAGAGGGGTGGGACAAGCTGCTGTAGTGGTGGCCCACTGCAGCTGTGACAGTGGTCACCCTCCACCAGGCCTTGGGACAGACCATGGGGACGCAGCCTCCAGCGGGGAGACAAGGGGCGGCTGCATTTTGTAGCCTGTGCAGGGGAGGACCTGCCTCCGGCCCCTGCTGTGATGGGTGAGGAGGGCCCCCACCACTGCCAGGGACCGGCCCTCGAGGCAGGTTTACCATCTAACCAGCCTCCCTTGGCGGGCTCTGTCCCCAGTTTGCACATGAGGAGGCCCAGGCTTGGGGCGGATAGCCCCAGTGTGTCCCCCACAGGAGGCTACCTATGGGACATGAAGTCTCGCACACCACCCCAGGGACAGAGAGGTACCTCTGTGGCTGGGGGAACCGTGGCCCCCTTGCAGGGCGCACTCAACGGGGGCACACCAGAACGTGGTGTCCGCACACCTCTGGGCACCCACCTGGGCGCGGCCCTCCACGCACCCCTGAGGCTGTGCTCCCCAACGGGGCCTATCCCCGCCTCCCCGGCAGCAGGGGCTTCCAGAAGCCAGGCCCCTCGGCATACTCGCTGACGTCCTGCAGGGTGGTCAGCAGCTCCTGCGTGGTCTGGGCATCCCGAGCACCCAGTGATGCCATCAGAAAGTGTGCATCGTTGAACAGCAGGACGTGGTCACGGCTGTGCTTCCGGGTCACGGGCAGGACAGCTTGCCACCGGTCGCCCACAGACACCCCTAAGGACACAGAGAGGAAACCCATGGACGAGGGGTGAGGCTCCCAAGTGCCTTCTGTGTCCGCACAGCAAGGAGCCCCTCTGATCCTGTTCTGGGGGTGGAGGGCAGGCCGGGGAGCAGGGCTGGCCAGCTGTGTGGCCTTGGGCTGAGGACTGCGGGCCCAGTTTACGTTGCCTCCGTTCAATTATAAAAGCAACGGATGCATAAGGTAGAAAGCTAACTTCAAAAACTATTGAAGGGCCCTGGCTGGTGTGGCTCAGTGGATTGAGCACGGGCCTGTGGACCAAAGGGTCACCAGTTCAATTCCCAGTCAGGGCGCATGCCTGCGTCGAGGGCCGGGTCCCTGGCTGGGGGCCGCGTGACAGGCCACCGAGTGATGTATCTCTCATGCGTTGATGTTTCTCTCCCTCTCCTCCTCCCCTACTTCCTGTCTCTCTAACATAAACGAGTAAGTAATCTTTTTTTAAAAACAAACTAAAAAACTATGGGAGGGTGTTAAATACTCTCTGGCCCTTTTAACAAGTCCCCAAACTACTTTTTAAATTCTCCACGTGTCAGCGGCTAGTACAGCCCCTGACACATAACAGATGCTCAGTAAAACCCAGCTGAACATTAGCCTCCTTCCCGCTTTGCGTCTACATTTCTCAATCTCGAAAGTCCCTACTTCTAGCCCACATGCCAGCACTGCCTCCCAGCCCCTGCCCCCGGCTGCCGGAAGCTGCCGGACTCTCCGACTTCTCCCGGGGGCACTGAGTTTCCACGCTGCATGGGGCGGGGCGAGTGGCCTACCCCCCTCCCTCTGCCCCTGGCAATCCCACTGCACCTGCGGCCTCCAAGTTACCGCTCCCAACGGCTCTGGACAGTTCAGACAGGCATCAGTGTCCCAGCCTTCACTGGGTGTCCCGGAGCCAGCAGCCTCCTCCCGGATCCCCAGCGGGCCCCACCCTGCTCCCCGGGTCTCCCGGCCTCCGCCTGCCCGCCTCCGCCCCAGGCTCCGATCTTTCTCAGAGGCAGACCAGAGGCTGTCCTCCCTGCTCTAGCAGGCGCCTCCGAGACCTGGAGACAAGCCGGCCTCCTCACCCTGCCCTTCTGGTGGCTGCCTCTGCTCCATCTGACCATACTGCCCCTACCCTCCGGTCACACATCCCCATGACAGGCTTCTGTGTCCTGGGGGCTTTGGACAGGCTGCTCTCTGTGCATAACATCCTTTCCCATCTCCACCTGGCAAAACCCTGTGTACCCTCCCACGGTTCACACTTCACCTCCACCAGGAAGCCTTCCAGGAGCCCTTGTGAACCTCCTGCCCTGACCTGGTCTCACTCCCACATTGTCCTGCCAGCCCAGGGCATACGGTGGGCCCAGATTTGGCTCTGCTGGGCCTGGAACGGAGAAGAGGCCCGTCTGGCACCCCAGCAGTTGGCTGGAAGACCCCTCCGTGGCCCCCAGAGTTGGGGGCGCGCCCGTCCAGGTGACTTGCAAAGCATGGGGGGACTACACTGAGTAAACACTGAAATCCCAAGGAGTTGAGAAAGGCCCGCCTCCCTTGTTCTAGAAAAGGAGGCAGCACCCAGAGACAGGCAGCCCGGTGCCAGCCTGTGCCCCAGGCCCGAACATGGACGGGGGTGGCAGGAACCGGAACAAAGGGCAGTGGTGGCCTGGTGGCCATGGGCTGGGGGGGGCTGGGAGGCAGCCATAAGGCAGCCGCAGCCTTCGTGGGGCGTGCGTCCCGAGGCCTACCTCGGGACTGGGGGCCTCGACAGTTCACGAGTGCCTGCACGGCCCTGTCCCCTCGTCATGGGGGAAGGACGGGGAGAGAGGCCAACGGGAGAGCAGAGATTCCCACCTTCCATCTGCAGCCGGTACAGCATGGAGCAGGTGTCCACCACGTCCAGCATGGTGCCACTGGCCTGCAAGCTGGGGAGGATCTGGAATACAGGGTGGGCGTGGCCTCAGCAAACCCAGGTCACCACGGGCCATTGTCCCCACACCCTCGGCCAAGGTTCAGGGCCCTCCAGGTGCAGACCTGAAGAGAGAGCGCCCTGGGAGCCTGTGCCGGCCCTGGCATCGCCACCTCTCACCCCCAGGCCCAACCACCTGCGCCGCAGACGAGACTCTTCCGTCCACTGTTCTAGGGCACTGGGCTCTACACCTCACAGCACACGGCTCTCATCCCCCTGGGTTTTCACCACAAAACTCCGACAACTCAAAAGGACCACTTCCAGGAAACCTGACCGAGTGTTCTCCTGGGTGTTCAGATGTTTCTCTGAGCCCGGGCCTCTACCGTGAAGCCCCTACTCGGGCACCTGGGCGCTGTGAGGGAGGCTTTTTTCCTCTTAAAAGCCTATCTAGGGGCTGGGGGAAGGGAGGGGAGGGAAGAACTGGTGTTTAGTGGGCACAGAGCTCAGTCAGGCAGAGAAATGTCCTGGAGGTGGTGGGGAGTGGGGTCAGATGCACACCAACACAAATGGCCTCCGTGCCACCAAACTGGACGCCTAAAGGTGGCTACGAGGGCAGGTTTTATGTCCTGTACACGCTCTGCGGTGAAACATTCCCACGGGAAGGCTGGGGTCTCCAGAAATGACCAGGATTTCAGGGATGGCCAACTGAGATGTGCAACTCTGCCAATGCCCACCAGGGGGCGCAGAGCCCAGGGACCGTCTCCCTCCCACTCTGGCCACAGCCCCGTGTGGGACAGAAATTCATCCTCCACCAGACGCGTGTCCCCGCTCCAGCTACTGTTTCTGGGCGAGACAGCGGGGATGGGCTCAAAGGTCTAGAGACCAAACGCCAAACTGGCGCGATAAATCCAGGCGTGTGCAAACGTGGACTTACGTGGTCATCGTAAATGGTCAGTGCAGCCTCGTACTCGCCCTGGAAAAGAGAGGGTCCCCTGGTTAATGTCGGGGGCGGGCGGGGCGCCGTGATACTGAGAAAGGACCGAGCACGCCGACCCCCACCCCCGCACGCTACAGAAGGTGGGAACGCTGGTGCTGACCGGGGCCGGGCTTGGGAGCCCCGCCCGCTCTGGCTTTGCTTCCCATCCCCAGACACAGAGGCGGTCCACAGCCACCCCCCAGTCCTGTCCCCCCCACCCCGGCTGCGGGAGAGGCGGTCACAACAGGATTTTTCCCGTGCAGCGCTTGTCCCAGAGGTGGCCTGCTCCTTTCTGTATTTCTTCTAGTCTTTTTTTTTTTAATTTAAAAAATTATTTATTTATCTTTAGAAGGGAAGGGAAGGAGAGAGGGAGAAACATCAATGTATGGTTGCCTCTCATGCATCCCCTGCTGGGAACTGGCCCCTGCTGGGAACTGGCCAGCAACCCAGGCATGTGCCCTGACTGGGAATCAAGCCGATGACCCTCTGGTTCCCAGGCCCGCACTCAACTCACTGAGCCACACCAGCCAGGGCTCCTTCTAGTCTTTTCTCTATTGTCCTTACTGTGTGTACAACAGCCACTGCTTCCGGCTGGAAGGTGGGTCACTGAATTCTCCACGTCACTACGAGGTCCCATCTTCCATGTTTCTCTACAATAAACACCACAATCCCTGAGACTGGGACCCAGGAGTGCGCCCGTCGGGGCCCCAGGTGTCCCTGCACCTTGCGCCACAGAGACAAAGCACTCGGAGTGTCTCCAGGCTCCCACAGGTACAGCCTGTGGCTCGGGGGCGCAGCAGGTCACTCCGGCAGCAGGGAGACGCTCGGTCCAAGCGGCCCCACAGACCACACGAGACACCCGTGGCGCCCAGACAGGGCAGCCTGCCTGCCGCGGTTTAAGCCGGAAGAGCTCTCTAAGCCCTGAGCAGGGTGGCTCAGGGGGCCGTGTGTCCTTCCGCGAAGAGAGGGGTCACCAGTTTGATTCCTGCTCGGGGCACAGCCCTGAGTTGTAGGTTTAGTCCCTGGTCAGGGCATGTGGGAGAGGCAGCCACACGTCCGTGTTTCTCTCCCTCCCTCCCCTTCTCCCTAAAAATAAGTAAGTGAAATCTTTTTAAACAGCTACTTGAAAACCCGCCCGCTCTCTTGCATTGGGACCCCACTGAAAGGTGCAAACACAAAAGGGGACCTGCACAGGCACGACGGCCTCAAAGGGGAGAAAGCCTTCCTTTCCCCAGCGTCGCGACAGGACGAGACGGCCGGCCGCCTTACCTTCTCAATCAGGTACAGAGCCCAGTGCCAGTAGTTATGGCAGGCGAGCATGTCAGAGTCCTGGGGAAAGAGGAGAAGGTGGGGAAACCCGCCGGCCTCCGGGGAGAAGGGGGCAGATGCTGTTTTCTGCAGAACCCCACCCCTTTGAGTGTGGGAACGTGTCCTGGGCCCCCGTGTCACTCCCTGCAGCGCTGAGGGACGGTGAGTCATGCCTGAACTCACCAAGGAAACTGAGGCGGGGAGGTCAGCAGCTGGTCGGCCGGGGCCAGAAGCCGCAGGACCAGGGCCCCACACAGGCTGCTCGGCAGCTCAGGCCTCGTCTGCCTCGTGCGCGGTGAGGAAACCATCCCCCAGCTGCTGAGGCCCACCGTGGGTCCAATCAGTACAGGGCACCCCAATAAAGCCAGCAAAGAGAAGGGCAGGGCGGCGGACCACCCTGCACAGGTGGTCGGGCCACCACTCAGGGGACACCAGGAGGGGAGCCGGGAGGCCTGCGTCCCTGCCCCACAGGTGCCCACTCCAAGCGGGCCAGCCCTGCAGGTGCCAGCCCTGCACCTTCCGTCCACGGGCCCGGCTGCCCCAGTGCTCCCTGACTCACAGGGCCACACTGAACCCACCAGCACCGGACAGCTGAGGGTCCTTGCAGCTCCTGCCCTGCCAGGTGCTCATTTTCCTGGGAATTCTCTTATCCATCCTTCCCACCAGCTGCCGCAGGATGAGGCCAGTTCTAGAACCCCCCCGCACAGCACTGGCTGGGGTGGGAGGTGTGTGGCCCCAGGGAAATGCCTCCCCAAACACGGGTTCCCGCACTGAGCTCCTCTCCACGACAGCTGTCCACACGCCTTGGCTTAGCACAAGGGGACGGACAGGGTGTCCCAGGCGGGTGGCCGAGCGGCCGGACTCGCACCTTCCAGTGGGCTTCTGAGCGCTGCATGAAGTCTAGCCCATCCCCGACCTCCGCGCGCATCTCGTGTATGTGGGCGACGGTGTGCACCGACCAGGCGTCCGCCGGGTTCACAGACAACGCCTGGAGGGAGAGGGGGTGGGAGAGAGTCCAGGGAAGGAGGGTCAGTCAGGCTGCCGGGCGACGGGGCGTCCCCGGGTTGTGCGCAAGGGGCCTGAGCCGGAGGACCGGGTGTCGGGGTGGGCGAGCGCGGGGACTGGGCTCAGCCGCCCATCTGCAGGGTCTGCCAGAGGCACCACTGCCCATTCCACAGAGGCGGCTGCGCGGTCCAGGCGGCGGGGTCTACGCACAGCCCTGAATGCAGCCGGGTCGCCCGTCTGCCGCTGGGACGCTGTGTGGGCGCCGACAGTGCACGTACTCTCCAGGGCCCCGGGTGCTCCCGGCAGCCCCTCCCCACCCACACGCGTGGGACGACCACACGCGTGACTTTCTGGGCTGTTCTGACGTCATTAATGCTAATACAAACAGCTGTGCACGTGACCAGCACGCCTGCCCGTGGCCAGCCAGGCTGGCAGCGAGGTCAGGATTCTAACCACAGACGCCTTGCTCTTCACTCGCGTGTTCAGCTCACGCTTACTGAGCGCCTGCTGCCGCCAGACGTGGGGCACCGTGCGGAAGCCCCCGGGGGGCCCTGCACCAGGTCTCACCCCCCAGGCCCGCTGCTGCCTCAGACCCCATGCCTTTCCCAGGGCGTCGGGAGGCCCGGCACCTGCCGCAGGGTCCACGCTGACTGGTGGTCCCCAGCGAGCCCTGCTCCTGCTCCTGCTCCTGCTCCTGCTTGCGCAGGCCCTGCCCGTCCGTTGGAAGACAGAACGTGTCTATAGGGACGACGGCCACTTGGGCCACAGCCCTGAACGACGAGGACGCTTTGGGAGACAGTGGAGGTGCAGTTGGGCAGGGCCCTGTTAAAGGAGCCACTAAGGCTCTCTGCTGCTCTCTCACGAAGCAGAGACTCTGGGCGTGGACTCCTGCCCCCTGCTGAGGTCAAGGCACCCCCTCCATGGTCCCCTGCCAGAGGCTCCCTGGGGCCCAGCCCAAAGTCCTTCCGCTGCCTCCGGCCTTTGGTCCCAGGGCCCGCCCCACCCACCGCCACCCTGAGCCTCCGCCTGTGCTGCGGCTCCTCCCCGTCCTTCTGAGAGTCTGAGAGCCGCCCTGCGCCCTTGCGGCCAGGGCCTGGCTCAGAGCCACATGGCCCCGGGGGGCCACCACCCGAGGCCTCTCGAGACTCCTGCCTGCTCTCCTGGACTGTGGCGGTCGTTGTCACCACCCAGCCTGGCCTGGTGTTCGTTCGCCTGTGCTATGCCAGTGTCAGGGCCGGTCCTCAGGTGCCCGCAGGGGGATGCGGCAGAAGGAGGGGCTTGGAGGGAGCAGACAGGGGCACCCCACTCCTCCACTGCCTGCGCCTTTGGGGCACCATGTGGCTTCTCAGACCGCCCTGCCAGCCCGTGGGTGCCCAGATGGACGCCATGCCACGGGGAGACCCAGCTGCCATAGTCCCCGGGAGACCTTTCTTAGCTGTCCCCCACCCCGGGGCCGTGAAGCTGGAGCCCAGGTCCCATCACGGTGCATCAGAAGCAGCCTCCGTTTTCTGCCGTGGCTCAGCAACCCGAAGGCTGGTGGCGTGAGTGGCACTTGGAAACACGGGGCTCACAGCGGGAGCATTACTGTGTCCACACACCACCCCCCCAGTGACGGAGTTCCTGCTCCAACAGCACTGCGGGGGCTCCGGGGACAGACAGGGCGGGGCACCCGGGGTGCAGCACAGCACTGAGGACCACGGCAGGAGCGGCTGCTCTGTCACCTCTCCCCCTTCCTCCCACATCTCCCAGGATACGGGCCCAGAGCAGGCAACCTGGCTGGGGTCACCCCTGAGTGGCGGCTGTCCCACCCTGGGCCTCACCTAATGTCCCCCCGAGGCCCGCACCTCAGGAAGGGCCCACCCACCTCCTTGGCGAGCTTCTCCGCCTGATCGTAGAAGTTGGTTTCCATCAATCCAAAGGAATATATGCCTTTCACGTAGCTAAAGACAGAACAAAAGCCTTTTTTAAAAAGTGGAGGGGGACCGTTCGACCCTCAACAAGACCTACACAGGCGGAACGCGTCCTAATGTGGAATCGGGGTGTGCACAGATGTGACGGAGTTAGGGAGAGGCGCACGGGGGCAGGGTGGGCCCTAAACCTGCCGGCTGGCGTCCCTACTGCAGGAGCCAGGAGAGGGAAACGTGGACCTGGAGACAGACACACGGGCAGGACGAGGCAGCTGGCCCTGTGAGGACGGGGGCAGGACTGGAGGAAGGCGCCACCAGAGCTGGGGGGCAGGGGCAGGAAGGACCGGCCCCTAGATCCTTGGCGGGGGGGCATGGTCCCACCCACACCCTGACCTTGGACTTGGGGCCCTGGGAACAGTGGGAGAACACACTTCCGTTGTTTGAGGGCATGCAGCCGGTGGCACTGGGTTATGGCAGCGCCCGGAGACCGATGCGCATGCCAGCGGGGTGTCCACCTATGCCGGGCGCCACGCCGAGCACTGTGTTTCCCAGCCATACGGTGCTTCCGGTCCGTAGGCGCAGCGTGACCTTTATCGGCTGCACGACCGTTCCCAAACCCAAACCCGCCTCCCCAGCCAGCCCTCTGCGACGCCCATCCCACCTCCTAAGACGCCAACGTCCCCACTGGGGCTGACCGTGGACTTCTCTCTCCTGTCTGCTTGGTGATGCGCCCACCCCCGCCCCAGAGGAGCAGCCCAGACACACCGCCCAGGAAGCTGTGTGACTGGGGGCTGTCGGTGGCTTCTCTGCACGCGACTTCCTCCCAGACCCCACTCCTGCAGGCCGGGACCCCATCTGTCCGACTCTCTCTCGGCCCTGGCCCAGCGGAAGATGGGCCTGAAGCCAGGCCGCAGGCTAGATGCCCACTTAAGGCTTAAGAGAAAGGACCGCCCTGCCGGAAGAGGAAGGGGCTCTGTATCCGGATGGTGACACAGGGACCCTACCCCGCTTTCCAGACCGTGCCAGCACCCACAGCCTGAGCCACCTCCTTCAGATGAGCCCCTCCACCCTACACAGATGCAGGTGCGGACACTTACACCTACACAGAAACGACGTAACTACAGGTACACACGCCTCTTGGGAGAACTGTCACTGAGCCCTTCAACCTGGCCATCTGCTGGACCGACCTTCGCAACAACCCCACGACTCAGATGCATTGGACGTGACCGTGCGCAGCGGTCGATCGGGCCGCTCACAGCCCCTCAGCCCCTCTCCCCCGAGCACATGGTGCCACTGCCCTTCCTGGCCTCCTGCAGGTGGGCGGCCGGCTCTGGCCAACGACTTGGGAGATGCTCACTTTCACTCTGAGCATTTACACGCCGCTGTGGGTGCCCCGGGAGAGCGCCCACCCTCTCAGCGACTGGCGCGTCCAGACGACAGTGGCTTCCCCAGCCAGGACATCGGAGGGAGACAGCAGCGCGGGCACAGAGCGCAGCCGTCCCGTGGTGGGTGCGTGTCATGTGTGAGCAGCAAACGTCGGCTGTCACGAGCCCCAGGGCATCGGGGCTGCACTAGGCTGGTCCCTGCAGCAAAACCTGCCTGTGCTGACTGACACACAGCAGTCCCACCTCGTTGCCGCGATGGCAAGAAGGTCATGCCCTGAATGGTGTGGCTCAGTGGATTGAGCGCCGGCCTGCAAACCACAGGGTTGCTTGCCGGTTTGATTCCCAGTCAGAGCACATGCCTGGGTTGCAGGCCAGGCCCCCACTTGGGGGCACAGAAGAGGCAACCACACATTGATGTTTCTCTCCCTTTCTTTCTCCCTCCTTTCCTCTCTCTCTAAAAATAAATAAATAAAATCTTTATAAAAAGAAGATCAAACGGAGAAAATGAAGGCTTTTTGCGTTAAAGAACTAGGAGGACAGCCGCCATCGGCACCCCCTCCAGGGGCGGGCCGGGAGCGCAGCCACGCGTTCAGGGCAGAGGAGACAGACCGAGACGCGGAAAGGATGTGGTTTCCGGCGGGCACGCACCTGCTGAGGGGGACGTCGGGCGTCCAGAAGGGGTAAATTCGGGCCACAGAGTCGCGCATCTGCTCCTGGTAGCCAAGGTAGAAGTAGGCATCGTGGGAAAACTTGAGAGCCAGCATGTCTGTCGGGTGGTCCCGAAGGATCTGCTCCCACAGCTCGCAGGCTCGGGGGAAGCTCCTGGAGGCCGAGAGGGGTTCTCAGCAGGTGTGAACACAAGGTCCCACGCGTGGGGAGGCAGGAGGGCGTCGTTTCTGGCCAGCCTCCCGGGCTGCCCTGAACCGGTTTTAAAAACACACACATACACAGCAGGTCTTGGAAGGACATCGTTCTGCTCACAGCTTCTATCATGACAAGGAGATGCTGCGGGAATTTGACTCATTCCCATCGAGTGGCCTGTGGTAAAACTGGTTCCACTTTACGTTGTTTCGATTCAAGTTGTGGAACAAATCACTGGCGTGCAGTGAGGGCTTAACTGTATAAAAGTGTCCTCGTCAGGTTCTGCCTCGTAAAATTGATAGGCCGATGGGAAATTGTACACCTGAATTCACACCAAGAAAAAACTGCTCTAACAAGCTGCCAAAGACAAGCGCACCGGAGCCCCCAGACCGGCGGCAGGAAGGGTCTGGGCCGACCCGCCGGGGACACCGGGCGGGCCTCCCGGCACAACCGGCCCGGTCACCCAGCTCTGCGGGGCGCCTCCTGGCCCGAGCAGACAGGGGTGGATCTGCACACGGCTCCAGGGTCAGAATGCCCACGCGGGGGGCAGCGGCGAGGACGGCAGAGGCTGGCCCACCCGAAGGCTGTGAGCGGATGCTCCCGGGCGTGTTGGAACAAGCAGCACGTAGGTGAAGGTTTTCCCTTACACCTTGTATACATTTCTGTGATGTGGTCCTACGATTTTGGTAAGAAAGTAATAACCGATCTATTTAAGGGAACGAAGCACCTGTGTTTTGCTGTGTATAACGTGGCCCTTTTTACCTAAACTGTTGAGGGAAAAATAAGGATGTGCATCGTACACGGGCAGTACTAATTCTGTATCTACGCGTTAAAATCGGGGTGTTAGGCTCATCGTCAGTGGGGGCCATATCAACCTCGCGGTTGCCTTTGAGGGGCCGAATGTCACTTTAGGACTGTATGGATGTAACCACTCCTTAACAGTTAAGGGAGAGCCTGGCGCTGCCGCCGGGTAGAAACAAGGTGCCGGGCCGGATGGAACCAGGTGGAGGGCCGGGTTCAGCCCACAGGCCTTGTGTTTGCCACCTGTGCGTTAAAAGTGTAACTCTAGAAAGCAATAACGATACTCATCTGCAAAATAACACCCTGGAATACAATCATCGGTTTTGTTTCTAAATTAAACAAACAAATAAATAAATACAATTAAAAAATCTAAACTAAAGTCGTTTTTCCTGAAAGTTTGGGCCCAAAATGTGGGTGCGCATCACACAGGGGAATGCATCACACACGGCAAGATGCGGTAAGTTGCCTCGAGCGCCGCATCGGGAACCCCCCAGCCAGCTACTGCCTCAGCCAGCAGTCCACTGGGCACAGGGCGGCAGGCTGGACGGCACTTCCAACTACAGGGGCCTGGGAGGCCGGTGACAGTCACCCCGAGGGCTCCCCTCCCAGGCGCTCCGGGCAGCCTGTGGCATCACCCAGCCCGGCCTCGGACCACCAGCCCCCTGCCCAGGGGTGCCCCTCACCCCCTGGCAAAGGCCTCCACCGCAGCCACGTGCAGCCGCTCCCGCTGCGTCAGGGGTTGGCTTTTGGAAATCTCCACCATGTTCTTCACGGCCAGGTCCAGCTCTTTGTCCAGCCTCACAGAGCTTCCGGTGCCGATGAGCACGAGGCCAGCAGAGATGGCGTGGCCCATCGCTGGAGGAAGGGTGGGTGGGGGGACAGCTGGTGACTCGGACGGCCCCGCCCAGCCCCCCATTCCAGACGAGCAGCACACGTCCCAGCGGCAGGCGGGCCGGGCGCTGTGCCCCCACCAACGGCGCAGAGGTCCACCTGGGTCCACTGTCAGCTGGTGCCCCGGGTAGCTTTCCTACTCTCTCCAAGCTGCGTTCTCGTCTGAGGAGAGGCCCAGGGCCTCCTCTGCAGGGCTGGCGTGGACTGAGCAGGGAGATCTGGAAAATGCGCTCTCCAGAGCCCGACATCTCCATGGGAACAGCTGGTCTTCCAACCACAACGCTGGCTGGAGCCGTCCCTCCCCTCTCCCTGCCACCCGGGCCCGGGCTCCTCAGCCAGGGAGGCGCCACTCACCGAAGGTCGGGTCTGCTGCCTTCAGCTTCGACAGGCAGCCCTCGATGCCACCAAGGGTCTTGTCATTGGTCCACTTCACATACTGAAACAGAAACAGTCACACGGAGCTGTCCCCAGGGGGCCTTCACTCTTGTTCCTAAAGGCACATGTCTAAAGAGTAATTTTTTTTCTAGAACACGGAGTGTTTTCTGGACTCTCCAGAAAACCTTAACTGGGTCAGTCCCAGATGAGGAAACTGCTGAGCACTCGGAGCGCTGGGCGCATTTCCTCGGGGCGGCGAGGCTGCTGACGGGCAACCTGCCCCCACGGCGGCTGCGGCCCTGCCAGGGGCCCGGACAGCAGGCACCGCGGGGAGAGCCCTCCTGGCTCCCGCTCAGCCCTTTCCAGAAGCACTGCAGTGAGCTCCCCTTATGGAGAGCAGGCAGACCCCGAAACTCATCTCACCCGCTGCTTTGACCATCTGGTGTATGTGTTTCTAGTCCTTTCTCTTTTAAAATAAAGCCTATTTTTTAAAAAAACCCTAAAATGACAATCATGTGTTAGCGTTCAGAGCACGCCCTGTCAGGAGCCCGGCCTACTTCTGCACAGAGTGGGTGCAGGTTTTAAGAAGAAGTGGGGGAGCTGCACAGACACTCGGGGACCTGTGCTGTGACACAGGACGGCACAGCGGTGCCAAAACTGGGGGTGGGTGTGCACAGGTCAGGGGCAGGGTCGTCGCCGCAAGGGCAAGCGTGAGACAGAGCAAATCGGTGCTCTCCAGCCGCAGTCTTCAACCGGTGGGCCGCAAGAATTTTTTAAAACGTGCCCCCCCTGACTATTTAGTCAGGGGCACCAACTGCTTTTCCCTTAGATTGTCAAGTATAAAAATGACAATGGCCATCCTGGCCGGGTGGCTCCGTTGGCTGGTGCTTCTTCGGCCTGGGCACCGAAAGGCAGTGGGTTCGATCCCAGGTCTGAGCACAGACCTAACTAGCGGGTCTCATCCCCGGGGCAGTGCATGTGGGAGGCAGCCCATCGATGTCTCTCTCTCCCTTCCTCCCTCTTCTCTAAAAATCAACAAACGTATCCTCAAGTGTGAATTAAAAAAACAACAACAGCCAACACAAACATAGTGTTTTTGTGAATGAATCAAAAATGATACCTATTTTTTTGTCAGGTCAGGAAAAAATATACGTATTTTTTGGTGTGCCCCGGAACTGTAGAAATTATTTTGTGTGTGCCATGAGATGAAAGGTTGAAGTTCGCGGCTCCACAGAGGCCAGAAGGTGTGGGGAGCGTACGGACAGAGGCTGAGTGCGCGCACTGGGGCCCCTTGGCATCTCTCCAGTCACCGCTTCTTCTTTTTTTAAAATGTATTTTTAGAGACGGGGAAAGGAGTGAGAGAGAGAAAGAAACATCAGTGCGTGGATGTCTCTCCCACGCCCCCTACTGGGGACCTGGCCTGCAACCCAGGCATGCGCCCTGATGGGGAATTGAACCAGCAACCCTTCGGTTCACAAGCCGAGCTCAATCTACTGAGCCATACCAGCTAGGGCATTAGTTGCTTCTTGTATGGCCCTTATGCTTCCAGAAGCTTCCTGGGTCCTCCGTATGCTGCATGGAAGGAGTCAGGAGGCAGCCACCTCACCGCTCCTGATAAAGACCAGCTCCAGCTTCCCATCTTGCTCCTCTCTAGCTCACTGCATGGGTCGGCTCTCTGGGCCTCAGTTTCCCCACCTGCCACATGAAGCAGCTCGAACTAACCTCTGAGAGCCTCCCAGTTCTAAAACTACAGGCTCCTTCACGGGTGTTAGAAACCAGGATGGGGAAAGTCTTGGCGCAGCCCTAGGCGAGGGCAGCAGGCTCCCAGATTAGCCTCGGGGCCGGCCGGGTCTCCTGCCCTCAGGAGCCCCACATCTAACCCTCTGCAGACCACGCCCCATGGGGCGTGGCCTCTGTGCCGGCGCTCAGCGCCTTGCCCCAGCAGGGAGAAGCTGCTGCCCTTCCGCCACCAGGGGAACCTCTCAGCCTTGCAGGGGAACCTCTCAGCCTTGCAGGGCGCTGGCAGGGAGGTTTCTAGGGTGCCCCCTTCTTCCCTGTCCTAGGATACAGAGCACACAGATTCCACGGCAGTAGGTCGCTTAGACCGCTAAAGTCACTGTGCAATTAAAAAGCATCCGCCACTTTCCAAGGCATTGTCGTGGGGTGCTGTGCCACTTGAGCCATCAGTGCCAGGACCTGTCCCAGCACCGGGAGGACTGTTTGGGTTCCCGGGAAGCCTGCTCTACCCAAGCCTCCCAGGAGATTTGGGTAGGGATGGGTTGACGGGCTCCTCTGTAAAATCAGGAGCGCTGATAAAGCTGGGAAGCTCTGAACGCCTGAGTCCTGTGCCTGCTCGCGGCCGCCTGTCCCAGCTTTGTACCCGAGAGCACGGCAGAGGAAATGCCAACCGCGACGTGCGTTGCGGCAGGCAGTCAGATGGGGGTATGGGGCACCCCTGCACACAGTGTGAGTGCCGTTCATGTTGTGACACGAGAGAATGTAGCGGTGGGATGCACCCCAAACTTTACCCATGGAGAATTAATTAAAAGCGTGCACCCATTTCAGAAACCTCACCCTGCACCTTTATGGAGGAGGCCGCTTCCCTCGGAGGGCATTACCTGGGTCAGAGTGGCATCAAACAGCCTGCAGGCCTCGTTGCTTGGGGTGGAAAGCGGGAGACCAGCATCCTTCCACGCCTGCACACGGCAAGAAGGAATATCAGGGCCTTATCCCATGCAGCCCTCCAAACTTACACGCATGGACCCAACCCCCAGGCACGGAAGGTCTCCAACCCCAGCGTGTGCGGGTGTGGATTTCTGTACGACCCAGCCTGGGGGTGGGGTGGGCACCCCCCCCCCCATTTCACAGATGCTGCAGGGCACGGAGCTGCGCCCTAAGGGACAGACCCCCAGGTATATCCTCGTGACATCTTAATAGCTGTGTGACCTTGGGCAAGGTCCTCCTCCCTCAGACCCCTGGCCTGCCCCTCTGTGAATGGGGTTCAAGAATGCTTTCCAGGGGGGGGGCGGCTATGAAGTGTCCCAGCGAGGAGCAGACCCTTAGAAAATTCCCTGGGCCGACAGAGCGGTGGTCTGCGGGGCGGACAGGGGTCTGGCGCTGGCCTGCAGGCCGAGGGGGCGGCTCCCCTGCTGGCCAGCCCAGTGCACAGAGACCGCTAATCTTGGAAACAATGCTTCTGAGCGCTTCACCCGACGGACTAGTACGACCGTCAAGTCTGCCTGTGGGACATTCTCGAGATCGTCAGAACTATGCGCTGTAACTGCCACCCTCAGCGTCCTGCCAGGGACGCTGTCTTGCCCAGGACACAGACCGGTGACGGACATGTCCGCTAGGCCTGTCTGCACCGGGGCTCCCTCCAAACTCCACCTTCCTGGGTTGCAAAATGGGCCGGGCTCCCTGCCCCGGGGGTCCGAAGGAGCCCCTCACGGCGGCCCCACGTCCCTGCTGTGCCATGCCGGGATTAAGGGGTTAACACTTTTGGGGGGAGCCCCCCAGGTCTCGCTGGTTCTCTCAGCCGCACCCATCCCCCAGCAGCGGGACGCCGTGTGCTCCGCCCCGCCGTACCTGGCAGTCGCGCAGAGCCGCGGAGCCGGCCATTGTGCACCCCGGGTGCGGTCCCGTCAGGCTCCGCGCCCTTCCTGGTGGGGCGGGGCGGGACGTGCAGGGGCGGGGCGGGGTCCCGACTGCTCACTGGTCGGCTTGGGAGGGACGCACGGCCGGCCTCACCCGAGCCGTCCTGGAGCCCGAGGGGGACCGCTCACAGCACCGCAGGGCCGCCCAGAGAGGGCACCAGCGGGGCGGGGCGGAGTTCGGGGGCGTCTGCGGGAACAGCCAGGTCTGGCCCCCAAACTCCTCACTACCACCAGGGGGCTCCTCCCTGCCGAGGACACTCTTGCAGAGGCGACTGCAAAGTCCCCTTTGGGACAGCGGCCACTCAAACTCTTTCTAATTCCACTAGGAAGCCAAGCGCGCGCGCACACACGTTCGTAGAGCTCATTTTTGGCCAACATCCCAGAGGGACTCTGTTACCCACCAGTGCCCGTCCCGGCTTGCTGCTTTCCTGGGTGTGTGCGCAGCAAAAAAGAGAGAGCTGTGCCTTCGACGTCCTACGAGGCCGTTCACCCCATTACGGGAGCTCCATCCTCATGACCTCGTCTAACCTCAGTGACGTCCCATAGGCCCCTCTCCTAACCCCTCCCATCACAGGGATTGGGGCTTTCCCACAGGACTTTGGGGGGGGGGCATGAACGTTCAGTTGATAAGCCCCCCGAGTGCCAGACTTAGAGCAGGCGTCCCCCAGGACACCACTGAGGTCCGACTGTGTTTGCCCTTCGGAGCAGCAGCCTTCTGAGGGCGGGCCTACCGCAGACCCCCCTGCTGGGCAGCTCCCGCTGGGACCTAACGGACGCGGCCCATGGCACCAGGGGTGACCCCGTTGGTTCCTTTTCGCTCATGCCTAGCACCGGGGCCGGCTCCCTGGGCATGCACCCTGGGCAGTGGCAGACACCCCCCACCCCCACCAGGGGCTGCTGTGAAGCTCGGCTGCTGCTATCTCAAAAGCACTAACAAATTTTGAACAAGGTCCCCTGCCCCCCATTTCCGTTTTTCCGGGGGCCCTGAAAACCACGTCTCCACCTCTCCTGCTACAATACATCCCAGCTGGGAACAAGTGCTGCCTTTTCTGAATTCCCCACTGGACCCCCTCACATGCCCCCTCACTGAGGCCAGATCCACCCACTGACCCAGGCTGTCCCTCCAGCAGCCAGGCCTGTCCCTTCCGTGTCCCAGGATGCCTCTGAACCAGTCTCCGTCCTGTCATTCCCACCCAGCCACCACCTGTCTCCCGCACCACAGACGATGCTTCCAGAGGAAATCACATTGGCCCACTTGATATGGAATCCAAACGTGTGGTCGTGGCCCTGACCATGGCCCATAGACCTTGCACGCTCTGGCTCTGGCATTTGGCGCCTCCCCACCAACACCTCCTCCCCTCACTCTCTGGTCTCCTCCCTCCAGCCCTGCTACTGACCCTGTCTCGGGCTGGCCTCTGCATCTCCAGCTCTTCTGCTAGGAACGCTGCCCCCAGCTTTCTGTGAGGCTTGTCCCCTCATTTCCCGTAGAGAGGCTGGCTCATGCGGCACCTCCTCCAGGGAGCCTTCCCTGACTGCCCCATCACATCCTCAATCCTTATCCCTTCAACTGCTTTATTTTTCTTCATGCCACCTGTCACACCTGAAATCGCACATTCCCGGGGTTATTTCATCTGCCCCCTTGTCAAGGAAGCTCCAGGAGAACTGGGACTAGAGCTAATGCCTAGAAAAATGCCCGGCACAAACGATATACTCAAAAATACGTGTGGAGTAGTGGATGCCAGGTGAATGGAGGAAACCCATAAAAAAAAAAAACAACCCTCTTAACTATTGCCTTAAAAAAAACCCAGTTCGAATATGAAGACATAAATAAGTTGCAAACAAAATAATGAAAAAAGGTGTCTTACAAACAGCATAAGAGGGTGGGTGTGGCTATTTTGTTTCATTCCTGTGCCCAGCTTTACTCAGACATAGTGACACATATCTTGACCACCCTAACATCAGGCAAAATTATCTTTAAGACCAAGATTATTCCGAGACGGAGACACTTCATAGCGATAAAAGGGGCGACTCACCTGGAAGGCACAACCGCCAGTGCGTGTGCCCCGATATACAGAGCCCCGAAACACACGAAGCCAAAATGGACAGAAATAAAAAATGAAATAGACAATTCCCCAGTCATAATAGGAAAGTCCGACAACCTCTCTCAGCACTTGACAGAACCAGACAAAAATTATTTAGAAATCAATAACCGTAACAGTTTCAGGGAAACTCCCAATGTCTGAAAATTAACACACTTCTAATTCACGGGCCCAAATCCGAACCCAAGGGGAAATCAGATACTCTTCATTACGCGACAACATGCGGCAGACACGCGGGATGCTGTTGGGCAGCGCGGGCAGGGAACTGACTGCAGTCAACACCTCTATTCGAAAAGAGGAGGATTTAAACATCAGGGACTCGGGGTTTCATGTTAAGTAGAAAAAGGAAAGCCAAATGAGAAACCCAGAGACACCCGAATGCAGACAGCCCTGGGCGCGCAGGCCCTCACAGTCCCTTTTGATTCCGGGGCAGCGGGAGTCCGGTTAAGGGGTCTTCTGGGTGGGTCAGGAAACTGAACCACACTGATCCCACAAGCACGCCCTGATCAGAGGCGTAACGGGGGGGGGCATGGGCTGGGGCGCGAGAAGCCTGGGCTCCACTCGCTGCTCCGGGAACCCCAGCAGCCCTCACCCACCCCGCGACCCCACTGTCCCGCGACCCCGCTGTCCCGCGACCTCCGCGGCCCGCGCCATCAGGCCGTTGACCCACCCGCAACCTCTGCGCGTCTCTCGCCTCCCCCTAGCGGGCGCTATGCGGCCCAGACCTGCGCTTCTCCTGCTCCTGGGCCTGGGCCTGGGCCTGGGCCTGGGCTTCCGCAGCCCCGCGCCGCCCTTGGCTCCTTCCAAGGCCGGGGCCAACGTCTCCGCCCCTGCCTCTCTGGCAGGCGCCTCAGCCCAGGGCTCTCCACCTGAGGCCAGACCCCGAGACACGCCTTGGGGCAAGGCGGCTGCTCTGCGCTCAGCCCGGGCTGCCCCGAGCCTCACTGGGCTAAGCGGCTACACTCGCCTCACCCTGCGACCACGAGTGGCTCTGGGCCCTGGCGTCACCCTGAGCGGTGGCCGAGGCCTCTGCTTCTCCCACAGCTCCTGGCTGCGGGCACAGTGGCCCTGCCTCCACATGAGCGTCCTGCTGCGAGCGCCTCGTGCGCGCCGCGCCACGCCCACCCACGTAGACCTGCACCTGTCTGCGCCCCGAGGCCTGCTCTCCCTGCAGTGGCTCACCCCGCGGCGGCGCTCACTCGGGCCTCTGGAATGGACCTTTCACCTTGGTCTGGTCAGCCCCACCGACGCCCCCTCCGCCTCCGGCTCGTCCCCCAGCTCCTCTCCACCTGTCGGCCGTCTCCCCTCCACGGGCTTCACGGCCCAAATCGAGTGTCCTACAGATGGGCCGAGGCCTGTTGTTCTAGAAGCTGTCAATTCGGACAATCCCCAAGCCGTGGGGTCTTCCGTGTCCTGTCAGTTAAGAAGGACGGTTTGCATTATCAGAAAGATCAAGATCAACAGGGATGCAAACAGTGGTCCCCTGGTGTTCACTAGGAGTACGGACATTTCCCTCAATGCCACGATTGTTTATGACTGCCCATCAGCTCTGCAAAAGGAAGTGAACTGGGAGGTCTATTATGTGCCGTCCCTCGCGCACCGGCCGAGGTGGCAGAGCCCTCTGCTGGTCCCAAAGCCCCAGTCCGGGCCAAAGCTGGTCCTGGACCTGCAGGCCGGAATTCTGCCTCTGGGGGTGTATGTGATCGCCGTCTTTCTGACCCTGGTAAAACACACTGGGGAGGTGGTGAATGGCTCAGATCACACCTACGTCGTGATCGTGAGGAGTCCCCTGAAGGCGGTTATCCTTGGGGACCCCAACGTGACGGTGAACTTCATGGAGCAGCTGGTTCTGAACGGGTCAGCGTCATCTGACCCGGATGATGACTACCCTCTGCGGGGACTCCAGTTTTCTTGGTTCTGTACCACAAACCTGCGGAACTACGTCGGGGAGAAAGTAGAAGTGATGAGCAAGGACGTGTGCCTGCCGGAGCAGGGTGACCTGAGGTGGGCCGGGGCCTCCGGCCGGGCACTGACGCTGTCTCCACAGACACTTCGGGGCGGCCGGGTGTACTTTTTCAGAATGGTGATACAGAAGAGAGACAGAAGGGCCTATTCCGATAAAAGGGTCCATGTGCTCCAGGGGCCAGCGCCTGTGGCTGACATCGTGTGCACAGAGAACTGTGACGCGGTCTTGGTGATATCACACAGGTTTTCTTTGTTTCTCCAATGCACAAATTGTGAGGTGCGCCGTGATGTCTACACGTGGTCGATTCTGTCCCCTTCGGGGGAGGAAGTGGTGTTTGATTGGATGGGGCAAACTTCCACAGACAGGAATAGCGATTATTTGTCTGTCAAAGCGTTTGCTTTTAGAGACTTTGTGGAAGCCCAGTTTTCGCTTTCCTTAGCTCTAGCAGCGTGGAGTGGCGTCAGCTTGGTCCTCAAGTATCCCTTTATTATTAACCACGTGCCTGAAATTGGAGACTGCAAAATTAATCCTGCTAGCGGAATTGCATTTTATACCAAGTTTGTCATCCAGTGTAGCGACTTTAAGGACCAGAACACCCCTTTGACGTATAAAATGATAGTGTCCGACCTGCATGGTTTCAGTGAAATCAGTTCTTTGAAAGAGAACACCTTGGGGCCCATCCTGCACCTGGGCAGCGAGCCCACGTCCCCCCCTTCCTCCCTCCCCATGGGTGTGCCGGTCAGCCACTACAGCATGAAGATCTTTGTCCAGGTGTACGACTCTCTGGGAGCATTCTCTCAGGTGACCTTGTATGCCACCGTCCAAGCTCCTACCGACAGATACGCACCAGAGACAGTGATGCGGCACTTGCTCAGTGTCACCATGGGGCCGGGCTCAGCCTTGTCTACTTTGCTTCAGAAGCAGGACTTTTTGCCCGCAGGCTACCTGATGTACGTCGTCGCCTCTGTGTTGAATGGCATGAAAACCAAAGCTGCCCTGCACACAGTCAAAGTCAGACTCCGGGAGCACCTCCTCAATGCGTCTTGCACTCTCCCTGTAAGCACTCTGGTGGAGGTCGGCCAGCTGGTCACAGCTGTCGCCAAGTTAACCCAGAAGACGTCTGAATTCACTAGCGTCACCAAGAAACTTGCCACGGCGAGGATTTCGCAAGCCAATCAAGCCTTGCAACAGCATCAACGGAACAATAAAGACTTCCATGCTGAACAAATAGAAATCGTGAGCACAGGGATACTAACCAGCCTGTCCAATATCCTGGAAATGACTACCCGCTACGAAGCCTTTGCCCATCCTTTCTACGTGATGCAGTCTCTCGCAGACACGGTCCTGGCCGGGAAAGTGCCGGGAAATGACACCACCGTGATGAAGGCCTCGAGCTTCAACGTGTACATCAGGAAAACGGAAAAGTGGCTGGTCACCAATGTCTTAGGTGACGAGGAACACAGTCGGAACTGGTTCCGTACCACACTCAATGTGAGCAGTGCCCCGGGTTTGTCTGCAAACGCGCCCATTTCTATGACGTTTTGTGAGTTCGCAGGCGACCCCTTTCCTTGGCTGAATGACCAGGACAGCATTTCAGCAGACGTGGTCGGCTTCAGAATGACAGGGACCACGGCGAGCGGAGACGTGCTAGAGGTCGCACCGGAGGTGGTGGACGTGTACCTAAGCAGAAAAAACTTGAGCTCTGTGGCCTTCCAGCTCACAGTGGGTCCTGACAATGAGCCAGGCGAGGCGGACGAGGCCTTGAGAAAGACGACAGGGGCATTCCGTTTCACAGTGGACAGCAGCGCCATGAAGGAGCTGTTGGTTCATATCGTGACGGAAGTGACCGTGCTGTTCACCGTGTCCGTGTATGCTGGCAGCCAGATCGCCCCCGCCGCTTTGGTCGCCACCTTCCTGGTGCCCCATGACATCCCTCCGGTGGCCAACCAGAGTGGCCTCTTCGACCCGGCCTGTGCAGTGCAGATGGCACGCGTGGTCTGCCTGCCGCCGTCTTTGCTGCAGGTCGTCGCCCAGCGGTGCCGCTCCTCTGAGAGCTTCCTGGTTGTGGTTCTGCGGGCATCTCACTTCGTCATGAAGCCCACAGACAAGCTAGTAAGAATCTCGCTTTTCAGCGTGCACTGCTTAGACATGCATGGGATCCAGAGTGACTGGAGAGAAGACACCTGTGTCCTCAGAGAGAGGACCACCTGGGACAGAGTGCATTGTGTTTGTAGGAACACGAGGAGGGTCCGGCGGCAGCTGGACACAGTTAGGCTGGCCAACGTCCACCTGCACATCCGCTACTTCACAGCCAAGGTGATTGTGGTCCCCAACCCTGTAGATCTACGGTTAGAGGTCATCAAGAATGTTGGCCAAAACCCCGTGACACTCTTCACGGTCCTCTTCATCTTGTGCACGTATGTGGCTCTAGCCTTCTGGGCACTGCACAGGGACGAGACGGACCAGTTCCTTCGGGACCACGTGGTAGTCCTGCCTGATAACGACCCTTACGACAACATCTGCTACCTGGTCACTATTTTTACAGGAAGCCGCTGTGGGTCAGGGACCAGGGCCGATGTCTTTGTCCAGCTTCAGGGAACAGAGGGCGCCAGCGATGTGCACTGTTTAAGCCACCCCCACTGTAAAGCCCTGTACCGAGGGAGCATCAACACCTTCCTGCTAACAACCAGAAGTGACCTGGGGGCCATCCGGGCCATCCGGGTGTGGCACAACAATGAAGGCAAAGCCCCCAGCTGGTATTTGAGCCGAATCAAAGTGGAGAATCTGTTTAACAGGTACATCTGGCTCTTCATGTGTCGGGAGTGGCTTTCCATTGACACCTCCGTGGACAGGACATTTGATGTCACCGAGCCCAACACACCTCTGAACAGGGTGGACTTCTTCCTGATTGACATGACCAAGCAGCTGGGGAAGGCACACATGTGGTTCTCCATCTTCACCGGCGTCGTCGGCAAAGGCTTCAGCCGGCTGCAGAGGCTGTCCTGCTGCCTGGCGATGCTGCTGGCCTCCCTGCTGTGCAACATCATGTTCTTCAACCTCGACGCGGAGGAGGCGGAGGAGCCCGAGGGGGACCGCTACCTGCGGTCGATGGTCATAGGGCTGGAGAGCGCTGTGATCACCCTCCCCGTGCAGGTGGCCATCACTGGCTTGTTCACCTACTCCCAGAGGCCGCCCCAGGTGAGCCTGGATGAGGTGTCTCCTCGGAAGTATCCCACGGTGGGGGCAGAGGATGGGCACTGGGAGGACCGTCTGAAATGGTGGCACGCTCAGGAAACCGCCGGGAAGCCTGCCCCCGGGGGCAGTCCCAGGCTCGGGAAGCCTTTTGTCAAGGAGGCCTCGAAAGAGGGGCGCGGGCGTAAGAAAGCAGAAAGAAAGGCCCCCCAGATGAATACAAATGACAACAACAAGAACGTGAACAGCAGCCCCGGGGCTCCCGCTGCACAGCCGCCCCCCCAGGAGCACCCTCCGCCCCCCCAGGAGCACCCTCCGCCCCCCCAGGAGCACCCTCCACCCCCCCAGGAGCACCCTCCGCCCCTCATCAGGAAGCCCAGGATGGCACTGCCTCGCTGGTGTGTCTGTGTGGCGTGGCTCTTGGTCTTCGCCACCTCGGGCGTGTCCTCGTTCTTCATCGTGCTCTATGGACTGACCTACGGCTACAAAAGGTCGACAGAGTGGCTCTTCGCGTCGTTCTGCTCCTTCTGCCAGTCGATTTTTGTGGTGCAGCCGTTCAAAATCGCGTTCCTGTCGGGCGTCCAGTCGAACAGGCCCAAGTACTGTAAGAACCTTCCGTGGGTCAGCAGCTACCACTACACAGACATCCAGCTGCAGGACCTCAGGCTGCCCCCGGACCAAGTGCAGGAGCGACACGAGCACGTCATCCACCTCCGGGGCACGAGGATGTACCAGCCCCTCACGGAGGACGAGGTCAGGATATTCCGAAGGAAGAGGCGCACCAAGCGGCGCGCGTGGCTGCTCCTGACCTGCCTCCTCGCCCACTTGATCTTCCTCGCCCTTCTGCTGAACCTCGCCTCCCTCCTCCGCCACACCGACAGCTTCTACTACAACCAGTACATTCGCCGTCAGTTCTCTGAGGGTCTTGCTACCGTGACCCAACTGGACGACATCTATCAGTGGCTCGACAGGGTGATGCTGCCTTTGTTCCACAATGACCTGAACCCGACGTTTCTTCCTGACAGCTCCTCTCAAATCCTTGGCCTCCCGCTGATGAGGCAAGTGAGGGCAAAACCTGCTGGAAAGGCCTGCCCGCCTGCCCGAAGCTCTGTGCCAGACAGCATCAAAGGGGAGATTCACTGTCACCCCACGTACGGCTCCCATCCAGAGGACACAGAAAACTACACTCAGTTCTGGAAGAAGATCGATAATCGGACGACAGACAAGAACAGCCAAGGGTTTACCTACAAGCCTCCAGAAAGGAGGTGGGTGTATTATTCCCATGGGCTTCTTCACACCTATGGGTCCGGGGGGTATGCTTTCTATTTTTTCCCAGACCAGCTGCAGTTTAATTCCACACTGAGGCTCAAGGACCTGCAAAGCAGCCATTGGCTTGACGAGAACACATGGGCTGTGATTCTGGACCTGACCACGTTTAACCCGGATGTCACCCTGTTCTGCAGCGTCTCGGTCGTGTTCGAGGTCTCCCCGTTAGGCGTGGTGAATGCCAGCATGTCGGTGCACTCCTTCTCCCTGGGCGATGTCAGTAGGGAACCGTCGGCAGAACTTGCCTTGTACGCAGCCATCCTTGTGTGCTTCTTGGCCCACGTGGTGCACGAGGGGTACACCGCCTGGCGGCAGAGGGCCTCCTACGCGACACATGCGTGCAACTGGCTCCACCTCGCTCTGGAGTGCACCTTCGCCATCCTGATCGCGCTGTTTCTCAGCAAACAGTTCCTGGCCGCTGGCATCGTTCAGTTCTACTCATCGGGCTCCGGGAAATTCGTGCCCTTCCACGCCGTTTCTCAAGCGGACCACGTCATGGGGGTCGCTTTGGGCTTCCTGCTGTTTCTGACCATTTTGAAGACCCTCAGGTATTGCAGATTCTTTTATAGCGTGCGCCTGGCTCAGAGGGCCATCCACACTGCCCTGCCCTCCATGTGCCACGTGGCACTCATGCTGTCCCTGTGTTTCTTTGCGTACGTGGCTTTTGGATGCCTGGTGTTCGGTCAGCATGAATGGAACTACAGTCGCTTGCTCCACACCACCCAGACAGTGCTCTCCTACTGCGTTTCAGCTTTTCAGAACGTAGACTTCTCCCAGAACAGGGTCCTCGGGGCCCTGTTCCTCTCCTCATTTATACTGCTCGTGGTCTGCATCCTGGGCAACCTGTTTCGGGTCACGATCCTATCTGCCCACGAGGAAATGACACAGCCCGTGTACGAGGAGCCATCAGACGAAGTGGAAGCAATGGCCTATTTGTGCAGCAAACTCAGGACGGCGTTTGGCTTCCTGTGCTTCCGCCCCAGGGCCCGAGACAAGCCCACAATCTTCATGGACATGCTCTACGGGCGGCCTGAGAAGCACAACCGCCGCTTCCTGGGCCTGAAGACCAGAAACATTAAGGAGAGAAAGATGGTGTATCTCGTCCTGTGACTGCGACAGTTTCCAGGGCTGCAGGCGAGGGTCTCCCAGCAGCTGTTCAGTTTAGTGGCTGCCAACCAGTGTTCCGTACCCGCACACCCTACATCTGCAAGTATTCCCACGGTCAGCAGTGCCCCGGGGAGAGGAGCTGACAGCCCCTGCGTCAGGGGATGGGCTCTCTTTCCAGGGAGTTAGGTGTCCTTGCAGCCTGCAGCAGTTTAGAGGGTTAGAGACCCAGTGGGGACTCTTTCCAGAGACTAGAGCCTCCCTGACCCACATCCCCTCCACCAGCTTCCCCTTGCCCCGCCCACCACATTCTAACTGGTCCAGGGCCTGAGGGGCCTGTGGGGGGCTCCAGGACTTGCCGTGGATTTGGAATTAATTCAGGGATGAGAAGAGACGTCAGAAGTCAGAAGCTTCCCATCTACTCCCTAAGGGTCCTTCAAGTTAAAGACGTAAACTGCAACAACGCTGGCTTTCTGGCCGTGACATGAAGCTTTTGTCAGACAACGGCAAGGTGCTGTGTGCGGGTTCACTTTGAAAGACGGTGACTGCTCTGCAGGTCCGACCTAGCAACATACACACCCTGGGTTTGGACTTCTGGTTGTTTGTGGCCCAGTGGGTTGTTATTGAGTAATAAAGAAAATGTGGTTTGTTGTTTAAGAGAAACATGGGCTGGCAGCTGTCTCGTTTTCCCTCAGAAGCCTGCTCATGTATGTGGATGCTGTGTCAGAATTAAACGTGGGACTTCTGAGGGACACACTGTGACTTCTGCGCCAGGGGCATCTACACAGGGCTCCTGCCCTGGAAGTCAGGGCTGGAAACACAGGACAGCAAAGTCAGCCTGGTGACTGGCCGCTTGGTCCCAGGGGTTGGTTACTCACGGAGGTGGCCCTGCAATCTTAGCAGGCACATGCTTTCGGAGTTGCACATTCTGTGGGTTCAGATGAATAGAGCTGTATGCCTCTGCCATTACAGTATCATAGAGGGTTTTCACTGCCCTGAAAATCCTCTGCTTTGAATCCATCCACAGAATATCACCACTGTAAACACAGTTGGGGTCCTATTTTTCTAGTAACGAAAGCAAAGTGCTTGCTTTTGGGCCCAGGGCAGGGTCGTGCTTGCCCAGATCCAAGAGCAGTTCATTCTCAGCATTACTAACAGGCTTGGTATAATCCCTATTTCTCACTTTTCGGGGGAAAAAGCAGGGAGGCCACCGCAAGTGTAGGGGAGAGCCTGCCCGGGGCTGACGTAGGGGAGTCTGGGAGCCAGGGGAGCCTTTGGAAGCTGGTGGGGCCCTGGGGCAAGCAAGGCCAGGGAGGTTGAATGGTGGGGTGCAGGTCTAGACAGGCGCGTCGCAGGCCGCTTTAGGGTTTGGAGGAGCAGGGTGATGTGTTGCAAGTGCACACAGATTTACAAAGGTCCCAGGAAAGGGCAGGGCTCGTGCAGAACCCAGCTTCTCTGCTGCGTTAAGGGGCATCAGGACACCATGAGCCCTGCCTGTGACCCATGGGACTCCCGTCCTAAGGGGGGACAGGTAGCGTGCACACTAAGAGGAGGACATTCCAACCCGAGGCACTTGCACTTGACGAGCACCGCTGGGGAAAAGAGAGACCAAGTGGGGCTCCGCAGAGCCCGGGGAAAACACAGAAAGAAGCCGAGAATCTTAGCGCAGCCCCAACAGCAGGCCAAGTAGGAGCGCCCTCGGGCCAAAGCAGGGTCAGGCACCGCCCAGGTGCTGCACCCCTAAAAAGGAATGCCCCCTAAAAAAGGAATGCCCCAGGAAGACGCCGAGGAAGTGGAAACCAAACCGGAACTTCGTCCGGCGTCGCGCATGCGCACGGGATGATAAAAAGGGGTGCGCACGCGCCGCTGCCCGTCAAGGGACGGGGCTACGCACGCGCTGTGAGTACGGGGCGCGCGGGACGCTGGTGCGAGCGGGCGGAGGTTATAGAGGGGCGGTCTGGCGGGGTGAAGGGAGTGCGCGCGCGCGCTCTGCCGGCCCCGGTCCCTCCCAGCTACTGCGGCTCGCCCACGGCCACGTTGCCTCCGGAGAGGTCTGTGGGATTCTGAGGACCGGGGTCGGAACTGCTGCCCGCCGCGCTCGGCCCGGGACGGATGATTTGGGAAAGGCCCCCTCAGATGACAGCGGGCTTGTGAGCTCCCGGGGCCGGGTCTGGACGTGCGGGGTCCCCCAGACCTCAAGAGGGGCATTTCAGGAAGTTCGGAGGAGGAGTCAGGTGTAAGGTTGGGGTTAAAAAGCAGCAAGGCAAAGAATGCCTTCCAAGAGCACGTGGAACGACCGTGCGCCCGGATCGCGACGGGCCCAGGGGGAATAAAAGGCAAACGACTTGATGATAGGTCCATGGAGACAAGTCGCACTGAAACACAGTGAGGACCCAGAACCGAGAGTGCGGGAACTGGGGGGCACGGCAGGCAGCCTGACCCGTGTGCGCCTGGAAACCGAGCTGCAGAGAGAGAACGGTTGGGGCCGCTGTGGCTAAGAATTTTCCAAAAATAATAAAAGGTACCAAAACACAAGGCAGAGACTGCTCAAAGAAGTGCAGGCAGGGTGAAAACCTGTAAAAGAAAAAGTTGGTGCAGGATCCGGCACGACTAATGTCCCTTTTTAAATGATAAAATCAAGCATGTCATTCTGTAACAACAGTATCACACTCAAGCACACCACATGGCATTGTAGGTGAGGTGTTCAGATTAAAACTAAGTTATTACACCCATGTGTTTACCCTACCAACCACACTCAAGCAGGCCTTCTGCCAGACCCTGTACATGTGTGTATATATATGTATAGAATTATAGATGTGTGTACATGTGTGTATATTACATGTGTATATAATGTGCACATGTATTATATATTCATTACATATATTGTATATAATATATTACACACTGTGTGTGTGTGTGTGTGTGTGTGTGTGTGTGTGTGTGTGTGTGAGGGTTTTTTCCCAAACTGCTGTAAGCCAAAGATGAAGATCCTCCGGGCAGCCCCAGGGAAGCTCCACGGGCAGAGGTGGGGAAGCCTGGGTGGGGGAAGAGCAAGGACAGGAGTAAACAGGAATATCTGAGCCTGGTGTGTGGGGGATAGGAGTGGGCAGTAACAGGAAAGATAACGCTGCTTTTAGGAGGCCTGAAATATCAAGGAAGGGAGTTTCTTCTGCCATCAGTTCAGGAGACCCTTAGGTTCAAAGTACCACTCAAAGTCTTGATTTTGAAGAATTGTGTCAAATTTTGTCCTGCTTCCTATTGAAGTGATAATGGGGTGTTCTTCCTTTTCCCTGTTACTATCATAAGTTGCATTCGTTGACTTCTGAATGGTAAACGTACCTTGTATCCCCGGAATTGAATCCTCTCAGGAATGATGCCTTAGGCTTCTTATGTATTACTGAATTCAGTTTGCTAACATTTTGCTAGAGATTTTTGGGTATCTAGGTTCAGGAAGGGTGTTGGTCCATAGTTTTCCTGGGATGGCTTTGGGTAACGGTGTCAGGGCCATCCTGGCAGTTTTTGTGTCAGTGTGATGCTGTCCTCATAGTCACCACCAATGGCTGCCTTCTCTACATTCTGAAACAGCTTTTGTATGTTGGTCCTGTTGGGCTGGCCAGAAAGTTCGTTTAGTTTTTTTTCTGTAAGATGACTCTAGTAGTGCTTAGCTGTCTTTAACTTCATTCAACACAATATTGTGAGATTGTGAAAAAAAAAAAAAACATCAAAATTGGTGAGTTTTTGTGTAGACATTTTGATACTGAAGAAAGAAGAAAATACACAACATTTTCAGCATATTATGCTTTATTTCAAGAAAGGTAAAAATGCAACTGAAACACAAGAAAAGATTTGTGCAGTACATGGAGAAGATGCTGTCATGGATCGAACATGTCAAAAGTGGTCTGTGAGGTTTCGAGCTGGAGATTTCTCACTGGACGATGCTCACAGTCCGGTAGACCAGGTGGGGTTGATAGTGATCTAACTGAGACATTAATTGAGAACAATCAATGTTTTACCATGAAGGAGAGATGGCTGACATACTCAGAACATCCAAATCAGTAAAGTTATTGGTGAAAATGAAAAATATGTCCTTGATTTTACAGAAAAAACTAAATGGACTTTTTTGGTCAACCCAATATCTCTTCCTTAAATGCCTAACAATTTGTGGTTAAGCCACCTCGGCCTGATTTTCTTCTGTTATTTTATTTTGTGTTTTTAGGAAAACTTTATATTATGGAACCATTTTTCTGAATAGCTATAGGGCTATTTGGGTTTTCTATTTCTTTGTGAGTCACTTTTGATGATCAGTGGGGTTTTCCCCCCAAGAAATCTGTCCCTTTCAGCTACATTGTGGGATTTATTTGGTAATAAGTTGTTCATAATATGCCCTCATTTTCATTTCCTTGTCTTTAATCTGAGCGACATCCCCTCTTTCATTCCTGACGGTGGCACTTTGCATCCTCTCATGTTCCTTGTCAGTCCAGTTAGAGGTTAGAGGTTACCAACTCCATTGATGTTTTGAAATAACCAGCGTTGGTTTTTTTTATTAGTCATTTTTAATTTCTTTGATTTTCATCCTTTATTATTTTCTTCTCTTTATTTATGTTAGGGTTTAATTTGCTTTTTTCTACTTTCTTAAGGTAGAAACTTCAGTGATTGACCTTACATGTTTTTTCCAATTTAAATATTTAGAGCAGTGACTTTTCCTGTGGGCATTGCCGAAGCTGCATTCTACATATCTCGATACACAGGATTTCAGCTTTCATTTAGTTAGAATATTTTGTGATTTCCCTTGTGATTTCCTCTTTGAACTGTGGTTTATTTAGAAGTGTATTGTTGAACTTCGAAGTCTGTGGAGGTTTTTCAGGTGTCTCTCTGACCCTGATTTTAATTTAGTCACTTTGGGGTTGGAGATATTCTCTGAATTCAGCGCTTTATCGCTGCCGTCTTGTTTTATGGCTCAGCACATTACCTCTTGTGGTGAAAATCTCTTATGCACTTGAAAACAATTGGGACCTGGGGGAGGTCTAGGACTTACTCTGAACTTGAGGTTCCTTGTTGGAAAGGGGCACCTTCCGCCCTCTTGGTCAGAGACACGTTGTGGGGGCTTGGAGGTCTGGACAGTTCTGGGTTCTGACAGTGACCTGCCCTGCGTCTTGACCTTGCAGATGGCGTGTGAGGCAGAGTGCCAGCCCCTGGGTGTGTTTGAGTGCCAGCTCTGCTCCCTGTCAGCTCCGTACAGCTACGTGGGGCAGAAGCCCCCCAACACCCAGTCTATCATGTGAGTACGTATCCAGTGGCTCGTGCATCCCTGCACACCGAGCTGGTGGCCTGAGTCTCACAAGTGGCATGGGTGTTGGCTTTAGGCCCAACCAGCCCAGTTCTGGATGTTCGGTGTGACCTGAGGAGGCACCAGGCAGGGCTCAGGGGCCACCCGGCTCTCCTAGCCCCAGCCAGCCCCTTCCCGCCCTCTCCATCCCCAGTCCAGCCCTGCCCACGCCCGGGAAGATGCACTGTGGCTCAGGCTGGGGCGGCTTGGCAGCTGGTGCGGGCGGCTGAGGAGGCCTCCTCACAGGGCTGGGGGGACGGGGCTGTGCCCCCTCTGCTGGTGCTCAGCCTTCCAGCTCATGCGCTGGTGGGAGTGACTCCTGAGCTCCAGCTCCCCAGGATGTGCCCAGAGATGGGCCTGGAGCAGAGCCACTGGGTTTCAGGGCTGGATTATTGACCTTCAGTTTGTCCCTCATCAAGTGCCGTGTCAGGGGGAAGTTGACCAATGATAGGCTACTCACACAGGACAAATGACAGGGGCCAAGGCTTCTTCCTTCTGACTTGGTGGGTTCCTCTACTGCTCAGGAACTGGGGGCGTCCCCTTGGAACCCCGGGGTCTCCTTCCTGGTGTGTAGTGTGAGGTTAGTACCTCACACGGCTGTGCAATGCCCCGGGTTCTCCCTGCCTGGACACTGGTGGTTTGGGCACCACCACGGCAGGGGTGAGGGGCTGCCTCATGGCCCTGCCCCATCCGGAGAATCGGGCTGGGGTCTGGGGGCTCAGGCTGCAGCAGCCCCTCCGTGGGCTTCCCCCTGGGCTGCTTCCGAGCCCTGTAGGGCCGCGTGGGTGTGCAGGCTCGGCAGGGGCTCCCTCCGAGAGGTTGGACACTGGCATCACTCACTGTCCCGCAGCCTCTTGGAGGAGAGCTTCGTCACCAAGGACCCCTTCACCCCGGACAAGGACAGATTCCTGATCCTCGGCTCCAAGTGCAGCATCTGTGGCCGGCTGGTGTGCGTGGGCCCGGTGGGTAAGCCGCAGGCAGCTGGGGCCGCCTTCTCTGGGGGTGTGGGCGGGCACACCACAGGCCTGGCTGTGGGAGAGGTCACGCGTGAGCCTTTCCCAGGGACGGTGTGAGCGCCAGCCTTGCATTGCCTCTGTGACCCTGGGATCCCTAGGCAGGGGGCAGGGGCTGCTCTTAGAGGCCAGCTGGCCTACCTCATTATGGACAGTCCCTTAGCCAACGGAAGGGACAGGCAGGCAAACGGGTCAGTCGGAGGGCCTCCGTGGGGCTGGGGGAAAAGCAGTAGATTCGTGGAGGCTCCACGTCACCCCAGTAGCCCCTGGTGGTCACCCCCCACCCCCACAGGATGGTGACCTTTCTAATTGTTCCTGGGGAGCCTTCCAGAGGAAGCAGCCCCACTTTCCGGAGCTTGCTGGGTGCCGGGCCCTGTGTTTAGTGCCTGCTCTACCCAGGAAGGCTGCCTTTAATCTGCCCCAAAGCTGGGCAGGCAGAGCTTTCTCGGGGATGAGAGAGGTTCCGAGATGGAGGGCGGGGCCAGGGCACCAGCACAGCGAGCCTAGTGTCTGCAAACCCAAGGACACGCAGGCGGTGGCCGGTCCCGGGAGCCATCTTGCCCACAGAGAGGTCCCTGAGCATCCTGCATAGGGGTGAAGAAGGGAGGAGGGAGCTGTGTCCCACGCAACATCGAAACAGCCCCTCCCTCCCTCCCTCCCAGGCGGAGGTGAAAATGCGGGAAGAGATGGGGCTGTGGGAGGAGCCTCAGTCCAGGCTGCTGTGGGATTCCCCCCCCCCCCCCCCCCCGCAGGTCGGACCACCCACCCCTCCCCCACCACTGTGCCCCGCCATTTCTTTTACTCTCAGGTCAAGACCACACACGGTCCTTGAGGTGGCCAGTCTCCCTCTTGCTGTTGGGCTCCTGCTGCGCCCTTCCCACCTCCCCTCAGCTGCCCGAGGGGCCCCGCCCCAGCCCTGTATGCGATGAAGGACTGGGCCCCAGTCCTTCATACTCCCCCCCTCTTCCAGGAATGCAGCCTGTTCTACTCCAAGAGATTCTGCCTCCCTTGTGTCCAGCAGAACATCCACGCCTTCCCTCAGGAAATTCGGCACGACTTGGAGAAAAGGAAAGTTCCATCGAAGAGGCCGGCCAGCCAGCCCAGCGCTCAGACCTGAGCGTGGCCTTGGTGTCCTGGGTCGGTGCCTGCTGAGCTGGGAGCGCATTGTGTGCTGGCCCTGATTGCTGGCCGGCTGGAGCCGCAGGGCGTGGGGTCCCGCCTGCAGCAGCAGCAGGGCCGGGCTGCAGGGCTCAGAGCTGTGGTCACTCGGGGCAGGAGCCCAGGGGAGCAGAGGCCAGGCCTGCAGGGCCCCTCGCTCCTGCCAGGGCGCCGCCCTCCCTGCAGGGTCTCCTTGGGCTCTCCCTGCTTGCACATGGTGGCACCCGGAGCCCCGCGTGCCCTCCCTGCAATGGGCCAGATCCAGGAGTTGCCTGCGAGTGCCAGGCAGCTGCTGGGCGCGAAGGCCCGCGGTCCCGGAGTCGTCCCAGCCTGAGGAGGCCCCAGAGTCACCCCGGCACTCGGGAGGTTTCCTGTTGGTGCTTCCAGCCCCTTCTGTTCCCTTCTGCTCGGTTCCGCTCCAGGCCCAGCTCTGCGCCCAGATGGGACCACCGTCGCCCATCCTTCCGCCTCATTCCATGGCCTGCTGGCAGCCGTGTGCCCAGCCCCAGGGCTCCGGTCTTCGTGGCCCCCGCCGCCTCTGCCACGGATCCACCTCACCGGGCAGAGTGTGAGAAGCGGCCGGGGGAAGGAATAAAGAGCTGCCGCTGACGCTGACCAACCCTGTGCTGACCAACCGTGTGCCGCGCCGTGACCTCAGCCGCCCTTTTCACAGCTGCCTGCGTCACTTTACACAAACGCATGTCCTACTCCGCAGCCACACGCTGCCCAACACGCTCTGTTCTCGGACAAAAAGGGGCTGTGCCCCAGTGACCCCAAAGTTGCCGCTGAGGGCAGACAGTGCTGCGTTTGGAGCGGGGGGCTTCACAGGCAACAGCTACCTCACAGCATCACTCCAGCTCACCCAACCAGTTTTAAAAATAGTTTATTTTTGAAAACCATTAAGGCAAAACGGTACCCTGAAATTAACTCTTTACATTCATCAGTCTTACAGTAGGACATTCCAAATACATAAGTTCCCGTAAATTCAGGATATAAATCAGTATGTATGATCAGTTCAATTTCCTAATGGGAAAATGAGTAAGACCCAAGATTTTAAGAATTAGTTATCTGAGAACCATTTTTAATGCTGGAACCAAGACTGGTCAGCGTGACTGGGAAGTGCCAGGTGCCAGTGGCCGTTCTCCGCACGCCCATCCCGGGCCCAGACGCCGAGCCTGCCGGGAAATTGGTGCTCCGGAGCGCCTCCTGCCGAGTATAAGCCCGAGGGGCCTGTCACCGACTCGCTTGGAGAGTGTAAGGCACGGGGAATGGGGACGAGAGCACACCCGGGAGAGCAAGCCCCGGCCTCGCTTCGGGAGCCCGTTGTGTTCTGACGTGGGTCCCAGGGGCAGCACAGACCCTCAGCGGCCGCGAGCGCTGCTCAGATCTGGAAGACTGCGCGCTGGTGGGAGACTCGGGGCCTGTGGTTTCCGTCTCTGCTTCGGGGTGGGCCGCCCTGACGCTGCCAGAAGATCAGCCTGCGCAGATGCTCCGTCAGGAGCGTCCGGAAGGCGGAGTCCTTTGGCACTGACCCGCGGGCACTCGTCCCCCGCAGGGCAGAGGGCGGCCACTGGTGGAGGTGATGCAGACCAACCCACCGTGCCGCTCACGCACACAAATAAATTCCAGGAGACGTGAAAACCTCTGATGTGCGTGCGTGCGTGCGTCTCTCTCTGCTGTGACACTCCGGCTTCCTGTTTCCGGTGGGCCCGGGAGCCAGGCTACTGGAGCACGTATCAATTAACACTGATTTCAAAAACCCAAATGGCTGTTATTAGATACATGATTTTAAGTTAGTAAATTACTTATATTAGGATTAAAAAATTCAAATCACAGTATTTAAAATAGAGCTATGCGCATGGTTCTTTTCACCACACAGTGTAGAAAAATAGTGGTACCCAATACTGCAGTCTCAGCAGGAAGGGGTGCTGAGTGTTAGCTGTCTTTCGTGAGGTACGTGTTTTTTAGGCCTGAAAAAAGGAATAGGCTGACTGTGCTTTTGAAAAGAGAAGACATGTCCCCACAGTGAGTGGTTTTACCTTGAACATATGATCGGTCACTTGTCCTCGGGGCCTGAAGCCTGCCCTCCCTGCCGCCAGGAGGCTGAGTCAGGCCCCTGCCAGCGTCCCTGCTGTTCCAGGCTGGAGGGTGACTGCTCTGTCCCCGGCCTGCGTGAGGCTGTAGTGCATTGTGGAACGGACTGGGCACTGATGCCAATGGGCACAGAGGGCAAGAGAGGAGGCTGGTGTGTTCCCTGCTCTGGAGAAACACAGGGAGCGTTTCACATTTGACTCACAGTAGCATTGCGGGGGGGGGGGGGCGGGGGAAGCAACAACAGGTCAGGCCTTAATTTGCTGTCTCTGGTGTAAGAAATGGGTTTCTTGGTTTTTTGTTTGCAGATAGTGTGTTTCCAAACCATGGGGCCTCTGACGTCCTTGATGTGGCTTCAATCAGGACGTGACACTGACCGTGGGTGCAGTGGGCAGAGGGTTCCAGCAGACGTGGCCATGTTTCAGCTGGACCACGTCCTGCCCCTTCTTGGGGCAGGGGGCTAGTGAACGGGGATCCTCCTCCTGTCTCAGGCTGGAGGGAGCCTGAGGAGGAGGAGCACATGGTCTGGGGCAGCCTCACTGCAGAGACTGGAGAAGGCACCTCAAGGGGGCAGGGGGGCAGGTGGTGGGAGCGCAGCACGGGCAGCGGCCTCACCTCTGTTCCCATACGCAGGCCACATGCAGCCTTTAAAAAAAAAGCCCTAAGCCCACTCTGCTGAAGTCAGGTTCAGGGTAATATACCTGCTGCATATTCCACAAAAGCATAGCGGAGGGCATTATGGAATTACTTAGATGAGAGCAAGACGACGCGTCTTTTCTCTCACAGAACTTCCAGCGTCTCGTTGCCGCTTCTACGTGGTGGTTCCCAGAGGAACTGGATGTTCTGAGTCAGGACAGACGTGCCGCCTTTATTCTTATTCTGTTTCATAGGCCCTTAAGCAGTCGATGACCAATTTCTAGAATTCTATTACAACAGCACCTGAAAACTATGTAAATCTGAGCAAAAACTGACACCTTTACCTTTGGAGCTGGTCTTCCCACTCTCTGGGCAGGTCCCTCGGACCAGCAGGCACCCTGGGAGCCGTCCCTGCACCTGGAAAGAGGACGGCCACTGGCCGACTGCACGCATCACAGGGCTGCCCAGCACGGTGCGGGGAGGTGGGGGGGTGGGGGGAGGGTCCACGTTTCCTGTTGCAGTCTCCGTGCACCCTGCACAGCTGGCCCAGCAGGACAGCCTTTCTGCCACAGGCGTCCCCGGGCACTTCACTGCCTACGGCAGCATCTGAAGGTCACTGTTGTCAGTCTCCTGAACTGACTGCTCCACGTGAAGACTCGGTTGGTAGGAGTCCTCGGCCCCAGGGGAGCCTGGGAAGCTGGGCCAGTGCCATCAGACCTGGGTGTGGGACAGTCTTCCACGGCCATTTTTTTTAAGTCAGGAAGCCCTCAGTGGGCGACACGGATCTTATTCTGCAGCTTCGATGGACTGTACAATTTCCTCGCCTTTCCTGTGTGGGCACCATTGTGGGGAGCTGAGAGGGAACTTGAAGCAAGAACCGGCCCAGGAACATGTATGCCGGGGGGACAGGCACAGCCCCAGGAGCACAGAGGCAACGAAGCACGCTATGCCCAGCTGAGGAGATGGCAGCGGCCCTCCGCCTCTGGGTGGGATCGTTCTGCGATCGGGGTGAGTCCATCCTGGGCCCCCCAAGCTGAGACCCGGAGGAGACAGACAACTGGACCCTCCTTCCAAAGCCCCGAAGACTGATGTGGGCGGGCCTCTGTGAGCACCTGACGTGTTCTCCTAGAGGGGTCTGCGTTCTGAAAGGCCACATGGCTTGAAGAGGTACTTTGAAGGTGGCTGGCCGTCCCTGGGTCCCTGGAAGTGCCTGGCCAAAGGCCAGGGCGGTGGTCGTGTCTGTTTTAGCTGGTGGTGCTGGGCCCATTGGCCAAAACAGTGGGCCCACATTTACACAGCAGTCCCTACGGCGGTCAGTGACAGGCGTGGCCACTGGGCAAAGGCCAGAAACTACTGTGCGCCTGCCAGCTGGGCCCCGTGTGCCCAGTGTCACCATGGTGTGTGGAGGCAGCAGGGGCAGAGGCACAGCTGTGACGATGGGGCAAGACCTCAGGGAGCCACAGTCCGACCAGGACCGCTTGGAGGCCTCTCTCTCCATCCTCCTCCTCCGGCAGGGCCGCCCCACGGCCAGGCTCCTGCACAGCCAGCAGGTGCGGCGCGGCTGGAGGGGAGGCCTGGGCGTAGGGTCCCCGCAGGCCTGGCCCCGTCTCGCTCAGGTTCAATCTCACTACTGCGGGCAGCAACTCCTACACACGAGTGTCTGTGATGCTCCCTTTAAACAACAAAGGTCCCTTTGGGAGTCACCAAACCTTCCCCGTCTGTGGGGGTGGGGAGCATGGGGCCTCCGGGCGGGTGGTAAGGCCGCAGGGGCCCGAGCACCTTCGTTTGACCGGTGTCTTTGACGGGTCTGTTGAGGTAGCTGGTGCGCTGTAGACGGAGGGGGAGCACTAGCGGCGGGGCGGGTGGCTTGGTTACCACACCTTGAACAAAGGGTGACCTGCGTCTAGAGCTTCTGCTCGGGTCCGGGGAGGCAGCCTGTCCGCGACTCTCCACTCGACCCTGGCCCAAGCATTGTCAGAGGGACGGCCTGGCGAGCAAGGCGTCCAGACGAGCAGAGAGCTGCCTGCTGTGCTCTGGGAGCGAAGAGCAAGGACCCCTGGGGACAGGGTCCGCCCTCGGGGGCGCCCCGGATGCACTGAGCACCGCGGGCCTCTCCTGGGCTCCGCCATCACTACTCTCCTTGGGAAGAGGCTCGGGACTCATCCTGTCAGAGTTCTAGAAGGGTCTCAGGGAAACTGGAGAGCAAGGCGGGAAGAGGAGCAGCCCTCCGGTGCTCAGGCAACGCTCACTATTCAACCTCCCCAATCCCTCTGTGGCCAGTGCACCGGGAGCTTCTTGTTTTCGGTGACACAGGATGTCACAATATGACTTCCAGCCATGCAGCCCTCACTGGGTTCCGGGCACAGACTCTGTGTGAGGGTCACCCAACAGGAAATGCCCGGGAGGCGCCGGAGGGTGGGTGGAGAGGCCCGATGGGGCCGGGCCGGAGCTGGCCGCGGGGTTAGGAGGCATGTCTCTGAGGAGCCTCGGCTGTCCCTGCGTTCTTGTCAGCACGCAAGACCGAGGCTGTCTGGTGACTTGGTGGCCTGCGAGGAGTTTGGCACTCTTTTCTATCCTGAGTCGAGAACCTGAAGAATCAGGTTTAAACAGACTCGCAGAGGCGCGGGTCATTGGGTGCGTTCACCCCGGAGGCCCTGCGGCTGCCCACTTGTGGCCGGAAGCTTCTGGAGCCGTCAGGGTGCTGCTGGACTCAGCGCCGGCCTTCAGGGAAACCCAGCGAGCGTGTGCACACTCCTCCCCGAGCCCCTGCACGACACGCCCCAGCACACCGAGCTGGGGGGCGGCCGCCTGAGTGTGACCTCGGACGCACTGAGAAATCTGATTAGCTGACCCAAAACATTGAGTGACTCTGTCGTTTAACAAGACTGGGGACATGTGATTTTTCTTCCCATTAATAAAAGTGAACCGCCTCCAGACATCCAGTGACTTTTAAGCTGAGGTCCCTTGGGGCCTCTTCCACGGCTACACCAGGGACATGGCTGGTCGGGTAGCCAGGTCCGGAGAGAACCGACGTCCGGTAAGGCCGCTAACGCACAAGCCACGCCTTCCGGCAGCTTGCTGGACACTGCAGGAAGTGCGAGACACGGGGCTGCTTTGGAGGGGCTTGACCGGAGCCACAACGGAATGCCCTTCTTGTCTGAAAGCCGGGTCTCCAGACTCGCTTTCCGAGGCCAGAGGTCAGCAGAAGCAGGTGCGGCACTGGGGGTACACGCAGCCCCCAAGCCCCGACCTCGACAACCATGGCCCCCCCACCTTGTCAGCGCAGGGGACGCCATTCCAGGGAAGGGCATCGAGGGGCTGCCCCAGGCCTGCATGACCGCCAGCTTACTGCCCTTCCCACGTGGGACACTGTTACTGGCGCCCAGCAGGTCCTTTGACTGGATCTTCAATAGCTTCCTAGTTGAAGCCTCACGCTTGGACTGGTTTTTCTACCATCACATTTCCCTACTGCTGATCTCGGGAACTTGGCCAGTGCTGACCCTAACCCTTCCTCAACGGTAAGTGGTAATGACCTTAAAGGGCCAGATGTCCTCAGGGCAGTGGGGGATGGGTGTCAAGGACCCAAGCAGGCCGTGGCACTGTGGGCGCAGGATCCAGGGGCCCCGTGCACCTGCCGGCCCTGGCAGGCGGGCTGCATCTGAGGGGACAGTGGGTCCGCTGCGGTGACGGAAGGGGAGAGTGGGCCGGGTCCACGCGCTCCTAGACACAGTCCAGGTGGCATCCACGGGCGGCCTGAGGCCAGGAAGCCGACCTTCGAGGCTGAAACAACCATCTACTCGTGTCGGCCTTATGCACGGGGTTGGAGAAGGGCGCTCTGCTCTCCAACTCCGCGCAGACCGCCGGCTGCAGTGACTCCTGGGACCACGCAACACCACCTTTGGACCTCACGTCCCAGCCCCACCCCCGCTGTTCCCCAGGTGACCCCCAGGACTATAAAGTCACATTCACCTCGTCTTCCCCACTCCAGCGAACAGCTACTACCACCAAGAGTTACAAAAACAAAGCTGCCTTTTTTAAAAGGCAACGCAGGGAAAGACCCGGGAGCTGCCCCGACACACAGGACGCAGAGGGACACGTGCAGGTGACGTCAGGCTGCCCTGGAGACCATGCCCCCCCCCCCCCCCCGCCAAATGCCAACGGCCCAGCTCTGAGAGGGAGCAGGTGGGAGGGCTGGGACGCGGAGGCACTTCCGAGTCCATCCCCGTCCTGCTCACCAACACCAGCTTTACTGGGGCCATGAGCCAGAGCGGAGGGCGGCGGAGACGCGGTTTCCCGGGACCTTCTACAGGAGCCGGCGCAGGCCTCCCCACGGCCTAGCTACAGCCGTGCACCCGGGCAGCCCACGCAATGCGGGCGGCCCCGCTTCCAGAGCTTATCAGATGATCCTTTTGAATCCCAACGTCTGTGATTAAAAAACTGCATGCTGTTGCTCTTCGATTTCAGGGAGCAGAATCGAAGTCTTCTGAATAAATACTTAGCCGCTCTTAAAATGCCTAACCTTTGGTTACATCTAGATATACGGTATTACAAAAGTTAAAAAGTGCTGATTAGTTTCCAACGTTACAAAGGAGCCCAGGAGTCAACACTGGTACCTGGGGAGATGGATCTCGGCTCCGAGGTCGCCAGGTACCAGTGGTGAGTCACTGCCCTGATTTTAACAAAACTGCATCGATCAGCACCAGACTGCACCGCTTCGACTCAGACAGCCGAGCATCGCCCTCCAAGTTCTCCACGCCCCGATTCTGCACGCGCTCGGTAAAAAGGCAGCCAGTGTGGAATGGGGTCGTGGTTACCTAGAGTGCACACGTCAGGTTCTCAGGGTCCGGCGGGGACATCTGTGCAAAGTGGCCTTGATCCCGTTCCTCCTCGGCAGTGCCGCCACCTCCAGGAGTCCCGGGGTGCTCCCTGCCCCTCGCTTGCTCAAGGGAGCTCAGTACATGTCCCGGTAGATCTCCTGCAGCAGCGGGTGCAGCGCGGCGTCCGACTCGGTCCTCTTGATGACCTGCACCAGCTGCGCGTGCTCGGTGACCAGCTGCCGCAGGTCTGCCATCTTCTGCAGGAGCTTGGGGAAAAGGAAGGCGTCGTCCGGGTGGTTGCTCTGCAGGTGGAGTTTGAGCACATGCACGATCCCCTCCTGCATTTTCTCAATCTGTCCGACGTTTAGCAGGCCAGGGCGGTCTACCCCCAAAGGAAAGAAGAGACGATTGAGTGCACAGCCATCCTGGCAGGGATCCGCCTGAGAAAGCAGCCCCTCCCTTCCCCGGCCTTCCTCCCCCGAAGCTCCGGGCCTTCGGACACTGCGGACCCGACTAGGAGACACCTGGATGTTCCCAAAGCCGCTTGGCCTCACGGGGGCAGGTAGGGCAAATGCCCATCCGTGCATATTCATGCAGCTGGAAGCCTGGCCCTTTCCTCGCCTTTGCCTGATGTCCACCTGGCAGGCGGACCCCCAACAGGAGGGAAGCGTACATTGGGATGATGGTTACAACAGCCAGTTTTGCGGAATGTGGGAGGTGAAACTCCTCCTGAGTCAAAACTAGACGTTCCGGTTCAAGTTTTTCACCGATGGTTCAGGGCAGTGACAGTGTGAGACCTGGGTTTTGCGGGAGAAACCAGTCGTTACCGGCACCTCCCGGTGTGAACCAGGTGGAAGGAGGCAGAGTGAGAGATGAGAGAGGAGACCCCGTGGGGAGGAGGCCGGGGCTGAGGGCTGGTGCAGGGTGGGCGGGCGTCCCCACCGGGGGGCCACGGGGGTGGGGGGCCACAGGGGAGCCGGGCCTCGGGCCCCAGGGCTCCGCCCTCGGCCCAGAAAGTACCCTCAGCCCCGCAGCCGTCCTCACTACTCTGATTTTCAGAAGTATTGCTCATGATGGAGATGGCTTTTTCCTTCTTTCTTCCATCTTTTTTGGTTATAAATATATATATAGTTGACCCTTGAACCATGCAGGGGGTCTACACTTTGACTCCTCCCAAACTGAGCAGCAGCCCCTGGATATCTGCAGGGGTTGGTTCCGGGACCCCCTGTGGCCACCAAACCCACAGGCCCTCATGTCCGTCATGTGACACGGCACAGGCCAACGCCCCCAGCTGGTCCTTCTCGTCCGCGGGCTCCCAACCATGGACTGAGAACGCCCTTTCAACCTGTTTCACCCCAATACATTCAGTGAAAACTGAAAAAACACTGTTTTTGATCCGCAGTTGGCAGAGTCCACGGACACGAAACCTGGGCACAGGGAAGGTCAGCTGTATGTCCACCGAAAACAGTCCAAGTGTGAGTGGACCATGCAGTTCAAGTCCACGGGGTGCGGGGTCGACTGCAACTGTTAACTTTTTAAGCAGAAATTTAAACAGATAGAGTGACCCCCCGTCGCACAGGCTACTGTGCATCTCGCCACGTTTCCCTGTCGGGCTGACACGTAACTAATTTCTTTCACGGAGCCGAGACCGCACTGCCCACAGACAGCTCCGCAGCCGCTCTGAGCCCGCAGCGCGAGGGCAGACCACGTACGGCCCCGCTGCCAAGTTGCCCTTTCGGGCAGAGTGTGCGGACTTCCCACCCCCGGCCGCCAGCTGGTGGTAACGAGGACAGAGCTCGTGGGACCGGCTGCTCGCACTCTGCACCCCTACGGTGTCGGGAAGACGGCGGCAGCATCGGTTCTGCAAGTGAGTCCACCACGGGGACAGCACAGCTGCCAGCGGTTTGTGGGGACAGGCGCCCCATCAGCGGCCCCCAAGGCTAGGTAAGGTCCACGGGGAGTGACCTTCTTAGACCCAGGACAGTACTATTTAAAGCAACGTGACATTGAGCCAGAAACTGAGGCGTGTAGCCAGCTTCCCGCAGAGCAGCCCAGGGCTCCCTCCCAGGACCTGCCTCCTTAGCAGAGACGACTCTGGGACTGTCACTGGTGAGTGGCCAGAGCTCCTCACCCTGAAGCAGCATGAGCACAGCTGTCCCGACAGGTGCATGGCACCCCGCACAGTATGACACGGCCATGACGTGGCAGCGACAGAATTATACTGTGGAGTCATGTGCCACTTAACGACAGGGACACGTTCAACCAGCACGACCATCACCGTGCACGAGCACACACGCCCAGGCGGTCCAGCTTCCTGCGCGCCGCAGCTGCGCTCTGGGTCTGGCCTGTACAGAGCCCGTGGGACCGGGTCAAGCACAGTGGCAGTGACACTGCCGAGAGCCCGGCACACACAGGACGTGGCTGCCGTGGGCGACGGCTGGCGTGGTGAGCAGGAAGAGCGCGCTCGCCGCGGTCAGGAGTGCAGTGTGGCAAACACACACCAGGGAGGTGGCCGATGGGCTGCACACTCCTGCACGCACCGCCTTTGCACGCTGTCGGCGCAGCAGGCTGTCCACACCGGCGGTTGCAGGGTTTCAGCTCAGTGCACCACCACATACAACGTGGTCCCTTGTCCACCCAAACGTCACTGCACGGCACACGCCCGCATCGTAATGCAGCACACTGTCATCACCCTACCTGACACACTGTTCATGATCTCATTTAAAGTAGAGCATTTATACATTGTGACGTACGTAAAACACACACAACGTGCGATACGAACTCATCCATAAGAGCATATGACATGATGCAGGTGAGGCGGCGACACAGGGGCTCAGGCGCCCTCCCCTGCCAGTGCCTGCCCCTCCGCCCCCCACTCACCACCCCTGGTTCTTCGCAACAGAAGTCTGGCAGCGCGTGGCACCGCGGACTGAAGGGAGAACTCACCTCCACAGCAGATGATCGCAGCCACGAAGAGGGAAATGTCGCTGTCGTCCAGCTCCAGCGCATTGAACTTCATGGCGAAGTCGAACTTGGGCTCCATGATGTCGCAGAAGGGCTTCCGGAGGCTCTTCAGGAACTCGCGCGTGATGAAGCCGTTGCCGTAAGCGACCAGCATCCCGTCCTTGTTCATGACGGAGGACAGCATGGTGAAGATGGCCTCGTAGACGCCGTACTTCAGCAGCGTGACCTGGTCATTCAGGTCCAAGCTGGCGAAGCCGGGGATGGACTTGGCGAACTCCGTGAGCTCCGTGACGGTCTCCACGGACGTGCACTGGCAGCAGTGGTAGATGCGGACTTCCGCCTCCTTGTTCTGGATGCCGTTGGCCACCAGCTTGGCCACCAGCGTCTTCTCGGCCATACACAACGTCTCCATGTCGTGGATGACGAAAGGCTGCAAAGAAAGGCACTGGAGTAAGCCCGGTCGTTGGTGACAAGTGTCCTCCTGATAATCAGCGAACTGCTGAGGAGCCACTACACCCAAGTCACCTGGGGACAGTCCTCGTCCTAAAGAACCTTCCATGGTGGGGCCCGGGGGACCGCAACAGTGAGCCCGCAGCTGAAATGCGCCCGATACCAGCAACCCCCGCCTGACACTGGAGGGTTTCGCTGCTGAGAGAGTGAGGCACTGACTTTTGGCAACGAAGCTAACGAGGGAATATGAGCAAAGCGCTTTCACCGTTTCATAGTACCTCTGAACTCCCTCCTACTACGGGGTGGCCTTCAGCATGACCACTGTCCATGCTGCCATCTGACGGACTGTACACAGCTCACCCAGCACTGGCGGCTGATGGAGTAGACCTGGGTGCAAACACGCACACCCCAGACAGGCGGTGTCTGCGCACAAACGAGCGAGCAGGCGTCGTTAAAGCGTCGCTGTCTGGGGACAAACGGCAAGAGCCTTGGAGGGCACCTGCTTCCCTGTGCACGAGACTGGAGCCGTCACGCCAAAGCTCCACGTTCCAGAACAAGGAACAGGCCCCGTGGCAGCCGCCCCACCTGCCCAGGCCATTTGCTCCTAAACCTGCAGGCCCCCCGCTTCATAAAAACCGTGTGGAGGAGAGAACGGATGGGTGGCCACATAACTGGAAGCCAGCCCCAGGAGAGCACACCCATGTGGTGGGGCTGGGGAGAGAGGCACGGACACACGGCCGCCGGCCAGAGCTGGGTGTGCGTGGGGCAGCCACGAGGGGCGGGGGCACTATCTGCTGCCATCGTGAACAGGGTCCATAGGCAGCCCGTGACTTTAAGGATCACTGCCAGCGGGCAGGACACATCACCACAGCGCCTGCACCGTCTCGGGAGGTGGCCCCCCTTCCAGCTGCACCAGAGCATCAGCACACAACCACCGCAGGCACCTGTGCACCGTCCCGGGCCTGCACAGCGGCGGTGGGCGTGCCGGCACCATCCCACGGGCCGCCTTTGAGGTGCGTAACCTGAATGAGAACGGGCACTACAGTATCGGGGACCAAACCACCTGACTCCACAGCTGAGGCAAGGGGTGCTTTAGAAATCACCCCGAATGGGCGAAAACATTCTGAAATCGAACTTGGAGCTGAGACGCCTAAGCCCCTCGAGTGTGACGGCGGAGCCCCACCGCCTGTCCCCAGAGACCGTGACAGCAGCCGGACCAGCACTGGTCTAAGGAGGTGTGGGGCCAGGCCTGCTCTGCCGGGCATTGGGGCCCAGGTTCAAGGCGCTCACCCACACAGGACGGACGAGGGACACGTCCCCCAGGTTAGACGGCAGCAGCCCTCAATCTCAAATGAGACTCTGAGGCCACCCTGACTTTATTCGAATCGCTGGCTTTTTCAAGTGCATTCAGTGGGGGGGGTGGGTGGTGGGTGGGAGCGTTTTTGAAAAAGGAGTCCCGTGGTCAAAAACATCCATGAAACAGTGGCTTAGAGGCAGCAGGGCCTCCCTCAGTCTGCAGCGTGAGCGTGGGCTGCGAAGCTGCCACACCAGGTGGGTCCCCGAAGAACTGGACGACAGAGTGCTGCTTTCTCTCTGTGGCAGTTCACAGGCCGAGCCCAGAGCCCAGTGCAAAACGGAAACGGGGCCCCTTGTTCAAGGATGAGTGAGAATCTCCAGACAGCGACAGCTTAGCATCCCACCAAAACAGGACGCGCACCCATGGGGCTGGCCCCCGGCAAGTTTAAGGACACACCTACTCCCACAAAGGGAGGGGGGATTAATGGTAACAGATGTCCCATTTCTACAAGATCATCACTTGGATTTTAGAAGGCAGGCCTCAATAACTGGCAAATTTGGAAACCCCTGGAATTCAAAACAAGTGATCATATTGAGAAGCCAGTGTTTATTAAAGCTAGAGAAACTGTAGCTAAGACTGATAAACGTTCTTGATAAGACTGTTTAAGAAACCTGTGCAGCTAATACAGGGTCCGCCACAAATAACACCCCCTTTTTATTATAAGCTCCGATTACAAAATTGTAAGCATGTCATTCTGTAACATAACAATACCACACTCAAGCACCCCACGTGACATTTTCGGTAAAATGTTCAAACTGCTGTCCATCTCATGTGAGACATTCACGTACAACCCCCGGCCACACCCACGCAAGCCTTCCTTCTGCCAGGCCCTGTGATTTACTTTGGAATGTGCCTTTCACATTCACACCTGCATGTGAGCCCATCTGACACGACAGGTGGTCGTGTCCAGGGACTACGTGGAACGTGCCGGGAGGATCCAGAACTGCCCGGTGTGGCCTGCAGCCGCCCCACGCGGAGGCCCTCCGGCTGCCCGCCGACACACGACTGCTGCTGGCCACACCGACGCTGCCCAGTGTGCTGCGGTGTCACTTGTGACAACCCGTCACCACAATACATTTAAACAGCACCTTCTGTAAACACCAGGCAGCGCCGTCTTCCAGGAAAAACTTGTGAATTACTGGTAGAGCTGCTTGGGATGAAATGCCTCAGTGAGCGTTGGGTTGGGTTGGACTACACACTTCCAGAAAAAGGTATAAAACATGAAGTCTGTTTTTCAATCTAAAGACAACGTAAGTAGCATGCATAGCATTTCGACCCAGGGCTGGCAGAAAACCCCCGCCGTGCCAGGCGCTCGTCCCCGAAGTCCCTGAGCACAGAACATCGGGACCCCTCCTCCGCGGCCAGTCGAAGAATCTACTCTCCACCACACGTCTGCTCCTTGCTTTGCTTTTTGCCAAACAAGACACTGGACTCTGCAGAACCCCGTCCGCGTGCCGGGCTGGCTGCAGGTGATGCCTAGTTCGGTCTGCAGCTCGACGACCCTCTCGGAAGATAAATGTTTTCTATAACTGAAGATCTTCAGAGACTCCAAAGACAGTTCCCAACAGTGATGAGCAACACGGGAACCCCGAAACAGACCCCTGCTGTGCCCGCACCTGGATGGAAGGAACTCCTGACAGGTTTGTGGGACGCAAGAGGCAGCAGGACGGCTTTGCTGTCACCGCACACCCTGCGTGGCGGGTGTCTAGGTAGCCAGTGCTGGAGAGCGGCTGCTTCCCTCACCTATTCCTCAGAGAGGAGCTAGCTCCTCCAACCAGAGGCACCTAAGGCTGAGGGTAAGTGTGCACGTACAAGGGTACTTGTGCACGTGTGTGTGGGAGTCCATGTGTGCATGAGCATGTGTGAGAGCGCACGTGTGAACATGCATGTGTGCATGGGAGTCCATGTGTGTGCGTGAGTGTGAGCGCATATGTGCCCATCATGAGAAAGGCACTGGAGTCAAAGCTCCTCAGTCTCATTTGCACGCTGCTTTCTCCAAAAGGTGACACTCCTAACACCTCACCACCGGTCAGCTCACGCCCTTTTCCAAGGCGCTGTGTGCAGGAAGCACCTCTTTTGGAAGCCATGTCCAGAGGGGAGCCACGTTCCCCCGGGTCCTCAGGGACACTTCTGTCCCTGTCACCCTCAAATCAAGGGGCGGCAAGGGCCCCGACAATCTCTGACCAACGACAAAGGGCCCTGCTCATTGTGGAATCCGGGGGCTCACCCCAGCCCGAGTGAAGGAGGACACAGACGCTGGCTATCCAGCCCACCACCACTCCCTCCGCTAAAACCCCGTTCCCCAAAGCAACCGAGTCTGCCTGGCTTCCAAGCAATCTCCCTTCCTCCCCAGGACCCTGTCTCCATCCCTTGCCCCGGAACCCTCCTGACCCACCCAGCATCCTAGCGGGTTCCAGGTCGACCTCAGGTCTCTGCTGCAGCCAGTCCACAGGCCACAGAAGTGGTTTTCACGGAGCAAAGCAGTGGCCTGGTGTGAGGGCCAGCCAGCTGCCACTTCTAGCAGGCCTCGGCCTGCTTTCTAATTACAAGTCTGCCCTCGCCAAGGGCCACGTCTGGGTGACGGATCAGAAGCTCCGAGCCCTTGCCTAGCAGGCCCTGCAGGAAGCCTCCCCTGGGCTGGCGGGGAAGAAGCCAACCCTGAGTGACGGCAAACCAGCCCCATCTTGCTCTGGGGGCAGACCTGTCCTCCCAAGTTCAAGCTGAGTGACTAAGTCTGCTTACAGCCCCAACAGACCTGACAACCCAGCCTGGTGGGCCGCACAGATGGAGCCCTTCCATGTTAGTCAGACGCGTGCTCTCCAAACCTCCAGGCCGCAGGTTTGGGGATCTGAGAAGCCCACGCCGCTTCCCTGACCTCTTCCCCATCACAGCTTCAGCGAGGACCGCCATGTCATCCCCGGTCGTCATCCCCGATCGGGACTTCCCTGAGCAGTGCTGAGTGCCGGGCCCCCGAGCCCCGGTCAGGGTGACTGGGTCAGGGGAAGCCTGATCTCCCCGGCAGATGTCCCGCGGACAGACTGAACTGCTTTCTGAGCCATGTGAAAGATGTGGGCTGTGATCGCTGATGGCCACTGCGGTGACCAGCCAGGACTCTGGGCAGAGACCCCCAGTGGCGGTGGGCGTCCCACCCGTCGGCTCCTCCAGACTGAGCAGAGAGAAAACCAGGGGCCAGGTCCGAGCCGGGAGCGCTGAGGTTCTCGTGGGGGACAGGAGGAGGGCCACGCCCCCAACACGGAGAGGACACGCGGTGGTAAGCGAGCCCGGCTGGGAGCCAACCTGTGGTCAGAGGCAGTGAGCCCCGCACCTGCAGGTTGTGGTGCGCAGGCGTGGGGCGGGAGCAAGCCCCGCCCCTAACAGGAAGCCTCCGAACTCTTTTCCTGGTGCAGTGAAGCCCAATCCTAGACTACCGGCCGGCTGTCCGTCTCCTTAGGACTAAAAGACACATCTTCCCCGAGAGGATCCCACCACCCAGATGTCACTGGCTCTGGCCGAGCGTGACGGGGCTCCCCCTGAGACCTGGGGATCTCAGCGGGCCATCCACAAGGACATTCCCTGGAAATCTGATTATATTCAACGAGAGTGCTTGGTGAAGAGTAAATATGACGTTTAATTTGCTTTAAATTCCAAAAATCCAAGGGAGAAAGAGAAGACCTCGGAAAGATCTAAAAAGATCTGAAACAGATCAGACTTTGGGGTGACTCTAGTTCTGGGCTCCGCTCACTAATCCCCTTCAGGAGAGAAATTCAAAGTGTGCAGGTCGCTTTGCTTTTGGGCCTGCACTGACTCAGTTTGCCCGAGCCTCTGAGACCACCAGGCGTGGGTACGCTTCTTCCCGTTTTTAACAGGGTTTTCTGGAGCCCTCAGAAAGTGTCTCAGCCAATGTGATGGGAGAATTCACTGAAGAATTACAGAAGTTGGTGAAAAAGAGGTTTGGTCTACTCACGAAAGCCAGGAACTTATGAAATACTTTATTTCACCGTGACTAAAACTTCCAGCTTGTAATTCCCAACAAGGATCGCTTCGAGCTATTCATTAGTACAAACGAAACCTGTTTCGCCAGGCTCAGAGGAAAATGCCAAATGTCTTTATTTGCCAACCCCGGCTGCCCCCTCTTCGGAGGCAGCTCTATGGAGACAGACTTGGTTGTCGAGGTGGTGGGGGGGTGACGCTAGGCTGGGCAGGTGATGAAGTAGGTGCAGGGAGTCCCCAAGAGGCACTCACAGATGCTCCTGAAAAGGTCCAGAACTCTCCAAAAAGACAGCAAAGTTTCTGTAAACACTTCACCCTTTCTAAGCCCTAAGACGCAGCTGCCTTCCCACTGAAGCGAAGGCAGGTGTGTGCAGGGGAGCAGGTCAGAGAGGAGGGTACAGTCTGGGGAGAAAGAGTGCAGGGACATATTCTGAGTGGGAAGTGATTGGTTTCATTTTCTGGGTGTTAAAATGGGGAATTTTTTTAATGCACTCAGACACACCCTAGAATCTGGTAGCTATTAACTGGATTTCTGTTTTTGGAATAGTAATTACACAGTCCTCATAGTAACTCGGTCACTAGGAGCTTTGGGGTAGGTCAAACCCAGCAGACAGGAGTGGTTAAGCTACATTTTAGCATCTCTGAATGTTTCCATTCCATTGTCTCTCGGTCACCTTGGGGACAAATACTGTTTTCCCAGCATTTGTTTAACACCTGCGTTCCCAGCCCTCCTCTGCGCTCTAGGGGATGTGGTGCCGGCGGAACGCGGCAGACTGGCAAATGCCCCGGGGGAGACACCTACCGGGTTGTTGCTGGCCTTCCCCGCGAGGATGACCCGGGCCTTGACCTTGTTCATGTTGAAGTTCTTCAGGTAGGCCTCATAGATCCTCTTGGCGAGGGACTTGAGGTCTGCCGTTTCAGAATCTTCTATGTCATGCTCACACGTAAGGATTTCTGCTTTTAATTTTGCTTTTTCAGACCTTGGCATGCGACCAAAACGAATAGCTGGGGGTGGGGAGAGAAATGGGGCAATGGGGGAGGGACAGAGGTGAGCGAGGCAGCATGAACCACAGCTCACGGCCGCCCCGACAGCCTCGCGTGTGCGCAACTCTGAATGGAGGATGGCAGGGAAGTCAAACCTGCCTCTCGAAGCCATTCAACTTTCTGCTTTGGAGAGATGAAAATAAAACTCAAACTCCATTAACCCTGGACCGTTTCAAAAGATTAAAATGAGAGGTAATGCCATTAATCGTTACACCAGGAGGCGGGGCTTAGGGCCGCCTGCAGTGGCTGGCACAGCCGCCATCCGGCCTTTCGGTTGTGGTGGGGAGTGAGGCCAAGGTGAGTTCACGGCACACCTTCTTTTCCCAGAAGGCGGGCACGCCACTTTTATGAACTCGCTGTTTTAAGCATGTTCTCAAATGAGAGTGTGATTGAATTAAGTTAAATTCACAGCAGGATAAGACACCCAGATGGCACCTGCTCCATGTGTGTGACAGGAAGGAGCATCACGGCGACACAGGGACGTCCAGTTGCTTCCAAATCCTGTGTCAAGCCTTACCATTCCAAGTTTCTAACCGTGATTCCCGGCCGCGCTGAGCCACAGCGTCGGGGGCCTTTCGTTTCTCAGGTTGCTGCGGTTACAGCAAGACCTGGGCACTCAACGTCGGCGCTCGTTCACCTCGTTCACGCCCAGCACTGCCCCACCCCCCGACATGGGGGAGGGTAAACTGAGGCATGGGCTGGGGAAACGCGGTAGACGACCTTACCTACCGTTATGGGACATCCCAACGGAAAGGCACTTGTGAAAACGGCAGTACTGGCACTTGTTCCGGTTCTTCTTCTGGATCTTGCAGCTCCGCTCGCACTTGTCGTAGACCAGCTTCAGCCGGATCGTGCGCCGGAAGAAGCCCTGCGGGACCAGCGCATGCGCGTGAGGTTGGATCGCGCTCCAGCCACAAGCCTTGCCGATCCCTTACCATCTTTTAAAATGAACTAAATTTAGGGAAATAGTTCCGAAGAGTGTGATGTAATTGGGACACAATGAATATTTTAAATTTCATGACATGTTAAAATTAAAACCAAGAAAATGACGCGGAATTTAAAGTAATGTCAAAATGTCCTTGTCTGGCTTGGAAAGGCCCATTGCAATCTCCCACGGCGACACTCAGTCCCGTTAAAATCTACACGAATTTAACTTTTCCCCTCCTAGCGCACGTCTGTATTTGTGACTCACGACTTTTTAAAAATCTTTATAAGAGAATGTTAACTTCCTAAAAGACAAAAATTATTTTAAAATATGATAAAAGGAAGCCAGCTTTATGTAAACAATGTTCTTACTCTATAAGAATACCTTTAACTTTATCTAGTAAATACAAATATTATTTATACTTAAAAATAAAATTTCATTTAACAAACTCTAAACAAAAGTAACTGAATCCTACAGAAAAGGCCATGTTACAATTAGTTCTTGAAGAACTAGTTCACTAGTTCATGCTTAGAAAGTTGTGAAGTGTGCACATTGCGTCTGGTTCTTTTTTCTTTGCTTTCCATCACTCTTCCATATTTTTCCTTTCTTTAAAAAATATTTTATTTATTTAGTGTTAGAGTGGGGAGGGAGAGAGAGAGAGAAACATCAGACATTGGTGTGTGATAATCCACCAGTTGCCTCTCTCACACCCCCCACCAGGAATCTGGCCCCCAACCGAGGCGTGTGCCCTGACTGGGAATCGAACTGGCCACCCTTCGGTGTGCAGCCTGTGCTCAATCCACTGAGCCACAAGAGCCAGGGCTATTCTTCCACATTTTTGCATGGAAGGCCTGACTGGGCCTGGGGAGAGGAGGCTGCAATTTCTGGGGAACGACAGGGCAAGGCTCCTACTCCATTTGATTGGTTATCTAGGCTGGCACAGTGGGACGGCCAGAGCCCGTGTGAGACCGGGGGACGAGGTGAGGACATAGGGGCTTGTACAGCGGGACAGCCAGAGGACACGTGAGACTGGAGGGCGGGGCGAAGACACAGGGTTTTAAAGGTCAGGACCCAGAGACGCCCTGGCTCACGCTGCGCACCCTGCCTGTGCACCAGCCTGGCTCCAGGCAGGACGTCGTTGTTGTTCCCAGAATGCAGAGCGTGTAGTGTGCCATTAGAGACGGTGGCACCTCCCCAAAGTTGGTAAAGCATCCGGTGTGTGCAAGGAAAGGGACTTCTGGTGGCCAGCATCTAGGTGAGACATCATGTGCCCGAGATGCCAAGCCTGACGCGTGCAGGCAATTCCAGAAGGAAGCGGCCCTGCCTGTGGTCATGCTGGAAAGTCACGGTGGGGCCGGTGACGCGGTGGGCAGAATGCTGGAGACCGGGCCTGACCCCGCCCTGCTGGCCCTGGGTCATGTGCGCCGCGGTCAAGCTGAGCTGGTGTGAGAACGAGGACAGGCACCAGGGTGCTCGTGGTTGGGGTACAGAAACCCCCAACGTACAGGAAAGGATGCAGGGGGAGGGGTGGTCAGGTCCTTTTCGCAGCTGCAGAAAGGACGGCACTGGGTCTGGCTGTCACCTGGCGTGTGCTGTGGGACACTGCAGGAGACACTGCAGGTCCCTGACAGCTGGGAGAGCCACCGCCCTCCCTGACGTCCGAGGATGAGAGACAGGGCCTGGGCTCCCTGGCCTTGCATCCAAAGCAGGGTCACCCTGCACGTGGCGGGTCTGCCTTTAAAGGACACACCTCTCCGAGGTGTGTACGAAGTGCAGCCGACAACCTGCCACACTCTGAAGAGAGAGATTACCCGGTGTCCCGGGTCAGTTCGTGTCTAGGGCTTTCTGCAGGTCCGTTTTGTAATGGCGAGCGTCTGTGCGCAGGACAGGAGGAACCACACATAGCCCCCGAAGCAGGCCACCTGTGTCCCCTCCACCCGCACCCCAGAGTCCGGCCTACCTTGCAGCCTTCACACGCGTGAACCCCGTAATGGTAGCCTGAGGCCTTGTCCCCACAGATCCTGCATTCGATGTTCAGTGCTGTGCTGGCGGAGTCGTCTGCGCTCCCGGGGACCCCAGGATAAGTGACCGATGAGGGGCTCGAAGCTGGTGACAGGGTGTCTGAGGACAGACAGATAAGACGGATGAATTTTCAAAGCATCCCCAGTCTATGCCTACACCAGGGTTATGAAGATACAGGTGAGGCGTTTAGGGTTTGGGGAGGGGCATCCACTGGTAGGCAGGGCTCCCGGCAGCCTGGCCTCTCCCAAACGACTGCGCATGCGCGGTCTTGGTCCGTGGGTCTCATGGTTCCCACCCACCCCAGGCCCCTGCACTGGAAGCGTCCTGCAGAACTTGTTACCGTGTCTGCGTCCTGTCGGCTCACCCGTGACAGTTAGCTCAGTGAATCACACCAGAATGCAGCATAACGATGCCCGTTATGCACCAAAACTGTGACCCATATAAGAAAAAAATAAGTTGGCTTTTCTTAGAATGAAAATTTTGCTCGGCATTTAAGAAAATAAAAAGGCAAGCCACAGACGGGGGGAATAATCTTTGCAAAATACACATATCTGGTAAAAGATTTGTAACCCAGATATGCAGAGAAGACTTAAAACTTAACAATAATAAAACAAACAATGCAAGTAAAAGAAATTGGCAGAAAGCCTGAATAGACACCTCACTGAAGAAGCTGTACAGATTGCAAGTCAGCGCAGAAAAACACGTGCCACAACGCTGGTCCTTAGGAGACTGAATAAACAGTAACCAGACACCGATACACACCCACCAGAGGGGCTAACATTCGAACAACTGGCCACGCCAACCGCCAGCATGACACAGAGTAACAGACCCGCACTCGCCACTGACGGAAATGCAAAAGGGTGCAGCCATGTCGGAGGACAGTATAAGCAACTCTTAAAGGAATTATATCCCTAGATATTTACACAAGTGATTTGAGAACTTACGTTCATTCAGAAAACAAGCATGAGCCCTGACTGGTGTGGGTCAGTGAACTGAGTGCTGGCCTTTGAACCAAAGGGCCGCGGGTTTGATTCCCACTCAGGGCACAGGCCTGGGTTGCGGGCCGGGGCCCCAGTGGGGAGCAACCACACATTGATGCTTCTCTCCCTCTCTTTCTTCCTCCCTTCCCCCCTCTAAAAAGAAATAAATGAAGTCTTTAAAAGAAACCCAAACATGAATGTTTATACCAATTTTATTCCTACTGCCAAAATCAGAAGCAAGCAAGACGCCCTTCATTGGTGAGCGGATAGGCCAGTCTGAGAGGCTACTTCTCAATGCCTGGCATCCGGGGAAAGGCAGACCAGGGAGAGGCTGAGCAGATTGCTGGCGGGCCGAGGTGGGGCAGGCAGGGCGGAGGACCAGAAGCGCTGGGGGGTTTTGGAGGTCAGGTCATGAACCATCATACAAAAGTGCAATAGTAGACACGTGATACTAAGCACCTGTCAAAACCCATGGAAGTTTACAGCACAGAGTGAAATTTCATGTTGCAAACACAGCAGGAGTAACCCAGGGGGTCTGCAGAGCCCAGGGGGAGGGCAGGAGGCCACAGAAGAATCTAACTGCCTCTGACCTCCGGAACTTCAGAAACCTGTGGTGTCTGGGAGTGAGGGCAAAGGAACCAACTCAGACACCGTGCGCTGGCTGGTTGAGTGGCTGACGGGGACGGGTGAGCAGTCCCGACAGCCCTCCATGTGCAGCTGGACACGAACGACTGGCCAACGGAGGGTGGGTGGTGGGAGCCGGGTCTCTTGCTACTGGAGAGGGAGGAGGAGGCCAGGATGGTCACATGGTGATGAGCTTGGACTAGTCACAGACACCGGTGTGACCACATGTTTACCTGAGCACGGCTAGAGATGGCCACAGAGAGAAGTCCTTGTAGACGTGTGTGCACACAGGAGTTACTACGTCCACACTCTGTCAGCTGGGACAGCCAAAAGAAAACATGCCCCAGCGGCACTTTGAAATGACTAGAGGGGACAATACAAGGACTCGCATGGAGGTGGGCACGGTCCGGGCCCCCTGCTGACGGTAGGAAGCCTCGGAATCCAGGGGCCTTTGGTAAAGCACTCCAAAGGGCTGGGCCTCAGCATCGGGCAAAGCTTCCTCTGGAATCAACACAGAGCTTTGGAAACCAGACCTGAAGGGCACACTTCTCAAGTAGCTGCACCCACGAACAAAGCTCGAGAATACAGGAAAACAAAAATATCCGTCAGTTCGCAGTGGGTGGCGCCCAATAAAAAAAAAAATGACAAAACGCGTGAGAAGCCGAAAATGCGACCCACAGTGAGGAGACATCAATGAGCTGAAATGGGCCCAGAACTGATACAAAGGACAGATTTCTGCAGACAGCTTGTAGAGTTACTGTGGCTGTATTGTAAATGCTCAAGAAGCCAGGTGAGCGGCTGAACACTTGAGGCAGAGAGAGGGCATGAAGGATGGAGTCACGCTTCCAGGGATGGGAAATAGGACACCGACAGGAAAACTGTACCGAGTGGTATCAGGAGCCGGTTAGATGTCCCAGGAGGAAGTGAACTTGAAGACACAGCAGGAAAATGATCCAAAATGAAACACAAATTATACTGGAAAGATGGATAAAATGCCCAAAATGAAACAGAAATAAGATGGGAAGAAAAAAGAGCACAGCCCTGGCTGCTGTGGCTCAGTGGATTGAGTGCCATTGTGCAAAACTAAAGGTCGCCAGTTCGATTCCCAGTCAGGGCATGTGCCTGGGTGGCGGGCCAGCAGGGGGTGCCCAGTAGGGGGTGCACAGAGGCAATCACACATTGATGATTCTCTCTTTCTCCCTTCCTTCCCCTCGCTCTAAAAATAAATAAAACCTTTAAAAAAAAAAGAACATAGCTTCATCTGTGAAATTTACCAAGCATTTAAGGAAGAAATAAAATCAATTTTACAGAAATAGTTCCATGCAACCGAAAAGGAAGGAGTGTGTCCTAACCCATCCATGAGGCCATCATTAATCTAACAAAACCAGACAAGGACCACAAAAAACTAGAACAAACACGCCTCGCATACACAGACATGGAAGTTCTGGATTCAGTGTTGGTGAGTGAAGTTCAACAAAATATAAAGCGGGTAACACATCACGACCACGTAGGGTTTATCCCAGAAGTGCAAGGCTGTCTAAACCCTTGAAAACTAAACAGTGGAATTCTCTGTGACTAACTAAAAACAAACAAACAAAAAAACCCAAAACATGTGATTATCTTACTAGATGCAGGAAAAGTAATGAACAGAATCCATTATCAGTCCTTGATAATTCACAGAAAACTAGAATTAGAGGGAACTTCCTCAACTTGATCAAGACCATCTATAAAAACTATAGTTAACATCACACTTCATGGCAGAGGACTGAGTGCTGTCCTACTAAGATCAGAAATAAGGCGAGAATGTTTCATGTCAATTCAACATTGTACTGGAGGTTCTAACCAGTGTGATAAGACATGAAAAATAAATAAAAGGCATTCAGTATGAAAAGGAAAAAGTAAAACTGTCTTGCCCTGGCTGATGTGGCTCAGTGGATTGAGCACCACCCTGTGAACCAAAGGGTCACTGGTTCAATTCCCAGTCAGGGCACATGCCTGGGTTGCAGGCCAGGTCCCCAGTAGGGGGCACATGAGAGGCAACCACACATCAATGTTTCTCTCCCTCTGTCTCCCTCCCTCCCCTTCTCTCTAAAAATAAATAAATAAAATCTTTTTTAAAAAAATTGCTATAACTAATTAATGAGTTTAACAAGGGTACAGCATACAAGATCAATAGCCATAAATCAGTTGTATTTCTATAAATAGCAACAAATGATCAGAAACCAAAATCTGAAAAATAGCATTTACAAAGCATCAGAAAATACGGAACAGTGATAAATCAGACGAAGAACGTGAAAGACCTGCACACTAAGGAACATAAAACACCGTGGAGAGAAATTAAAGACCCAGAGGAAAGGAGAAACTAGTCACGGCACAGGAGACTCCGTGGGGTTAAGATGTCAGCTCTCCCCACGTCGATCCATAGATTCAACACAGCCCCCATCGAAACCCTGGCAGGCATCTTTGGTACAAACGGACACACGGACTCTAGAATCAACAGGAAAGTGAGAGGGCCCAGGGCAGGCGCACGGCTTCAGAAGGGCGGGTGCAGACGGAGGACTGACGCTCCCTGCCCACAGGTCCTATCACTCCGGAATCGGGAACCCGCGGCCTCGCGGTCAGGTGAGAAACGACGTTTCTAGGAATGTCCCCAGGAAGGAGCACGCTTACCTGTGATGACGGACCCATCTGACCCAGGGCCGCTCCCTAAGTGCTGGTAGTCTGTGAAACTGAAGCTGCCAGAACTGTCCTCGCCCATGGACGGAGAGATTTCTTGGATGTTTCCCATTTCCTGCAGGAATTCTTCAGATAACGGGCTTCCCAGGTCATCGGTCTCCAGTGGGAAGAGGGGGCAGATCGGGCTTTCTGTGTCCACCATCCTGGGTAGCTCGTGGTGCCAGGTCCCAGCGCTGCACCAACCCCCTGGGAGGAGAGAGAAGGCACCAGTGAAACTGGTGCAGACGAGCGCTGGCTTGACGTCACTGAGAACATCATTTATCCATGAGGACGCCCGTGAGGTCATAATCTAAGAACTAACACTGTACGCCATCTGGCCGCAGCTTGAGTCTTAATAAGCACACTAAGAAAATGACATTCTTTTTTTTAATTAAAACAATTTTTTAACATTTTATTTTTATTTATATTTAGAGAGAGAGGAAGGGAAGGAGAGAAACATCAATGTGTGGTTGCCTCCCACCCTCCCCCCCCTCACTGGGGACCTGGCCTGAAATCCAGGCACGTGCCCCGACTGGAAATCGAACTGGTGACTCTTTGGTTCTCAGGCTGGTGTTCAATCCACTGACCGCAGCGGCCAGGGCAGAAAAATGAACATTTCTAAACACAAATGTTTGAGGCGCCATTGCTGGGCAGGCAGGGATCAATCATTCGTCACGGGGTCACGCTGCATGCTGAGCCCCCGCTGCATTGGGGGTGAACGAGACAGTGAGGGGCACGAAGCCCCTGCTCTCCCGGAACACCCTCCTGGTGGGGACAGGACGAGGGGCAGATCAACAGAGACAGGAGTGGCCGGCTGGCTGGGGACACGATGACGCAGGAGAGTGGGTGGGACACAGGGACTGCCTGGCAGATGGGGGGACAGCAAGAGCAGAAGGGACAGGGAGAAGGGGTGCAGAAGTCTGGGGGAGATCGTTCCCGCAAACTGCACAGCAAAGGACCCCCGACGGAGGCACCTGGCCGGTACCTTCCTGGAACAAGCAGGCCCGTGCGGCGCCGGCTGGGGGGCCGGGACAGCAGGAGGGACCAGCAGTCAGCTCGCGTGCCGGAGACGGTATCATCCGCCCTCCTGGTGCCCTGGGGGAGACCTGGCAGGAATCCCGAAGACACGGCTGGGCCCTAACAGACACGCTGCAGTTTTACAGAACCCGAACAGGTGAGTCCCCACAGAGCTCACTGACGTCGACCCCCGGGGAAAGCGCCTTCTCCCTGTGGGCTGCGTGGCGGGCGGAACTGGGTCCCCCAGACACGCGGGCGGCAGTCCCGGCCCCGGCCCCAGCCCCCGGAATGTATGAGGAGGGGCTGCATTAAACGAGTGGGTCCTGATCCCACTGGGCTCGTGCCCCCTCGTGGAGAGAAGGCTGGGACAGGGCACAAGCACACAGAGAGGCTGTGGCCGCCTGCTGGCCCAGGGCGAGGCCTCCGGGGACACGGCCCTGCCGACACTGGCACCCAGACTTCCAGCCCCCGGGACGGGGAGGGGGCGAGTGTCAGCCGTGTGAGCTGCCGGCTCCTCATGTGGCCCTTCATTCGGGTCACTGGCAAATGAACCCCGGCACAGAGTCCAGCAGCGATTGGACCCTAGAACATACCAGCCCCTTGGGCTTCCAGCTGTAGCAGGCGAGGGATGGCCCCCTCTGAGCGGGTCCCGGGAAGAGCAGCAGATGCACCCACAGTGACAAGCCCACCGGCGGCCCCGGCACCTCCTGGCTTCCAGGCGCTGCTACGGGTGCCATTGCTTCTGCCCAGGGTGCAGAAACACCCCAGGGGCCGCCAGCTCTCCCTTCTAGTTCCCCACGCGACCCAGAGAGCACACCGGGCACCAGGCCTGTGCCCCGAGCCCACGTGCTTCGCAGGGATAAAGCAGCAGCGTGACAAAGGAGGGCTGTTCTCAGCCGCTGCGGGTCTGGCCAGGAGGGCAGGACAAGATGGCTGGAGGAAGACCTCGAATGCAAATGGAGCTTAACCAGGTCTCCAGCCTCCAGTGGAGGGAGCTTTCCCAGAGCTGGGGAGTGGGGGGTGGGATGGGGGGAGCTACTCGGGGGTTGAGAAGAGGCAAAGGTGTGACGCTCCGAGTAATCCCGTCACTCCTTCCTTAACCCGAGACCCGCGGGCCTTGCCGGTGCCGTCAGCCTGAGTCTGTCCAGTTGAAACGTTGGAGCCGCTCCCTGTGTATCAGAAGCTCATGTGTGAACCAGAGCTGCTGCTTTTAGGTCTTCATGACCAAACACTTGTCCGTCAAAATGTTCCTTTGAGCCCTGGCTGGTAAAGCTCAGTGGATTGAGCGCGGCCCTGTGAAGCAAAGGATTCTTTAAAAGGATTTTTTAAACATATTTAAAAAAACATTCCTTTGAAAACTATGAAACAGGGTATACAAACACTATGGGACATTTTTAAAAAGATTTTTTTAAATTTATTTTTAGAGAGGGGAAGGGAAGGAGAGAGGGAGAGAAACATCGATGTGTGGTTGCCTCTCACGTGCCCCCTACTGGGGACCTGGCCCACAACCCAGGCATGTTCCCCGACTGGGAATTGAACTGGCAACCCTTTAGTTCACAGGCCAGCACTCAGTCCACTGAACCACACCAGCCAGGGCGCTATGGAACATTTTTTGAAAAGAAATAGAAAAGAGAGGGGGGGAAGGAAGAAAGGGAGGGAGCAAGAGAGAAGAGAGATTCAATTACTGTCTTCTGTCACCTCCGCGCCGGCAGGTGGAACCTCTGGAAGCCTGCGGCAGCAGCGGGTGACCTTTGACACAGGCCTTCTCTGTTTTGGAGGCTCAGGCTAAAACGAGAGGCTACGGGTGTGAAGCCAAGGCGGGCTGTGTGCCCTCTCCTCCGGTTCCCATGCACCCCGGCCCCGTCCTGGGCGAGCCCCGGCGGCACGTGCCCGGCACGGCGGCGGGCCCACGCGGTGCCGACTCCTGGGAACTAGGTGAAGGTCTGTGAGCCGCGGCTTGGCCCGGCACTCGCGGCCGGATGGCACAATGGCATGCAGCTGGCCTGCCAAAGACAACAAGGCCCCAGGGATCCGGGCCTAAGTCAGCCGGCTCCACCTCGGGAGCACAATCAGAAATTTGCAGAGTGAACATCTTCGTCACAGGGACTTAAAAACAAAGCATTCGGGAGGGGGTGGTGGGGGAGCTGAGCGCAAGGGTGGAGGAAGTCCCGCTTGGCGGGAACTGGGAGCAGAGACGCCCGGAGAGGCCCGTGACCACGGCCCGGGCCCGGGACCTGCACGCATGCCGTAGCACTCAGGACAAACTGCCGCACACAGGCCCGAACAGACCCCCAGTCCGACCCTTCTACCTTAGCAGCAGCAGCAGCAGCAGCAGAGAGTGAACCTGGGAATGGTTTATGGCAAAATCAATCAGGTGCTCTGATGGGAGCAAAGAAGGCTCATTGGCTGATGCAGTAACCGAAGGCCAAGGGGACTGCAACCCGCTCACGGCCAGTTCCCCAGGGCGTCGCCGGCGCTGATGGCTTTGTCTCCCCATGTGATTAGTGGAGTTCCTGGGACCCAGAGGCTCTTCATAAATATTCTCTGAAATTAAATATTAAATAGCAGTGTGGTACCATGCCAACCATCAACCACGGTTCAGGGCTGGGGATCCAGACTCGAGGGAGAGAACACGGCGTTCGGACTTGGGTTTTTAAGCCCAGACTTGTCCTGAGCCCAAAGGGTCAGGGGTCGGTGGTGGCAAACATCAGATTTCTCTGCTCGTACCTTTCTGTACCGAACCCCAATTCACTGCGCTGTCAACCTGTCACATGGTCACCTCATGTGCTGGGTGAGGCCACCATGCAGAAACCTGTGCACATTTTCTTTTTTGCTAAACGAAGCCAGGGAAGACATCAGGGCCACTGGGAGGGAAAAGATGGGGTTGCTGCCGAGGGGGCGCCGCTTGGCGGAGAGCTGTCCTCTCTCCCGCCCACACCCGCCCACGACCCAGTCGGTTCTTCACTCTTTCCCACATACTTTTTGGATGCGAGACTTAACACTTAGAACCTTTCACCTTGATGTGTCAGTCGAGGATTTAACATGCCATTTCAAGTTAAACAACAGAAAGCTCCAAAGCCCTCTGGGGCTTCACGGGGCACCGGGAACTCACAGACACAGGACAGTTGTCACCGCCTGCATCGTGATTAACACGCTCCCACGGCACAGAGAGTGCCGATGAGCCCCGCGAAAACGGAGGCGGAAAGTGCCGGAGCGGAAAGTGGGGCAGAGACCCCCAGGACTCTGTTTTGCCAAATTAAACTGAGCACATCACGGGCACTTTGACACCACCCACGCAGGTTTAACTGGAGACATCCAGATCTTTCCCAACAGAGCCCCGGGCCTCGAACTTTCATAATCGAGAGGACCTGGCATGTGCAGAGGGGTGACGGGTCCAAGTGGCAGCGGGGAGTAGCAGAGAGCTGCGAGGGGGACCACGATGCTGACGCGGCTCATCTCGTGGGGCTCCACTGAGGACGCCGAGCCCCCTGGGCGCAGGGCAGTGCTGAGGGCGACCTCGACTCTGGAACCTCGGCTTCGGTGCCTGTCCGCGGGGCGGCAGACCCAGGCGAAGGCAGGAGCCCACGCCGAGAGGGAGTCGGTGAGCTCCCACCCGCCGCCCAGCCTGAGCTCTGGGAACCCTAAGAAACGACCACCCACCCTCTGCCCAGGACCTCAGTCGGTTCTTCGGTCCTCGCTTATTATATATAAAAGTGACCGTGAAAAACCAGGCCTCTAACGTGAAAGAAAGAGGGCCACCCAGCACGCGGATGCGGAAACTTGGAGGAACAGTGGGAGGGAGGGAGCCGGCCCCCAAACCAGCACCACGTCACCGATCTCCTGGGGAAAGGGAGACGAATGACGAGAAAGTGAGAGGGTGCGTCCGGAAGGGGGACCCCTCCAGAGGAAGGGGTCCCGGGGGCAGGGCCAGGAGGGGACGGGCTGGGACAGTCCCGGCCCATGAAGACGAGCACGTTCTTCGGAGAGGAAGGTGTGAAGCTGCAGCGTGGGAGGGGCATTAGGTTCCTGGCAACACAGAGCCATCGAGGCAGACGACGGGGACATTTCAGAGCACATGGGGACAGAGAGAAGACCCCACCGGTTCCTACATGTCTCAGGGGGAATCCTGTCCTGTGCAAGAGATCGAACATCAGGACGTTTTTGGATTTCTCAGCAGAAGGCGACAGACAGCAAATGGGCCGCCACCCTCATTGCGCAG